GTTAGAGTGGAGAGTACTTCAAGGCGATGAGCCTGAAGACTTAGAGGAGGACTAAGTTGGAGAGGAGATCTAAGTTGATAATTAAACTGAGGAACTACAGTAGCGTACAGGCAGTATTTATATCTACGGATCAGCACATCGGTGCGGAGCACTAGACTAACTACTAGGAGCTATACGTGTAGTACCTGCAGGGTAGAGTAAAAGACAATAAGGAGAGACTAGAATGAAAGGGTATGTGTAGCGAGAAAGAACAATAAGGATGAGATTACAATAAAAGGTAGATCTTCGGAATACTGAGCGGCGGAATGGGGTACCGAGGCATGGACTTGACACCCTCTCAGAACAGATTCCGATCTGGCTATCATACAAACAACAACACATTTATTCTCCACACTTTGGTCAACAAATCTTGCTCCACAGGGGACTCGGTCTATCTTGCTTTTTTTGACATCTCCAATGCATTTCCCTCCACCAACCAGAACTCCCTATGGCTCAAGCTGGAGGCATATGTGTTGGACGAATATGGACATTAGGCCAAAGCAGGAAATATGAGTCCGGCCAGGTACACTTCGATAAAATATTTCATCTGTGTTTTCTTATCTTGCGTTTTGTATTTGTTCCTCCGTCGGTCAATATTACTTATATTCAGTAGATACGAGACGTCCCCGCCCTCAGCTTTCTACGAAACGCTGAGGGTGAGTCCATTACTTATATTTCTCTTATTTATTCTGACTTTATTTATTCTTATATTAGTTAACTTGTTTTATAGGTATATATTATATATAACGAGCTTTCTACGAAACGCTGAGGTTAACTTGTTTTATAATATGGACTGACAGGTCAATATTCCGACTGGCTGCACTCACTCTACAGCTGGATGAACTATATTATCTCTCATGAGGGCCACCTATCCACAAAGTTCCAGGCCATGTGCAGTGTCCTAATGGGTGACCCTTTGTCACCAACCCTTTGGAATATCTTCCTATTCACCTTCTGCCTCTGGCATGATCCTGGGGACACTGAACTTATGGGGATTATTGTTTCCCACTTAAAGCATGCTGACGACATTGTCCTTGGTTCTCGCACGGCCCATGGTTTTCAACAACACCTTGCTGCTTTTCAAACTTACTGCCTTCACAACAATCTCACCATGAGTGCAGACAAGTCGTGGCTCATGCTATTTGGTCACATCTCCACCACTCTTTCTATCCTGCTTCTTGCCGGTACTGCTTTACTGTCATGCCCTGTCCCTAAAAGCTCCCCTCGTTACCCTCCTAGACATCCCAGAACCGCGTATCAGCTCCTTCACACCTCCCAAATAACCTCCCATGGAACCCCCATGAACCACGGAACCCTAGCCAACCTCCCGACCAATGCTAACCTCTATCTGAAGCGACAGCTCCGCGACTCGCGTATGCCGCCGGACAATCCCCTATCAATTTAGCCTCATGGGTTCCGCACTTCACGCCAGCCCCATTAGATACTCATTTATTACAATGTCCCGTTACCTATTCAGCCCACATATATAAGTATCCTCTGTAACATAAGCATCCCTAGCTTGGTATATTTTGAACACACACCCTTTTGCATAGGTCCAGTCCCTGTCCCTTTGTACCTGCTAACCATACGGATTGCTCTTTACTCTCTGTTTCTCTACCTCTGTTTCTCTTTACTCTCGTCTACTGTCTCTCTGATCGTCTATATGATCAAATATACACTTTTACTTCAAGTCTAAGCCATCCGAGTGAGTCTCCGAGCTCCCTCGAACATTACTAAAGCTCCCCAACGCCTAAACGCTTTGGTGAGCTACCCTTCCCTAGACCTCCCAGACCTCCCTAGCTACTTTGTAAGCTTCGGGACCTCGATCTAAGTAATGTCGAAGCTACCCCTCACGTCAAACCACATATCGCTTCTCCGTTACCACCTCCAACACTCAAGGACGTCCATCCTCAAGCCCAGTCCCCGGGAACCTACCTTCCGGGGCATATACCTTCTCGGGAGCTTATCACCTCGAGACCCATTTCCATCTATGACCTATTCGAACCCTATATTGATGTTCTAGTGAGTACAACTCCTACTACGCGATATTACAAGGTTCCATACTTCTACCTAACCTCCCTGGACCTCCTAGGAACCCCCTCAAGGGTCACCATCTCTTCGCCCCAGCCACTACTAGGTCATTCCTGTCCTCAGTTGCGGTTCCCGTAGCTCCCTTCGAGCTCCAGCCTGCTCCTAGCACGCTACAACATAAACCTTCATATACCAAACCCTACCTTAAGACCTATTCTGACCCAGGTCTTACATTTATCCTATCATGACATGGTTTATTATATTGGAATCTACTTCCAGTCAACCCACCGCCACATATCCGCAGCTCACTACACTGCCAAATGTGACTCCGCAATCACCGCTGCTGGGGGTATCATTGGGTGTGAGCTGATTATTGGCTGAAATTTCCTGAATCCATCCATTTCCCTTCAGCTTTACTCAGCACTTGTGGACTGTCACCTCATTCATGGCTGTGAGCTGGTCATTGACACAGATAAATTCCTGCTGTCTATGCTGGAAAAAGTTCAACTCTTGTGCCTACAATGGCTTTTGGGTCTCTCACATTGTTTCATAGTTGCACCTCTATTCACTGAGACTGGAATTATGCTGATCTATTTTTGCTGTGTCATCCTTGTGCTACACTACCTCATTTGCCTCCTTAACCTGCCGCTTGACCGCTATGCCAGCCTCACTCTCCAAGCCAACCATGTCCTACACTCCTCTGGGAACTCTTGTTGGCTCTCTGACCTCGATTGGGCCATCCAGCATCTTCCCAGCTGCTGTAAGACCTGGGTCAAAATAGGTCTTAAGGTAGGTTTTGGTATGAAGAGTTTATGTTGTAGCGTGCTAGGAGCAGGCTGGAGCTCGAAGGGAGCTACGGAAACCGCGACCGAGGACGGGAGTGACCTAGTAGTAGCTGGGATCGAGAGATGTGACCCTTGAAGGGGTTCCTGTAAGGTCCAGGGAGGTCCCTATGGCGTAGGTAGAGGAAGTGGAGGTATGAAACCTAGTAGCGTTGCGTAGGAGGAGTTGTACTTGCTAGAACGTCAACGTAAGATTGAATAGGTCTTAGAGAGAATAGGTTTTGAGTGTGTAAGTTCCTAGGGAGGTGGACGCTCGGGAGGGGAGGTCCCGGGAACTGGGGGTTAGAGGTGGACGTCCTCGAGTGTTGGAGGTAGTAAGGGAGAAGCGGCACGTAGTTCGACGTTACCTAGATTGAGGTCCCAGAACTTGTGGGACAAGTGGGGAGCTCAAGGAGGTTTTGGGGAGGTTAGCTCACCAAGGTTGGATAGGTTTAGTATTGTTCGAGGGAGCTCGGAGACTCACTCGGATTGCTTAAACATGCAAGTAAAAGCATGTATTGGATCGTAGATACGAGAGACAAGAGTTGAGAGAAACAGAGATAAAGAAACAAAGTGTAAAGAGAAATCCGTATGGTTAGCAGGTACAAAGGGACAGGGACTGGACCTATGCAAAAGGGTGTGTGTTCAAAATATACCAAGCTGGGGCTTCTGGACGTTGCGGCGCTACTTAAGTAGGTACAGGAAGAGAACAAGAGAACATCTGGAACATGAGGCAGCTAATCTAGGGAGGAAGGTAATCGAGATTTAGTACTTAAAGGGGTTGGCTATTAGGAGGGTGTTGTATGTGTATTGGGGTGAGAGTCGGGACGTTTGGGTAGGTATGTCAGGGGAATGGTGATAGTTGGGGAGGTGCATGGTGGTGTTTGGGGATTGGGGAGGTGTATAGGAAGGTGTAGGGGTAAATAGGAGGTGATGGCTGGTACTGGGCAGGTCTGGTTGTAGCCAGGGCATGACAGCTGCACCCTTGTCCTTCCTTCCACTACCCAGCTCTCTGAGCAAGCCGTTCTGTCATTAATCAAATCTGTTTCTCACCAATGCAACCTATTTCTCCAAAGTGAAGTCAGCAACAGCAATTGCCTCACCCTGCTTCAATGCTGTTGTGAACCTTGTGTGACAGGTCCATCCAAATACCAGGCACGAACCCTCCATCATTACCTCACCAGAGTATCAACTTCCAACCATTGCCTTACCCTTATGCATTTACTGTGTGGCGACATGGTCCCGCTAACATTCTGTGCCTCACCCATTCGCATTCACCCTCTGGAACCCGTGGACTGTCCATCGAAACAGTGTCGCACTTGCAAATTTCCTGGTCAACCTGAGTCTCCACAACATGTACTTCTCCAGTGCATGTCTGTCCCTGGTGTGTGCATGGTTCGCAAACATTTTGTCACAGAGATTGAGGGCCTCATTGCCCTTCCCAATTCTCGCTCCTTCACAAACTCACAAACTCTGAATCCCTCTCTTACCTCAAGTCCTTCATTTTTGGTTGTGATTCAGTCTGTCCAGCAGCTTGCTTCATCAACGAGGCTATCATTCTGTGGAAACACTTCATATTGCAAAATTTAGATGGTGATGAGGAGGCATAAAGGTCATTTCATAATAGTTATTGATTGTCTGTACCATTACTCTTACTCTATTCTCTCATCTCTGTACTATGTTCCTCTGCCTTGTTGACCTGGCGGTAGTCTACCTTCTCCTTGCAGATTGAGCTCGCTGCCGCCAGTGCCTTGAGACCGGCTGTTCCGTGTTTGGGACCACATCTTCGGATGGCGCCAAGTATCTATCTATCTATCTATCTTATTGGTTATTGCTTTTTCTTTCAATTGGCCACAGTAGTAGATGCAAATATGACAACAGTGGGGAGACTCAGATGTTCCACTTGATCCTTTCAGAGTACTGGGTAGTTATGACTCCTCTGACTTGTGAGTAGTCCTCTATCACTGATATTTAATTTATACAGGCTGGAACAGGTTGGGGCTGTACCTGTATGCTGTATGTGGCATCACTGATAAACATTGTCAGTGGGGTGGATGCTCAATCAAGCTGATCATCATTGATAGACAAGGCAATTACGCCTGCTACATCCTTATCATAAACTAGGGAAGCAAAAATTTTCCATCCAGGCCCACAAAAAAACACTTTTTACTCTTTGCTGGCCAAAGAGAAAGCATTTCGAGCTATATCTATCTTCAATTGTACGTTTTGTTCTTCCCTATCTCCAGTGTGATGATGAATGAACATTGATGTTTCTCTTGAATGACTTTTTTATCATTTCAGTCCCAATTCCAACATTCTTCTTGGACAACAATACCAAACATTGATGTTTTCTGTGTCTACTTATAGTTTTTAATCTTTGCTTGTAGACTTTCTCGCTCCCAGGTCTACCACTCAACCTTCTCTCCATATATACTCCGAAGGATCCTTATTTAAATACTCATCATGTGTTTGACTCCTGGTCACTCTCTTCTGGCCGTTGTTCTAGGGCTATTTTGTTTCGTGCATGCTGTCCCTCTTTCTGTGAGTTATATTTAAGCCTGAATCTGCTATCTCATGTCATTAAAGCTCTTCCCTGCTACCTTCTTTGCTCTGTAGGTTCTCAATAGCGACCTGGTTCCACGCATGGACGTGGGGCATGATAATGCCCCCGATCCCATACAATTTAACTTCAGAGTTATTTTTACTACAGACCCACATGCTGTGCTCAAAGGGGGAAGCTTTGATTCTGCGCCTTCCACAGAGACAAATAGTCCAGTTGATACAAGGGCGAGGGATTTGATAAAAGATGTCTTAAAGATTGAACACGGGGTTGCAAAAGTAGAATTCATGCATCCCTACCCATATCCCTCGCTGGCTGCTCATACTACTTATCTCGCGCGCATGAATTGGGTGATTTACGGACAAGTACACCAACAATATTACTATAGGGGGATTGTGAATTCGGAGACAGGTCATGGGTTGAAAGTGGGAATTGAAGGTTGCTGAAGTTGTCCTGTAAATCTTTATATCTATGATTTTTAATATTATCTTTTTGTGGCGTGAAAGTATGTAAATGCATGTACACGCAGGTACAAGCCCTGGGTGCGGCGGGCGACCTGGGGTGTAAACTTACTCACATGCTGTGAAAACACAATCTTTCGGCGCTCGCCGCCGCTATTCGACCGAATCTTGCCCAAGATGATTGACACTGATCTTTTCGCATAGCTACACACTTATCCATTCATTACGAATTCCTCTATATTACTCTTATAATACCGCTCCGATCATGCCCTCGAACTCGCTCGAACTCCTCTATATTCAGCGTAACTCTCGTAATCGTAGATGCCAGTCACTTTATGCAGTCGCCGTCCAATGTTCACATTGAAGGTTCTGACACACCGACAAATGTCGAATGGCATGCGGTAATAAAATCTCGTTGGTCAGTCGACGTAACTTCTATTTTTTATTATGTCGTGGGCCTTTTGAATTTATACTCAAAGACGTTATCCAACATGCCCTATTGTGCCATAGTTGCTCGCGTCTGGGAAATTCAGCCATGACAGTATACCCTGTCTCCCGAAGAAGAGAAGCAAAATAACCAATCTGGCAAAATTTTGGCTGGTGCGAATGTATCTCACTTCTCGGGTGAATATCAATAGGCGAGGCATTGAAGGTGCTACTTATCCCTACTAGAAAACCAATGGTTCACTAAAGGAACACATAGAGAATTTTACATAGAAAGTCTATGGACACGAACAGCGGGAGTCTATTGCGCGATTTCATCATCAAACGACGACACTTGAGGCTCAAAAAACATAGATAAGTGGATGTGGATTCGTATGCTACTCAAGCCAAAATTTCGAGCACGCATCAGCCTCTCAGAGACATGACACAGCAATCGTTGCCTCTAGGAGGAGAGCAGGATTCGGCGCAGTCAGAAGAACATGATGCGCTCGAGAAGGTAAATCATATCGGAGACAGCTTAAACGAGTTCAACAGCCTTCCCGAGCGATCTTACTACTTCGGACACCACACCCAATCAAGTATCTCAGTCCTCTCTGACAATCTGTTCTTCATCCCCACACTAACCTACACAAAGTCCGAAGAATCTAAAGTCGTTCGAATCCTTGATACGCGATTGTTTCCTTGGGTTCTTCTCACTACCTTTGTGCTAAATATGGACCGGACGAACTTGTCCAATGCGGTTTCGGACAATTTGCCCGAAGACTTGGGGTTTACGACGGATACTGTGAACCTTGGGACGGCAATCTATTCGTTCCTATTTAGTCTTGCGTGTTTGGGTGGAGCGGTGGCGTGTAAGATCGTTCATCCTTCAAGATGTAAGTGACTTGTGGTTTTCAATTCATCTTGCCAATATTGATTTCATATTCCACAGGGATCCCGCTTTCGATGTTCTGCTGGGGCCTCGTGACTATGTCGCATGCATTGATTAAGGATAAAGGTGGATACTTGGCCGGTGAGGATATTGTACCCCATCCTGGATTTGGTTGTTATTTTACCCTTCCCTCAATCTAGTTCGTTGCAGTGAGTAGCTTATTTCTCCTTCAACGGTCCTGACCCTCATTTACTCGTTTCGCAGTGATAGCCGTTACCGAGGGTGGCGTTATTCCCGCTACACTCATCTACCTGGGCTCTTTCTATCGAAGTACTGAGCTTGCTACACGACTTGCATGGTTCTGGGGTGTTCAGACTATCGCTAGTGCTGTCAGTGGGCTTATGGCTAGTGGACTGTTACAATTACGGGGCGTGTCGGGGTTGGAAGGTTGGAAGTGGCTTTTCCTTGTCGATGGCATTATTACGGTGGTTGTTGCAATCCTGACTTGGTACGTGAATTTTGCTTTGTCAAAATATCTTTGATTTGACTCTCGAACCGATTTGAGGTTCTACCTTCCACGAAACACGACGCTCACCAAAGGCGGTATTCGTGGATGGAAACCCTGGTTTGATGAACGACAGGTACGAATTACGGTTACACGAATTGTGCGGGATGATCCTTCGAAGCGACTTTACGAGTGAGCTATGTACACTTCGATCGTTCCTTGTTTGATTGTTCAGCTATACAGGCAACGCGTGCACTGGGCCGATGTCAAAGACACTGCAACTGATCTTGGTCTATGGGGACATCTCATCATTACTGCTGTCGGGCTTACACCTACGAATCCTTTGAACGTATGTAAGTCGGGTTGTGTTCGTGATTTATACACTACTACTACGTGCTCATCCGGTTCCAAACCGCTTCGAAGACCTTCCGTCTGTAATCAAAACGTTCGACTTCTCTGTCTTTGCAGCCAACGCTTTAACGGCGCCACCGTACATTTTGCAGTGTTGTACCATGGTTCTGTGCATCTGGCATTCAGATAGAATCCGAGAGAGGGGATTTCATGGTGCCTTCGGAGGTAAATATGACCGAGCCGATAAAGAAGTTCACGTTGATTAATGCTGAGTCTCACCGTCCATTTTATTTAGCAACCTGGCAACTTGTTGGATGGATCCTACTCCGCTGTTTACCGTCTGATACGAGTAAAGGGGTCAAGTTAGTGTCTTCTACATAATCACTGGATAATCTATGATTGCTTTACCGCAATCGTGTTATTTCCAGATACTTTGCTGCACTCCTCGTTGCATGCTGGCCAAGTACACATCCTTTGAATATAGCATGGATGACAGAAAACACAGGGCAAGCCGTGTAAACTGTACCTACTTGATGTTTACTGAAAATAACTGGACGTTGTCATTTTGTGAATTACAGGAGCATCGGCAAACGAACTCTGGCTTCTGGCTGTGTCATTTTCGCAGCCAACATCTACGGGGTATGGGGATCGCAAATCTACCGAGCCAAAGACGCTCCAGATTATCATACAGGAAATATTATCAACATCGTCTTTGCTGCTACTGCGGTATGTTTGTGGTTCATTCAAAAATCCTACTATAGGTATAGGAATGCTAAGAATGAGCGTATTCGGGCAAAGCTTAGTGAGGCCGGAAGGAAGAGAGCAGAGATGGCTGCGGAGGTGGAGGGGAATAAGAGCGTTTTGTTCAGATTTACGACGTGACAACCTCATTAGGTTTTTGCGAGCGCTGAATGCCCTCTGCCGTGCACTTTATTTTACAGAGTATGCTTCGGAATATGCATCACGTTCCTCAATGACTGCAAGTAAGCATTTTGTATACTGTAGACAGTAAGTGAATTGCAGCATCACGTCGTAATGGTCAAATGGCAGGAATTATTTGAATTTCCTGAAGTGCATACAGGTCCTGCCCACATCTGGTGATCTATGGAATGTCTTGTACTCGGTCAACTCGTCATCGGTATACTCAACGATGATACTGCCATAAAAATATCAGAATCCATTCTAGACTAGTACTATATATGGTTGTCTGACTACGAAAATTACTTTGGAGGTCTGAAAAATCAGAATTGAGGGATTTCAGGGGATTTCATTTCCTTTTCTTCCATGTGGAAAGGATAAAGTATTTAGTGAAAGGTTAACGACAGATGTGACCAGAACAAAAATAGGTATATCACCAGCAACAGAACCAAAGCACACCCATGGAATCTAACGGTCTTGCAGGAAGCAAGGAAGCATAGAAGGAGAGAGAAGCACTGGTCCCACCCGCTTGGTTCAAAAATCATTGTTTGCAGATAGTGTGCACAGAAAGAGCGCTGACCATGGGCCCGAAAGGTTTGTCAGTCACTGGCAGCAATATTATACTATGAGGAAATCAAATATTATTCAGTCACCTCGTCCAGTCAATTGTAAATGATCGTTTGTTTCCACCGACCAAAACTGTATTCTGCAGAGCAATAAGCACGTTTTAGGTTTTTCGCCATGCTTGCACATTGCAGATGATCAATATGCATATCAACGAACATTAGAACAGATCATAACATAACTGTCAAGTCTCCGTGAGCCTAGCCTTGGGGACAAAGTTTGGGTCCAAGTTGTCAAAACTATCTATCCTCGAACAACCTCCACCAATGAGCGTTCAGAGCTGTAATAACACGAGACTCTCGATAAATGACACGAGCGTGTTCCTACCTGGTATGATGATCTGCCAGAGTAAATTTATCGTGATTTGAAGAACCCCAGAACGGAAATACATATCCTGCATCTGAGAACGAGTTGGTTCCATGAATTGCGTCCAATTCTGATTCGTGGATGACGTTCGTAATGAATCGCGATTGCTATGACTGACGCGCTTCCGCATCGCAGTTAAAATGTGGCTGGTTCATACAGAATATAGCAAGCATCAACAGCAAGTGGATGTTTAGAACTTAGCTAGCTGAGGGTACACCGAGAACAACCGAATGTATTAGATAGACCTGAAACTTGACTATCTCGAAAGTGTGGGATATGTTGAAGAGTAGGTTCATAGAGGTTCAGAGTCTATATGTAGGTCGAGTAGAACAAACCGAGAAGCAAACTAGATAAAGAAAGTTAGCACCGACTTGTCGTTCAATAACCCAGCAAAATGGAACTCTGATGGCCGTGGGTGAGTGTGGGAAGATTAACACGAGAAAGGCAAGTAGGTGCCGTGAGAGGAACACCTTTTTTCCATACACTTCACATTGTTCTACAGCTTATCAGAAACTCACCCACATACGACTTCTATTGCTGGAACCTTGACCAAGGTTGCTCGCTGGAAGCAGGATGAGCTCGTCGTCAGCGTCTGCTGTGGGTGTAATACCGAATGCGCCGCCTGTACCTTATCCTTTCGACAGTTATCGGGACAGACTGTAAGTGTTTTTTCCTTCTGGTCGTAACTTTCTTTTTGCTTTGGGAATATTTCCGGGTCCTTGTCTTTGGGTCCATCCAATGATGTCTTTTGCCGGAGTTGTATTTTTTTCTCGTTTACTGACGATTTCTCTTCAATGCAACCTCCCTTACCCGTGTAATTGAATATCATGTCGATTCATAATGACAATCCTTATACTGAATTCATCGGTTTGCACAATCGCAGAGAGTACGAGCTTACTGTCAGACAGGAGCCTAAGCAGGCGCGGATGTGTGGTGTTGGAGGAAAAGGTTCGTTGCGTTGCTCACTTGTCCGTTGCCGACCAGTAACCTGGATCTCTCCCGTTCACAGCCGATCGTCGACCAATTGACCCACCTCCAATTGTTCAACTACGAGTCGTAGACCCTCTGCAGCGGTCTAATTCCTCTAGTAATCCCGGCGGACGTCAGATCGCAAGAGCCAGTTCCCCTAACGCCGCGAGCCCTTCCACGATAGCTAGCTCCCCCGCACCCAGTGTGTCTACTGTATCCCGAGATGGCTCTTCCGCCTCTGATACTGGCAATGTCGACCGTGAAGGCGATTCGGCTACACCCACGCCATCTGCAGCTGCAACTTCGTATGCACAATCGTATTTACAAAATCCGTACTACTTTATGTTTGCATGCCTTGCAAAACCTGATGACGATACTGAACTCCATTGGCTGAAGGTAAATTTCTACTCATTACTCATTGATATATGGGAATTGATTTTTTGTAGGACGGTCGCACACGATGTACAACTGGTTCCGTCGTTTCTTCCCTTTATCACCTGAAAGACCCGCAACACGGCAACGAAGATGCTGGCTTTTTCGTCTTCCCCGATCTTAGCGTCAGGACGGAAGGAAGTTATAGGCTGAAATTGAGCCTGTATGAGGTCGTTGGGTACGTTTCATTGGGGCTCCCTACTTCATCTTTCTTCCTATTGTGGCAGTCAACGTCGCCCTCTGATGATGATAATGATAACGATCCTGGATATGTTTGCCCTAAAGTTACTGGTGACAATGATTGACGATGGCATTTTCTACTATGTAGGATCAACGTCCGCCACTGTAGATCGATATTCTCTGCTCCATTTTATGTCTACACAGCCAAAAAGTTCCCCGGGATGGAAGGTGAGTTGTCAACTGTTTGTTTTACACTTTTTTACATTGATACATGCTACATTTACTAACTATTGTTATCCTCAGAGTCTACTCCCCTCTCCTGCTCCTTAGCAGACCAAGGGATAAAAATACGCATTCGCAAAGACATCCGTGTTCGAAAACGACCTGTTGCAGCCTTATTGGATCCCCAACCAATGTCTGGTAGGGGTAACAACGCCAACGTGTCCAATGCGTTGGCTGCTAGTCAACATACTTTTGGTGCTCAAGGTCAATATAACAGTACACCTGGCGTTACTGCCAGTCACTTCAATGGATCGTCGTCAGCAATTACATCGGCTCCGGGGCTCAATGACATGGGTTATCTCACTCATCCTCCTTCTCAGCTACAGCAGCATACTTATGCATCGTTCCCGCTTCCGCATCCACCTCAAACACCTTACCAGCAACAGTATAATCCCCTTGCACCTCCACCAGGGAGCATACCTGCTAGCGGACCCTTGCAGCCGTTGCCGCCAGAAGCTCAGCCCGCATGGCCTGGTTCCAGGATTGTTGGAACCAGTACTACCGGTGTTATTGAGGCTCCCAGTAGTGTTGGAGGTCGAAGGAGTGAGAGCCCGACTGGGACTAGAAGTGATGATGACGATCCGAGGAGCGATCTTGCCCGTCCTTCTGATCCCGCCACCGTTGGGGGTGAAGACGTCCATGAAGGGAATGAGCTTGGAATGAGGATGGATATCGATGATCCGCTCCGCAATAATGAGAATGCCAGTGATAATGATGAGGAACTAGACGAAGGTCGGCCAAGTTCGTCCTCCGGTGGTCGTTTGACTCGTATTGGACGAAGGCGCAGTGGTAGCACCCGAGAGAGCCCCTCGAAGGACAAAGATAGGGAAGAAAGACGGAAAAGCAAAGATTCGCCGAAACTTCGTTCAAAACCTTCGTCTGTATCCAATATTAACTCTTCCTCCACCCGCCGGGAGCTCAAACGCGCTCGGACTGATAGCTATCAGCAACCCCAATATCACCAGCCTATAGCTCCTGCCCCGTGGGCCCCTGCGCCTCATCCTCCTTTTTCGACATCGACATCTTCCTCTATTTCCACCTCCAATAATGTTTCGTCTGCCCCTGCGGCATCTGGATCGAATTCGTCCATAATAGGAGGCTCTGGTGTCCCGACCACAGTTATCGATCCATCACTCAACGGAGCTTCCATAGGAGGTCTACCTCCAGGAGTGAGAATTCCTCCGCCTCCAGGAGCGATTATTGCGCCAGGAGCACCAAACAACGTTACTGGTGGTTCACGTAGTTCAACCCCAGTTCCCTTGGGAGTGAATTCTTCGATCGCAAGTGTAAGTCGGATCGCACCTCCTCCAGGAGCTACGATTGAGTCATCAAGCACGAGTTTGACAACGGCCGGAAAGGCCTCTGGCTCGTCTAATGCTACTAACGCATCCGGGTCGACTGGTATCACTCAGATAGACACAAATATTGTGGATCCACCTGTTCAACGTTCAGGATCGCCTGGAGGTCCAAGTGCTAGTTCTTCATACCACCATCAACAATTGCCCTTCGAACAATCGCACGCACAACCTCCTATGTCGGGACCACCTCCACCAGCTTATAGTGTACAAGTTCAGCCACCTCAGTTGGCACCCTTGCATCAAGGAAATTCATCCCAATATCCTTCTCACATATCACATCCCTCGCAGCAACAAACAGCGCCTCATCAGCACCCATTACCTCTTCCTCTTCCTCATTCGCATTCACTCCCCGGCCCAACTCCTTACAGTCCTTATCGCCAGCCCCCTATACCATCGCATCCACAATACGGCTATTCAGCTCCACCCCATGCTACATACAATGCTGTACCACCACCACCACCACCTATGGCTCCGCCCACACCTCAGGGATATGCAGGATATCCCGCTTGGGGCGTAAACTCTGGTCAGCATCAACAGCATCAGCAGATCATTCCCCAGGAGCAATATCAGCAGCCAATGTCAATGCAACAGCTACAATATCAACAGCCAGGGTACGGTTACCCTCTTCCCCCACATACGCAGGTGCGACCTTACGATTATGGACAACCACAACCTCAAACTCAGCACATGTACACAACTTACGTTCCTCCATATGGTTATTATGATGCCGCGCAGCAGCAACCGGGTGCGCCTCCACAGCAATTGCAACAGAACCCATTCCATGCTGGTGCTTATGGAAGCACAGTAGGTACACCCTCTCCGAGTGCTATTACCGCCGCACCTATAGCTAGTGCTCCGCCTCTGCTTAGACCTGGTCAGCCTGGTCACCAATCAACGACGCCACCAAATGGAGCTGGTAGTGGATACGTCGATTATGGATCAAGCCCGTTCGCTTCCCAGCCGCCTGGACTTCCAAGACCTGGGAGTCCCCGTTCGTTTCAACAAGCTCAACCACAACAATATGGGTACCCGAGCCATCCACCTGGCCCGCCTCATCATCCTCATGCCCAATATTCGCAACCTCATCCTGGTCCTCCAGCTCCGTATCCCCCACCATACGGATATATGGCATACGGCAATGGAAATGGGAACGTCAACAGCAATGGACCATTACCCACTACTCCTGGTTTCGGAGGAAATAACGGGGCGCCTGGAACAGATGTGTGGGGGGGAGGCACTGGAGTACCGCCCTCATCTGGTGCACCTACCCCTTGGGATGCAACACCCTCATTGTCCGTGTATCCTGGCTCAGCCACTGCCTCTCAGTCCCATGTTGGCGTTCAGCCAGGAAATTCAGGAGACCGAATACAGCTTGCACCGATGAGACAGCCGAACAGTGGAAGCGAACCTTCCGGGATGTATCCAAATATCATACAGCTTCGTAGCAGCAGCCGGTCGTCTAGGGATGAGGGTAAAGAACGGTCGGGCTCCGGGGAGGGTGTAGCGAAAATCTCAACTACGGGAAGAGAGAGAGAGAGAGGACGAGACAAGGACAGAGATGTTAGTCAAAGCGGGAGAGACAGGGAGCGAGATAAAGAGAGGGATTCCAGGGACAATGAAAGAGGACCAAAAAAGAACCCTCTCGCTATCGGGAATATTATTGAAGGCGGACACTGAATACGTGTTTTTTCGCGCGATTTATATGCTGTGTTTTTTTTTGACTGTCTCTTGATTGATTTAGTTGTGATGAACTGCTGTTAATTTGTGTCGTCTTTCGTATTTTTGCTGTGTACTGTTTATATTTATCACTTTGTAGGTTTTCGTCTTAGAGGAGGTAATTCACATTTCTATAAGTATTCAATAGGAATGAATTCCATTTAGGTTTTACCGTACATCCGTGGTACATGTGCTTTTTTTGGTTCGTATTTAAGCTGACTTACAGCTAAAGCTTCCCCTAGCTTCCCACTCTGCAAAACTTCCTTCTGGGGTCTGGAAGTTACCGAAGCTTACATTTTCTGCATCCCTCCTTGATCAGTGATAACACAGTCTATATCTATGGTGACATTTTCGGGCTCACTCTTAGCACCCTTCTCGGCCACGAAAGGGGCTGAATGCTTCATAATACGTGAAGCTCGGCGGGATGAGCTCAAGACCATAGGATGGTTAGCCGCCGAGGCATTCATCCACGACGCGATAGCTCACTATTTCTCAGGCACTACGAAGGTTAGAGGCAAAATTCTTGAAAATGCGATTTTTTTCTCAACCCGTGTATACTTGCCAGCCAATGTCAGTAATAGGCAAAGCTGATCTCCGCGCACTATATGACCTTTATTATTTCGTGGTCAAAGCTTGCATGATTGGTGGTGGGAGGGTTGTAGTGGCCGTACCAACAGTAGAAGGAAGCTCTGGATCTAAGGCTGCTACTACAATTGCTGCGGTTGTATGCTGGTACCCGCCCAGGAAGCGAATCAGCGCACTGAATGCAATTAGGGGTGGCATTTTAAGGTGTTTAAAAAACTGGGGATTAAACGGATTGAAGGTATGTCAAGTCATTTTTCTTGATTCTTGGCTTGTCAATCCCTTCGTGGAAAGCGTATGTCGGAGGAGTACAGTCACACTACACACGGTGTATTCGAGCAGGCATTTTCTTCAAAGGCGATAGAAAAACCAAGCTCCGGGGTGGGAATAGGAAGACGAAACAAGAGGACAGTGTTGCTAGAATCCGATTCCTGGTACGTCCAGCTAGTGTTTAGCTCAAAACAGTATGAAGGACGAGGTGAGTACCCTTCTTCCATGCCAACCGGTCTATGTTTCGATGACTTGTACCTGGGTCTGTTGCCAGGCATTTCGCTGCAAGTTGGTTGATACTTCAATTTTTTATTTAGGTCTTATGTCTATCCTTATGCGTGAAGGATTCGCTTATGCACATAGTGTCACACCGGGAATTCCAGTTACGCTTGACGCGACATCATCCCGAGCACGGGATCGCTATATGCACCTGGGCTATGAGGTATTCCCTCCAATCCTATCTGTGGATGGAAAAGCTCGTTGTTCATAATTTGGCCGACAGTTAATAGAACCCCAAACGCTTATTGGAGTCGGAAAAGCTACTTCTCTAGGAATAGCACCTTCGAAGAACAACCCTGGGTATGGCAATGAGCTAACAGGTGTTCCATACTGGTGTATGGTTAATGTGAGTTTCGATAGTCTACTGGTGTTTTCAAGACATTTTTGAAACAAAGCTTGCTTGTACAGTGGGAGCCAGTGAACTCGTTGCGAGGGAACGAGGAGGATACTGTTCTTAAGCAGCCAGTAATTTAACACGTTCTATTTAAACGGATAAAATAAATCTGGCGTTGCCTACTCTTGCTCGGGATTCAAACCTCATTGTAAGAGCCATTTTTCAAATTGATTTGCAATTTTGTCGTGTCCTGAACAGTGAAGGAGAGGGATGCTGATTACTACATAGTAGAGCAACGGTTTGATTCCGAAGTCCGAAGGAAGACACATTCAATGCTGTAATTAATACTTACCAGCGTAAATACAAAAATTAGCTCATGAGTATAAGAAACTAGCATAAATCGAGCGAAGGTGAAAGACCCGGAGAAAGTTTGTATACACCTTCAATTTTTTTTTCATCTTCAAACACACGCCTCAATAGAAGCATGGGTGTGCACCTGAATGGATTTAACATCTGTAACATTTCGAGTAGCATTTGCTCTGGAATAAGTTAGTAAGTAAGGACACTCCGATAGGGAAAGTCAAAGCATGATATCACCTACCCGATATCGATTAAGACATGTGTTGCGGTAGATTGATTTCAAAATTCCACGGAGTGGTGAAGTAGTGTGAAAGTAACGTGTATGTTCGATCTACAGCCTTCCAAGTTCAATAAGTGTGAGTAGGTGGGGGAGCACGTCAGGCTACAAGATTTTTGCACTGAAAGACATCCCTCACTCAATTTTCGTAAAACACAATATCCTATAATTATCATGATAGAGTTAGCTAAATCTAGTTGGAGTATCAAATACATGAAGCTTGCAGACAAAGCTGCACCGGGTTGTGCATTTATATAATGCTCACCTTTCAAATTGTTCGCTCGTTAGAAAGGGCCAGGCCTGAATGACTCTCTCAGATAGTGGCCATACTCATTTTGATTAACACGAAAAGTTTGAAAAAGGTTTTTCTACTTACTGCTGATAGCGAGCTATAGCGAGTCACCGATGAACATATGTCAGAAGAGTTGCATCGTGTACAGTCAAGTTAGGTCATACTCAAGATTATAGATACAGGATGCAGGAGAAAGTGCACAGGATCCAGCAATATACTCTCAAGATGGATAGTCGATTCTAAACCGAAGATGCACGTAGCTTGAGCACCCAGCTTCGAGAAAGCGTTTCCAGGTTTTGGATATGCAGCTGAAAAGCATTCGAATTTTGAGTTCAGAAGAACCGATCGAATATCCCCCAGCTTCGTTCCATTTACCATGAAATAAACCGGAAGATCGCTATCATTGATTATTTAGATAGATAGATAGATTAGTATACGCTAGATACAGAAAGAGATGTTACAAGGATCGTGAGGTTGAAAATAACAGTGAACAATAGCAGCTTCAAAGTTTCCTGTAGTTTGTCCTAAGGATTCTTATACGCTCCCAAACGGTCAGCGGATCCCATAGGCTTGTAAGTAAGCCCATCTATTCGCCGAGAATTCTAATGTTGAAAACCAGCGACAAGAAATAGATTGGTAATCTTTTATATCATTCAGTTCATTGCAGACATGGAAAGGCAAACAGATATCATGATGGAAGCGATATAAGTAAGTAATGTGATGAGCAGTAGTATGCATGCATGAACTGACAAGAGCAACCAGGAAGCAAGTAGGTGGGTACTGAGAGCGTGAGACAGAAATGCAAAAAAGCATTAGTGAGGGTGACTGACAAGAGGAAAAAGGGAAAAAAAAACGTAGATATTGCACGGATCGAAGGAAATATGGGATGCAGCAAAGACGGCAGCGTAACTTGTAAGCGATAGAAAGAATGGGAACTTGAATTCCGTCTGACTTTCGATTACCAACACTGCCCAAAGGATTAATGTCCAGGATAAAGCGAAACTCCCGTCAATTCCTAGATTGAGGAGGAGGAGTAGTATTTGAGGCACCGGTATGGACCTGTGCTTGAGCCTGGCCTATGAATGAGTTTGGATAAGGCTGATGCCACTCAGGAGCACTTGGGGGAACGAGCCCAGATCCCCACAAACCCGCCGAACGAGGGGCATTGACAAAGCCCCCAATGGGAGAGACGAGAGGATTGTGTATGTTCATTCCAACATTCACAGGCGCAGGTGGTCCCCAGAGACCCCTGTCAATTGCTCCACCCCCAATCGCACCTGCCCTTGACGGACTGGTGGGGCCCCATCCTTGTCCAACGTTGACATTTCCCGGTCTACGTCCTTTGTTCACCGGGACCACCTCGTCATCGTCTGCAGCGAGCGCACTAGAGCCTAACACTCCTTTGGGGCTCGAGGTTCGACGCGGATGTGGGCTGTTACGAACAGGAGAGCCAGAACCAGAGGAGGGCAGGGAATTGCTTGGCCCTGCAATAGCACTTTCCGATGTCGATGTTGAGGACGTATTGATGATCGCTGATGGACGAGCTATAGGTGCAATCGGCGTGACAGGCGCACCAGAACCAATTGGTGCAATGGAACCCATAGGTCGAGTTATCGGTCCGGGACCAGATAATTCAGGATGATTCAGAGACATCCGTCGAGGTTGGGCTGCTTGAATCGGAGATGAACCTGGGGCAAGGGCGCTAGATGGACCAGCGGATGCAGAGCCGGGAAGTGTATTGAGTTTCAATGGTGGACCAATCGGAGCTGGAGGGGGAGCACCAGGCACTCCTCTAGTGAACGAGGTCGGGGGATCAAAAGAACTGGCTCCATTGGTATGCACACCAGGACCGGAACCTGTGAAACCTCTGGGAAGAGCCGATGGAGCGAGACCATGACCAGGAGGAGGACCTGATGGACCACTATGAGGCGGCGGCGGTTGTTGCTGCTGTTGCATCGGAGCAAAAGAACCAAACGGAGCAGGAGAATAAGGCCCGTGTTGAACCCGTGGTGAAAGACCGGGTTGATGAGGGATACTACCCATGTTAAGCGGTTGCCCGAATACTGGAGTTTGCGTGGGAGGTCCCATATGCATATGTGCATGGAGGGAAGCAATGGGAGTCGACGGACCCGAAGTCATGGAAGAAGACATATTTGCAACCAGGGGACGTGGTTGAGAAAGATGATTCGTAGGACCTCCGAGACCAGGCTGCTGCTGATGTTGGAACTGTTGTTGTCCTGGATGGAGAGATCGTCCAGGAATTGACACAGGAGCAGACGAAAGAGATGGAATGAGAGTAGAGAGAGACGGGGCAGAGACTGAGAGGACAACTGGAGAGGCTTTCCCGGTGGCGTTCAGGTTCTTCTTCAAAACCCCGTTAAGGTTGGATCTTGAAGGAGAAGTTGAGCCTGAACCTGAGCCTGAAGCCCGCGGGGATTGAGGTCCGGAACCCGATATGGAGCGTTTGGGGTTGACCACCGCAGCCGCTGCCGCAGCTTTCTTCTCCCTCAGCTCGCGTTCACGATCCTCTTTCTCTTTCTTCTCTCGAGCCTCCTTCTCTTTCCGTTCGCGTTCCTTCTCCAGTCTTTCTCTTTCCGCTGTCTTTTCCTTCTCCTCCCTAGCTTTTCTCTCTTTCTCCTCCTTTTCCCTCTTTTCCCGTTCCTCCTTATCCTTCTTCTCCTTTTCGATAGCCAGTGCAGCCGATCTCTCTTTAGCTTCCTTAGCTTCTTTCGCCTCCCTCTCCTTCGCTTCCTTCCTCTTTCTCTCCCGTTCCTTCTCTCGTTCCTTCTCGACCTCCATCCGTTTCTTCCTCTCCTCCTCCTTTCTCTTCCGCTTCTCCTCCTCTTTCTTTGCCTTTTCGAGTTCCTGAGCTTTTCGAAAGGCTTCGCGCTTCACGCGTTCTTCTTCGCGCTTCTTACGTTGTTCTTCCTCGAGAGCAGCTTGTTGGGCTTTCGCGGCGTTTTCGGAAGCAATCTTCTCAGCGTCCCGACGAGCCTTTTCAGATTCTTTGGCAAGCTTTTGTTGCCTAGAAAATCGAGAATGGTGAGTGTTGAAATAAAGAAGGTGAAAAGAACGAAAACGGACTTTTTCTTATCCTTTTTCTTCTGGTTCGCATTCTGCTTCTTAGCCTCACGTTCCTTGATCGATTTATTTTCGTCCTCGAGCTCCCGCAAGAATTGTAACTGACGTTCTTGGGCGACCTGTAAAACGATGCCATAAGAATATCAGGATGGAATTCCAGAAAGGAGGAGAACAACGAGACCTTTTCACGATAGGCTTTTAAAACCCTCTGCTCGAACATACGTGCGGCGAAGATACTGAACATGCGTTTGCCTTCCTCCATTTTCTGCTCTTCCGTCATAACCTGTGAGTGAAAAAGGTAAAATTGAAAGCAGTCAGCGAGCGCGATGGGTGGAATAACATAGGTGGCATCGCGTGAGCACAAAAATCTAACACCGCTTCCTCAAAGCCCGCAAGAGGAGCGAGTGAATGGGAACGATCATAAATGACACCACCGACAGAAGGAACCGCACTTACCTCCTCTTCCTCATCTTCTTCATCTTCTTCGTCCTCTTCCTCTTCCTCATCCTCCTCATCTTCTTCGTCATCGCTACCTTCATCCTCCACATCTCTCTGTCTCCTCCGTCGCCTTCTTCTATCCAGATCCTCATCATCATCCTCTGATCCCAGACCCTCCTCATCCTCACCGCCATCCTCATCGTCCTCGTCTTCCTCATCTTCCGAGTCGTCTTCGAGGTCACCCACAGCTTCCTCCTCGCGCTGCATCCTTCGTTCAGCGAGCTGTTCCATCATCTCAAGGAATTTTTGACCATCATTCTTCAGAAGATCGTCGGCGACAGTGAGGATGTTGCCAGGACCTGTGAAGAGAGTTTGTGTGATATGAGCAAATTGAGCAAATTGGATGGAGGTGGAAGATGAGCATGACGACGAGGGAGTAATGAATATGCAGGGAAAGAATGGGAAAAAGAAGTAGGAATGATAGCAGGAGAATCGTCGAGATATAGAGTAAGTGAGAATGAACATGTACAACGACGACGCTATTTGAAAAAAAGATAAAGGAAGGAAAAGTGCTGTTGGGAACGTGCACACGACCCTTCCATCAAAAAAGTTCATCGATCATCTGATATTGATCAGAAACGAAAACGCAGGAGTTGTGGATAGAAAAAATGAAAGAAAGGCAAACGATACACACCTGTAACAGTAAGACTACTGCCCAGATTGAATAGACCGTTTCTTCCTTGGTTTTTCCCATTCTCAGTTCCATTCAATGGTGACTCAGCACCACGACCTCTCCCCCTCCCGCCTCCTGCACCACCCCTTACACCTAATTGTGGCGTTGTTCCAGGCCGTACGGGAGTTCCTCGTCCACGACCAATTCCAACACCATTCACCCCGGGATGCGCAGGTAGATTTGGATTAGGACTGAGTTCTTCGTCGTCAGGATCAGGATCAGGATCTTCTTCCTCGTCCTCTTCGTCCTCTTCCTCATAATCCTCACCGTCGTCGTCCTCTTCCTCATACTCGTCGTCATCGAGATCGGCGTCTGGGTCGACGTTTGGATCATCGTCTGCGTCATCAAATTCAGATTCCGGCGGTGGATGTTTTCCTGGCTTTCCTCGACCGTTAACAGGAATATTGGTACGCTGCGGTTGAGCTTGTGCTTTTCCACCTCTGACGGCTTTGGCGTTGGCGTTGTTGGGTCGATGATTATGAGGAGCTACGTGTTGTGGATGCCCGGGATGCCCGACAACTGCCCCATTTTTATCGAGCTCGACGGAACCAGGGAAAGGTCCTGGTCCGGGCGGAGGAGGAATTGTACCACCAGAAGAAACATATCGTTGTTGGTAGTTAGCGTATTGCTCTAATTCTTCATAGTAGGCATCGTATAGCACTTCTAGTTCTTCTTCGATAGCGTTACTAATAATCAATAATCAGTTTCTCTCTTTCTTTGTAAAACCAAAAAAGAAAGAAAAAAGACTCAACCGTTTCCTGCCACAAACAGCACAACTGCAAGAATGCTTTTGTTGTTCCTTCATCTTCCTCAACACCGTATCCTTCTCAATCTTGACCAGATTTCGTCGTTCCTCTTCCCCTAGACCCAACCAAAACTCTTTGATTCGTTCGCGTTCTTCAACAGAGCTAGTCGACCAGATCTTGCTGTTATGAGCACTGGTATTCTTCGTGCCATTGGCCGACGTCGCTGGTGGCCGACCTTTGGAATTGGTACTGGAACTATTCGAATTACCGCCACTCGGATGATGATTATTCGAATAAGACTGGTTCTGATTGGGATTCATCGGCGCTTTGGACGCCGCCCGTGCTGAACGAGGCTGTCCCGGTTGTCCTGGTTGTCCTGGTTGTCCCTGTGCCGCCTGTTGCTGAGCTTGTTGAGTCTGATTGTATGTCATCGGCTTTTTCCCAATAGATACTTGACTGGGTTGTGGTGTTTGTGTGGCCGGTGTGGTAGTTGTAGTACGACTAACGGGCATTTCTGAGCCTCTCCACTCGTATTTACCGGTGTTGAAGGCGGAAGAGGTGGTCAGACGAAAATTGATGACAAAGAAATTAGAAAAGCAGCGGCGAAAGACCCTCGGAGGCCCTCGGCCAAATACACATCCCACGCCCCCGGGAAGCGGTACTGCGCTCCTTTTTCTGTGGAAATCGCCGCATTTCTCTCGTTGTTCCTATCTACGATTAAATACAGGATCATATTTACAAAATTTCACCACTAGTGACTAGAAAGTCAAAAAGAATCTATATGTTAAGGAACAACATGACCCAATGGCGCTATAGCCAAGTGGTTACGGCGACAGATTCGAACTGTCGGTATCTGTTCCTCTTTGAGGGCGCAGGTTCAAATCCTGCTGGCGTCGATGCAACACTTTGAGTATGGGTTTTTTTTTCACTTTCCAAAGCGTGGTCTTCATTTCCCCACTCATAGTAATTTACACCTTAGTTCTACTTAAACTGTCACGTCGTAAATCTAAACAACACACTTCTATTCCCTTCCACTTCCTGCGATATCTCCTCCCTCTTCCGTGCATCCTCACCAAGTTCCGCCCAGACCTTCGCGTTTCTGGCGTTCCGATACTTGTAATACCCCTTCTGCACAAACCACAAACACACTGCGGTACCAGCAAATACGATATTGATAGTGTTTCCGGTACGGTAATCTGGAGCGTCTTTGGCTTGATAGATTTGCGAACCCCAGACTCCGTAGATGTTGGCGGCGAAGATGACACAGCCAGAGGCGAGAGTTCGTTTTCCGATGCTCCTGTTTACATTTCACGATATGAGTACACACAGAGAAGGTAGAAGTAGTACGACTTGCCCTGTATTCTCAGACATCCATGCAATATTCAAGGGATGGGTGTATGGCCAGCAAGCAACGAGAAGCGCAGCAAAATATCTGAGTAGTCACATAAGTACAGGGTATTTGGCGAAGGAGAATTCTCACTTGACGCCTTTACTCGCATCCGAAGGCAAACAACGAAGTAAGATCCATCCAACGAGTTGCCAGGTTGCTAGATGAAAAAAAGGCAGTCAGATACAATCGGAATTGACATGGGACGATTCGTAACAATATGGAGATGGTTGCGTGCTCGGGATCTCAAGCAGGGGTCAAGAAGGTCAAGAGGGCATAAAAAAGTTTGTGGAATTCCCATTCACCTCCAAAAGCCCCATGAAACCCTCTCTCTCCAATTCTGTCGGAATGCCAAATGAACAAAACCGTCGTACAGCACTGTAATATGTACGGCGGCGCTGTCAGGGCGTTTGCAACGAATATCGAAAAGTTGAAGGTTTTGATAACGGATGGAAGGTCTGTGAGATGGTTCATTAATGCAAAAGTTGATTGTGACTCGATGACTTACATACGCCCAGAGGAGTCGTCGGTGTGAGTCCAACAGCAGTGATAAGGAGATGTCCCCATAAACCAAGATCGGTTGCAGCGTCTTTGACGTCTTCCCAGTGCACGCGTTGCCTGAATAATTGTACGATTAGAAAGCGAGCACACGACTCAACTGCTATCAAGTACACATACTCATAAAGCCGTTTGGAAGGATCATCCTGTACAATTCGCGTAACCGCAATCCGAACCTGTCTTTCATCGAACCACGGTTTCCATCCACGGATACCGCCTTTAGTGAGCGTGGCATTTCGCGGAAGGTAGAACCTAGATTCGGTTCGTTCCAAAACTCGAATCCAAGAATCCCGACACGTACCAAGTCAACACCGCAACGACCACTGTAATAATCCCGTCGACCAGGAAGAGCCATTTCCATCCTTCTAGTCCTGAGACACCTTGCAATTGCAACAATCCACTAGCCATAAGCCCACTGACAGCGCTGGCGATAGTTTGTACACCCCAGAACCATGCCAGACGTGTAGCGAGCTCGGTGCTGCGGTAGAAGGAGCCGAGGTAGATAAGAGTGGCGGGGATTACGCCACCTTCTGTAACAGCTATCACTACATGTATTGAGAGTAAGTAGGTCAATAACAAGGACAAGACGAGAGAAGGAAGTGGAAGCTCACTGCAACGAACTGACATGAGTGGAGAAAGATTTAGATTAAGAGGGGTGAAAAGCGATACGAAAGCCTTACCAGTCAGGTATCCACCTTTATCTCTGATTAATGCATGTGACATTGTAACCAAGCCCCAGCAGAACATAGAAAACGGTATCCCTACGAAACTGAGATTAGCATTGAATCGCCCACAGCCTAGAGTAAAATTAGACTCACATCTTGCAGGATGGACAATCTTACACACCACCGCTCCGCCCAAACATGCCAGGCTAAACAGCACTGAATAAATCGCCGTTCCAAGGTTCACCGTATTTGTCGTGAACCCCAAGTCTTTCGGAAGATTGTCTGAAATTGCGTTTGACAAATTCGTCCGATCCATGTTCAGCACGAACGTAGTGAGGAGAACCCATGGAAATAAACGCTTGTCGAGGATGCGGATAACTTTGGATTCTTCGGAGGGGGTGAAGGTAAGATTCGGGATGAAGAATGGGTTACTTTCGGCTTCGGAGAGGGCTGAGATTGTGGTTTTGGTTGTTTCGTCGATTGAGTTTGGAAGAGTGCTGAGGCCGTGTGGGAGTTCGATTTCAACGTTGGAATCAGTTTTCTCGTTCACATTGTCCTCATTTAAACCAGCTCGTTTTTGTTCGCCTCTCTCGAGTTGTGACATGACTCCAAGAGATTGGTGCAAGCTTGGGAAATTGGAAGCCAGAATTGAATATAATAAACCAAGACGTTATATACTTATTACAGACTCCAGCGTGTCGTCGTTTGGTGATGAAATTGCGCAATGACATTTCAATGTTTTCTTCCACCCGCTTTCCGATCTCTCTGTAGTATTGGTGTATATCCGCCAGCAAAATGTCAGCTGTGTCTGGAAGCAATTGGGGAATAATGGTCTCAGCGCCTCTGGATTGTACAAGTCTGTTCAAACCGAACATGCCACCGTGAATCGTGTAGTGTTTATGCCATTATCGCGATATAAATGACACTTGATGGTGAGCCCAGAATTGACGTCGTCTGCAATCATTGGTCTGTGAAACTAAGCACGGTGCAAATTCTCTGTCATTATTGCGGCATGCTCATGAACATTGGGTTAGTCAATGTTATCGCAACAAGGAGGACCCTGAACTGCACGAAAATGAAAATAATCATGAACATTGAACTCACATTATTCAGGTGGAATTTCCATCTCCAGACTATACACAGCAGGCATTCCATGGTCACAATCGTACCCGTGTACCTTTGTCGAGGTGGTTCTGAGCAGAGAGCTGAGCGCCTAAGCGGGTCGGCAGCTACTATATACTTACCAGAGCTATCACACTAGCGAAAAAAAGAAAAAGTAGAGGTAGAGGTAGAGGTAGAGGTAGAGGTTTAAGTAGAGTTTATTCCAAAAGTAGAGCCTTCGAGTACCTCTACTTATTCCTGTGAGTAAATGGTAGAGCCGATGAGCTCTACTTTCCCGGCACATGTTATCCTCTTCAGCTCCGGAGGCTGGAGGACGCGTCCACTTGTGATTATGACCAATATAGATATTCATTTTTGACCCATTGTTGATCTCTTTGTTGTTCATGAAGTCCTATTTTGGACAGTAGTTATGCCACTCGATGTTCTGCTTATATGAATAGTATCTCAAAAGTGTTAATCACCTATTTTTTGCCAATTCTTCATCTATTCTTAATGGCTCGTTATACTACCAGTTATCGTCGGAAGCCCTCCAATGTCCTACCCAGATTTGTTGAGTGCAACAGAATGGGATGCTCAAACCCTGTTAAGGTCTGGCTATGCACTGGCTCAAACTATGCTCATCACCGAGGACATTGGTACGAGTCAGTAAGTCCTAATCTTCTGTCTCTTTCGAAGGTGATAATTTTGACCTGTATATATAGTGCGTGAACAAGGATAACCCTCAAGACACTCATTTTGTATCCTGGAGGCCTGATCTTCCACCACAGCACATATCTGACCTGGTCCGGCATGAAGTTCGAGGTGTTTTGCCTAAGTTCAGCCCCAAAAAGCTTTCACAGATGTCAATGCATGATATCCTCACACAGACTACTGAAGCACATCCATTTTCGGCTTTCCCCCCATCTCCATCACGTATGTTAGACCGTCCCAATCAAGGAAGTTCACCAGTAAAACGATCCACTGCATCTATGGAGAATCTCTTTGATTTTAGTGAAGCAATGGAAATAGAGATTCCAGATCGGGTTTTTACTGAGGAAGAAGCTCGAGAGTTTGCTCGAAGTGTGGATCTAGCCGAAGAAGAGCAAGGAATAGAAGGTAGCGTTGTCCTCGGGATTCAACTACTACATGAACAATTGACCCAACATCTTTCTGGTCAGTCTTTCATTTCAAAGATGGTAAAACATCTCACGATTTTTGTATAGCTTCTGCAAATTCTAATATTTCCAATCCTGTGACAGCCGATAGCGCTCTTGTAACAGATGAACCTCCGAGCCAGGATACTTTGATAATATCAGCATCCTTGAGTACACAATCTCATTCAAAGGAACCTATTTCATCATTCCTCCACAATTCTAATGATTCCGATTTTCCACCTCCCCAACCCCCTTATCCTTCATCTACCACTCCACCATTTATCTGGAACCCCGGAAAGACTGAAACTCGTCTTGTGAATGGCTCCATGCGTGCATGTTGCCTTGGTCGTGGTTGCGCAGGGAAGGCCGGAGCTACAATCAATACAAACTGTAGTTTCAAGCTTTGCAAACCATGTTGTGGAAAATATCAGGCCGAGATGAATATCACCTGTAAAGAAGCATCTCACAAACCCCAGGCAAAGACTTCGACATCAGGTACAGATCAATTGCCTATGTATCTTCACACCCGGCCCCTTCTACCTCAGCATTACCAGCGGAGAGAGCAGGCCCGAATTGACCATCAGGAACGATCCACTATACTGGAAAATCGACAGTCATATGCAGATGATATCCGACAAAAAGTCTACATCAAATTCTGGGATGAGAATGGAACATCCGATATACTTACAACTGAATGTAAGACCTACCCATTCTTTTGTCTTGCTGATTGCTCTGTTGCTGTACGTGAGGCTATCGGAGCTACTGAAGGAAGGATGGTGAAGACTTTTGATCCTCGACTAAGGACTTGGATACTCCAGGAAAGCACTAACAAACAGCTTCTTCAGGATGGGGAAATACTGCTCATCCGTTCTCGTGTCTTAGAGGGGTGGGCGGGGGGGGATATGGGCCATTTCCCTTTTTTTCCCACGCCCAACTCCTTGACCCCTTAACCCCTACGCCCAAATCTCTTCTATTTTATTTCAAACAAAAAAAACTCTAAAGCAAGCCAAAAAATAATATATATTATGATGGTTTGAAACAAAAAATAAAGTTCGAATCGTAATATGTTCTAATCGAAAACCAAATCGTTCATCCGACACCTTTGAATTCCCTTCCAAGCCAACGAGAGGACTCAAGTAGAGGGGAAATTGAGGATGGGGGAGAACGGGAGGGACACATCATTGTCGTAAGTTCTAATCTGCTTTTTCTTCAACGCAGCACATGAATTTCTCCATGCACAGAACGAGCCCAAGCAGAGGAGATTCTGTGTCTCGGAAATCTCGCTGAAGCATCTCACATTCTCAGATTGGAAGAATGCCTTGCAAAACTCCGGCCCTGCTTCATTCTCCGCCGCCTTCCCTTCTTCACGCGCGAACGGGGTCAGTCCTCCGAGCTTGAATATTAGTGTGCGATCCACGGTCCCAGATCGCCTGGCAGGAGTGCTGTCTACTTTAACGAGCTTGACTACCCCTTCGACCGTTCCAGGATCGCCAACTACCAATTCTACTCATTTCTCTTCCTCGACATCATCAATCAACATCAACATCGAACACGGTGTCCTGCTTCACAATTTGCACCTGTATCGACCTCATCCATCTCCTCGCATGCTCTCGTTTCACTATCTACATTGGTTCACTGTCACCGGGGTCTTCTTCATCTTATTGCCCTACTCCTTGATCCTCCACTTCATCCGAATACAATGCGCACTCAATGCATGACTTCCAAGCATCAATGAGCTAGACAAATCCGATGGACCACCACTGTTGACATTTCCTGGTGTCCCTACTTCAAACCAGTTGAAACCAAAGACTTCTCAACTGTCATCCTCATCGACGCTTCGGCCACTCGAAGCGCCTGAATCACCATCAATCTCATGGTCCACTCCACTCGTATTCACTCTCGCTACCCGGGTATATAAGCTGCAGAGGCTACGGCTGCCATTCGATGGTGTGCACACTGAGCCCTGCAACCTCAAAGTAGGTTTCGGGGTTTTCTGTTTATCTTGCTCGTTTCTCATCGCGTTGTGCTCTAAATAGGCTTGTTGAACTCGTGTTCACACTCGCTACCCATGTACATAAGGCGCGGAAGCTACGGTGGCCATTTGATTGCTCGCTCACTGTCCCCTGCATCCTCAAAGTAAGTTTTGCAATTTTTGTGATATCTTGTTCGTTCCTCATCGCGTTTTGCTCTAAATAGGCTTGTTGAACTCGTATTCACCTTCGCTACCCAAGTATATAAGCTACAGATGGTACGGTGGCCATTTGAGTGTGCGCTCACCGTCCCCTGCATCCTCAAAGCAAGTTAAAGAACTTTTTGTATATCTTGCTCGTTTCTCATCGCATTTGGCTCTAAACAGGCTCGTTCGACTCGTATTTACCCTCGCTACCCGGGCATATAAACTGCAGAAACTGCGGTGGCCATTCGATTGTTTGCTCGCTCTCCCCTGCAGTCTCAAGGTAAGTTTTGCAATTTTTGGTGTATCTTTTTCGTTCCTCATCGCGTTTAGCTTTAAATGGGCTCGTTGGACTCGTATTCACCCTCACTACCCAGGTATACAAGCTGGAGAAACTACGGTGCCCATTTGATGGTTCGCTCACTGTCCCCTGCAGTCTCAAGGTAAGTTTTGCAATTTTCTGCATATCTTTTTCGTTCCTCATCGTGTTTAGCTCTAAATAGGCTCGTTGGACTCGTATTCACCCTCGCTACCTGGGTATACAAGCTGGAGAAACTACGGTGCCCATTTGATGGTTCGCTCACTGTCCCCTGCAGTCTCAAGGTAAGTTTTGCAATTTTCTGCATATCTTTTTCGTTCCTCATCGTGTTTAGCTCTAAATAGGCTCGTTGGACTCGTATTCACTCTCACTACCCAGGTATATCAGCTGCAAAAACTACGGTGGCCGTTTGTTTGTTCGCTCACTGTCCCCTGCAGTCTCAAAGTAAGTTTTGCAATTTTTGGTGTATCTTTTTCGTTCCTCATCGCGTTTAGCTTTAAATAGGCTCGTTGGACTCGTATTTACCCTCGCTACTTGGGTATATAAGCTACAGAGGGTACGGTCGCCGTTTGTTTGTTCGCTCACTGTCCCCTGCAGTCTCAAAGTAAGTTTTGCAATTTTTGGTGTATCTTTTTCGTTCCTCATCGCGTTTAGCTTTAAATGGCCTCGTTGGACTCGTATTCACCTTCACTACCCAGGTATACAAGCTACAAAAACTACGGTGCCCATTTGATGGTTCGCCACTGTCTCCTGCAGTCTCAAAGTAAGTTTTGCAATTTTTGGTGTATCTTTTTCGTTCCTCATCGCGTTTAGCTTTAAATGGCCTCGTTGGACTCGTATTCACCTTCACTACCCAGGTATACAAGCTACAAAAACTACGGTGCCCATTTGATGGTTCGCCACTGTCTCCTGCAGTCTCAAAGTAAGTTTTGCAATTTTTGGTGTATCTTTTTCGTTCCTCATCGCGTTTAGCTTTAAATGGCCTCGTTGGACTCGTATTCACCTTCACTACCCAGGTATACAAGCTACAAAAACTACGGTGCCCATTTGATGGTTCGCCACTGTCTCCTGCAGTCTCAAAGTAAGTTTTGCAATTTTTGGTGTATCTTTTTCGTTCCTCATCGCGTTTAGCTTTAAATAGGCTCGTTGGACTCGTATTCACCCTCGCTACCTGGGTATATAAGCTACAGATGGTACGGTGGCCATTTGAGTGTGCGCTCACTGTCCCCTGCATCCTCAAAGCAAGTTAAAGAACTTTTTGTATATCTTGCTCGTTTCTCATCGCATTTGGCTCTAAATAGGCTCGTTCGACTCGTATTTACCCTCGCTACTTGGGTATATCAGCTGCAGAAACTACGGTGGCCGTTTGTTTGTTCGCTCACTGTCCCCTGCAGTCTCAAGGTAAGTTTTGCAATTTTCTGCATATCTTTTTCGTTCCTCATCGTGTTTAGCTCTAAATAGGCTCGTTGGACTCGTATTCACCCTCGCTACCTGGGTATATAAGCTACAGAGGGTACGGTGGCCATTTGAGTGTGCGCTCACCATCCCCTGCATCCTCAAAGCAAGTTAAAGAACTTTTTGTATATCTTGCTCGTTTCTCATCGCATTTGGCTCTAAATAGGCTCGTTCGACTCGTATTTACCCTCGCTACTTGGGTATATCAGCTGCAAAAACTACGGTGGCCGTTTGTTTGTTCGCTCACTGTCCCCTGCAGTCTCAAGGTAAGTTTTGCAATTTTCTGCATATCTTTTTCGTTCCTCATCGTGTTTAGCTCTAAATAGGCTCGTTGGACTCGTATTCACTCTCACTGCCCAGGTATACAAGCTGCAGAAACTACGGTGGCCGTTTGTTTGTTCGCTCACTGTCCCCTGCAGTCTCAAGGTAAGTTTTGCAATTTTCTGCGTATCTTTTTCGTTCCTCATCGTGTTTAGCTCTAAATAGGCTCGTTGGACTCGTATTCACTCTCACTGCCCAGGTATACAAGCTGCAGAAACTACGGTGGCCGTTTGTTTGTTCGCTCACTGTCCCCTGCAGTCTCAAAGTAAGTTTTGTAATTTTTGGTGTATCTTTTTCGTTTCTCATCGCGCTTTGCTTTAAATAGGCTCGTTGGACTCGTATTCACCCTCGCTACCTGGGTATATAAGCTACAGATGGTACGGTGGCCATTTGAGTGTGCGCTCACTGTCCCCTGCATCCTCAAGGTAAGTTTTGCAATTTTTGGTGTATCTTTTTCGTTCCTCATCGGGTTTTGCTCTAAATAGGCTTGCTGGACTCGTGCTCACACTCGCTACCCGGGTATAAGCTGCAGACCATTTCCTTGCGTCCCTACTGGTCTATAGTTATCCCTAGGCTCATTATTACCCTCAGCAGCAACAATAACAACAGCCCCCGCTCAGCGGGCCTCCTCCTGGTGCAAGACCACCATCTGCTGGCATTAAAGCACCACCAGCGTACGCCCAAGAACCTCTGCGTCCTCAAACAGGTCCTTATGAGCAACTGCAACCTGGCGCATAACCAGTGTGTGAAGTTTTTTTTCTCGTACTCGCTGCCAAATAGGTTTGGCAACTCAGGGTACTCGTCCGCCTGGACCTCCATCCCTGGTGCAAACAAAGATAGGCCTTCCTTTATCGCCGATGCAGCAACAACGACCGCCTGATGGTTCCAGCACAGTTTTACGGACGGCGCAAACACCACCTCAACAGCCGCAGGTTCAAATACAACAACAACAGCAGCAGCGTTAGCCTGTCCGACAATAAGCTCAGAGGCCCAAGGTCAGCTTGGCGATTTCAATTTCTTAGCTGTACTTGGTAAAGTCATGCTGGCAGAAGAAAAGAAAACGAATGGCCTTTATGCAATCAAGGGAACTTATCATTGATAACGATGAGGTTGAGAGGTTAGCTAACTTTCATGCATGGCAGCTTGCACTAACGGTTGCATAGCACCCGGTTAGAGAAGCGTGTATGCTAAAGAACGACACCGTTCTTGCTTGGGCTGCATCCGTATTTCCAGACCGAGACACGAGTGTACTTTGTCATGGAATATGTTAACGGTGGTGATCTCATGTTGCACATTCAACAAAAGCAATTTTCGCCACGACAAGCTAAGTTTTACACATCAGAGGTGCTTCTATAGGTCTGTTTCAGCCGTTATCAAACCTCCCGCAGCTGACCTTCGTGTTGCACTCAACAGGGATCTGAAGCTGGACAACATCTTACTTACATTGGACGGGCATGTTAAAGTTGCTGATTACGGTCTTTGCAGGGAGGGAATGTGGTTTGGTCAGACTACGAGTACTTTTTGTGGAATGGAGTCTATGGCTCCGGGGGTGTGTAATTGAAAATCTACAATATGATGCATGGGTTTCTAATTCTTCAACCCATAGATTTTACTTGAGCAACGCTACAGTCGTGCCGTGGATTAGTGGGCGTTTGAGGTCCTTACTTATGAGATGTATGAGATGTTACTGGGATAGTTGCCTTCCCGTGGTGACAATGAGGATGAAATCTTCGATGTTATACTTTACTATCTTTTCCCAAAATCGTTCCTACAAACTCTTTCAGCATAGATCCTCATCTGATTATTCTATTGCTTTGTTCCACATTCATTCATTCAAATGTGTTACATCCCACCAACTGATTATCCTATTGCTAGTGTACATATAGAAATTGCTGAGCCAGTTGTATGAGAAATGAAAGGAAACGAAGCAGTATGTACTTCGCGGTGCTGAACTGCAGAGGCAGAAGTAAGAAGAAAACCCTGGGCCCTTACAAGAAACGATCAGCGCTTGATAGCGTGAGAAGATTTCCGCGGGCGCGCCTATGTTGATTTAGGCCAGGCATTAATATCTCAATCCCGACTCAGTGTCACTCCTTATTGAGCACGAGCAGTGCGACGTAGAGTGCCTCGATTTTATTCTTCTTCCTCTCTCACCTTACCCGTTATGAAGCATGAACAGTGCGCGATAACGCGGTTGCATACTCTCAGTCAATTACTCTCAAATCTAAACCTTTCTATATAAGGGCCCTCCACTGCGTCCGATGCTGAACTTACTTACACTCATACATGATACGCTCTTCTATACAAATCCGGGCTGCGTTGGCCTTTCGCAATCATTCAAATTGGTGTGCACCCAGCCTCGAATGGTAAATGTGGATCAGTGCTCCGAATTGGTCGGATATAGGTGTGTGCACAATCTTATAGATTCACTCTCAAAAAGTTGTGAAGTTCTTCTCACTTCAGATCATATTCGCTCTCAAGTGTTGAAATCAAGCTGAACTCAACAATAGTGCTGACATGGGGCTGCTGGCTGGGTGCCAACGTGGTAGAAGAGCCAGAAGGAGATTGCAGAGTTGAACGGAGGGGTGGTCAGTAGCGACTCGCACGCCGCGAACGGTGATGTCTTCGTCATGAAAGCGGGGTATTTTGATAATGCGCTTCGGAGGGTCGAAGGAGCAGCTGTCGCGTTGAGATCAGTATGGTCAATCTCGACTTTCTCCTCGACCCTCTTGCTTCTTCCTGCTTCGCTGTTATCGTCGCAGTCTTCCCTCCTACTCCTCCCAGGTCAAACCTTCTTCCCCATCGAAATTCGGTGAACCGTCGAACCGCAACAACATACGCAGCCAGTGGTTGAAAAAGGACAACAAAATGTCATTGAGGAGCTACGCTATCAGCTGGATTGTCTGGCGGTCGCTTCATATGGGCACGAAGAGTAGACGGTGGCAGAGGTCTGCCTCAAACAACCAAATCGCAAAGACCTGGGCGCTTATTTCTTGACCTCCTTTTGACGGTAGAAGTGTTTACCAAGTTGTGTCGGGTGGAGTCCCGTCTTTACTTCAACTGTAAACCCGCTTTAGCGTCTGGCTAATTCGGGTTCAACTTGGTATTCTAATTCTTGTCAATTAGTTTAAGTTATGGCGTCTGCTTATCTTCCAGTTACGTGATGGGTCTACTTATCTTCCGTGCTTCCGTGGTGCGTTACTTGTCTTAATACTTCTCTCCTCTATCTTTACATTTTCCGACAGCCCTTTACTATGAATAAGGTCTTAATTGATGTTTTCTGTGGGATTTTGCCTCTGGATCACCTCCGTATGCCCAAGCGTACAGGCAGAACTGCTTATGAATGACAAAGAGGACTAGGATGGTGGACATCCTCACGCTCAAGGCTTCAAGTGATTATGTAGCCTGGCTCTCCGTGGATCATCCGAACGTGAAGCCGATGCTTCCGGGAAATGGCTCGGTCCACCGAAACCGCTGTCAAAAGACTCTAGGTGCTAGACGTTAGGGATCGTTGGGTCGTTGGAAACGAACGCCCCAAGGGCCCGACTCCATAACTGACATAGTACCTTTCATTTTCAGTGTGAAGGTGCGCTCCGACCGAAAATGAGACCAGATGCGGTTTTAATATACAGGGTCCTTGCGTAGATACGTCTTGGGGCTATCCGCCAACTCTGAACTAAAGCTGGTACTGTCGCTGCCAAACCTATCGATCAGGCGCATGACCAAATGGATGTTTGTGGTGATGCCCAACTGACGGCGACTCAGTGCGGGAGGACGACGAGCTCTACCTCGCCCTCTAACACCCCCAGGAATAACACCTTTATGAACACTTGGGACGCAGGCACCTTCTCAACCACTATTCTCTCCTCTTCAGACTTGGGTCCACCTGTGCTGTTATACCCTTCTCCTACTCTCACGACGCGTATGAATTACGTCGAAGATCTCAGTCTTTCGTATCCTCATTTGCATTCAAACTCGAATTCAAATTCTCAAGATAACGATGGTGCTAGCCATTCCGATGATACCTCTAGCGCACTCAGCGTTCCTCAACCGACGATTGAGATTCCGCTTGATGAGTTATTGAGAGGGATGGATGGGTTTGACGGTATGAAAGGTATGAAGGGCTTGGACGGCGGAGACGACATGGATGGCCTCCTTAATCATTTGCACCTGGTGCGGTAGGTGGAGTGCGGTCCTGGAGACCTTGGTCTCCGGCTTTCTCTATCCCAGAAGGGGTCAAGTGACACCACGACAAATACCACGGATACCTCGAGTTGTTCAACCAATTTACTCAAACTACGACAACGGCGTCGTCGTCGACTCCCCCGTTGTTCGGTACCACCTCCTTAGTTCCACCGTCCAAAAATCCCAACGCGAACGATTTCATGGGGAAGATGAAAGCCAAGACGTAGAGATGTTCGATCATTCCTCTTCCGCTTATCACCCCTTGATCTTTGACGACAATCCCAATAACGAACATATCTTTTCGTTTGATCGTGACCTCAACTCCGCTGAACCTATCCAAATTCCCATCCCAACTGTATCCAGAGACTCGTTGCGTGTGCTGTTTGGGGACTCTCCCAGTGGTCGTTCGGATAGCCGTTCATTAACTCCATTGGAGGAGGCTCTGAGTTTCAGTGGCCAGCAAGGTCGTTTGAGTCGGCTTAGCAGTCCCACTAGCCGCAGTAGCCATCACACCCATCTTTCCAACCACAAAGATGACGCAGACTTAGTGTGGACGTCGATGTTGAATCGGACAACTCAGACTCCGAGTCCGACTCTAGGGAGTCTGTCGAGTTGATGATGTCTTCCACGACCACGATGACGTTAAGCAGTGCTCAACACAGTACTGAGTTCGTTTATTCCGGTGCTGGCTCCGTAGGGGGGAGTGAAAAAGAAACTCTGTTGCTTATTTGGCCCCCAACTAGAGCAAGTCTCTCAGCCAGAGGAGGTCTACAACTCCTCGTCCTTCCTCTCCTACTGGAGGAGGAGGAGGAGTTGCTGGTGGTCTTTCTGTCTCTAGTAAACCCAGGGCTTCATCTAAACCACACAACCGGCCTAAACCTCGGGCGAACGCACGACCTATGCCGAGACCTTCTGCCCGCCAGACTTCCAGATCTGGTGTACGGAATATTCATACTAGCAATAACACTACTCCCAGATCTAGTGCAGCTGCTTCTTCAAGGCCTGCGCTTACGGTGCAAACGTCTTCGAGTGGACGAGATCAAGTTTGCCGAGTGCGACTGCACATCCGAGTTCGCTTGTTCCGTCGATTTCGTCGTCGTTCAGTGTCAGCGGGAGCGGAGAGCACCGTAACCATCTGGAGTGTCACACGTCCATCTTCTCTGAATCCGAAGCAGGAAACGCTCCCTCAGCTCCTCGCGCTTTCTTTGCCCTCTAGGTTCGTGTTTGAAGCTGAAATGGACCAGGATTCGGAAATAGTTCTGGATATGGATGATTACTTGGATGTCCTGCCGCATGCTGCACCTCAGGTTGTCCCACGTCCCCCTCAACACATCTTGGAACACGAAACTGAGGTTCTGGACATTGATTCGGACGTTGACGCTGGCTGGCCCACTGTGCCCCTTACACCACTCCGGCGTTTTGGACATTGACTCGGGTAGTGAACCATGTGCTAGTCAAAAAGGTGTAGACCACCTGCTATCGGACGACGACATGAAAGGAATGGATATATGTGCTGCTAATCCATCTTTCTCCCCAGTTCCTTTTGCTCATCGCATTGCCTCGCATTCTGAACCTGGGTCTGATCGCTTCAAGGGGCCACCATCTCTCGATTTTGGGTCCGACAACTCTGACAAAGAAGAACAAGACCATATCCTCATCTCTTTTCGTCCCATTCACGAAGCTGTCAAAAATACGTCATTGATCCTGAAGTGTTCAGAAGCGACATTCTCACTGTCCTCGTACACCCCATGGACTGGATTCTGCATTCAAGTTTTTCAATTATCACAAAGCGCACACACCAATCTTCATGGACTCAGACAACGTGGCTTCAAATACCTTTTTGGACGCAGACATGCTTACGAACGCCCTGGATGTCAAGTTTGACTTTGACTTGGAAGCTGACGTTGACGCAGATGCTTTACCTCTTCACCCGCAACTTCACAGTTCGTCCGGTTTCAATATGGTCACGTCTCAATGTAATCAATATCGTGCGGAAGACGATGGGACAATAGGAAAATCTGACTGGGAGCTCGATTTCACGGAAGATATTACGAGGCTGAATAAAATGTAGACTTGAGGAAATCACGAAAATGAGTCGCGCGCGGTGCTCACTGCGCGCCCCAAAATATGTTTGATTTTCAATACATACTATCATTTAATCTTGAAGCCGAGTGAATGCCATGCACGGATGTGCAGTGGCCCACAATCGCATGTGGTGTGTCCCATGCATTACCCCAATCGAGCTTTGGAACTAATGTTTGTCCTCTACGAGTTGGATTTGCAAGTTAGGTGAGTAAACCCGACTTTTTGAATCATAAATCAATCACCAAGTGCCACAAGCTACGCGGCACTGGCAACCGTTCGCATGCCCGAGGACATATCCTCTGTCAAGATAATTTTCTGAACATATCTCGGTCTCAATGTTCCACCCACCCTCGTGGAAATTTTCGGTGCAGCAGCGATGTCTACCTTCAACCAGAAGACGACTTGGGCAGACGCGTACGCAGAAAATTCGGTTGGTGGTCTTCTCGGTGCCGGCCTTGCTGAACCAATGGGCGGATTCGGTTCGTTTCCTCTCGTAATCATGGCACTAAGTATTATCGCGACCAATATTCCGACTATCTATTCTTTGGCTTTGACTTTCCAGGTTCGTTCAACTACACATCAACATTATTCCTCTCTAACGGTGTGTTAAAGAATATAAACCCATCTGTGCAAGCCATACCCTGAATCTTCATCGTGATCATTGGTAGTGTGGTCTGTATCATCCTCGCAATCGCAGGTGCAAGCCATTTTGTCGGGTGATTGGAGACTATACTCGACATGCTCGCCTATTGGTTTGCCATCTTCTCCGCTATCTTCATCGAGGAACATCTCATTCTCTGTCGCGGAAAATGGTCGAATTACAATGCTGAGGATTACAACAACTGGCGTAAACTTCTGTTGGGGGCGGCCAGCTTCATTGCGTTGTCTTGCGGGGTTGCGGGAGCTGAAGTTGGGATGGCACAGTCGTGGTATATTGGTATCATTGGAGGAATGATCAGGAATCCTGAGTTCGGGTTTCTGAGACGCATCTGTTCTGGATAAATCCTCATGTTTGATTACTTTTAAATTTGGAATTTTCTGGCTTTCGAATGCCGTATACACACCAATACGTGAATATTCTGGGACGGAGTTCTTCTCAGAGTGGGACTACTATAAGTGAGTCGTTGTGCTTATTTTGTTTGTCGCAGAATACTCTTTTTCACTCAGGGAACGTTAAAGTGGATAATACGAGGAACATTGCTGCTGCTACAACGCTTAACAAGAATCCAGTAGGTCAATTATTCTATCACTCTTTCATATCAGTACTCATTGTAGTTCTTGCAGGTTACAACTTGAATCACCTCAAAGGACGCTATCCCATGGGTAGTCGCGTCGTAATTGACGTGTCGCACATTCCGTATGGTTGCTCAGTTCTCACCTACCCTTATATCATTCCTTCTAAGGATACCCAGGTCTGGCCTTCGTCCTGGATGCTCAACACCGACCTTCTTTGACCCCTCGCCAGTGAAATTGACATCATCGAGGCTATAAACAACCTCGGTTCTAACCAATAAGCCCTCCATACTACTCCCGAATGTTATCTGGCCGAAAACTCGGTCCAAACTGGGAATACTATCGAAACAGATTGCTCGATGGGTCAAGGATGCTTGGTACAAGAAACAAAATCAAACAGCTTCAGAAGCGGGTTCGCACAAGCGGGTGGAGGGGTTTTCGCTACGCAGCTAGATGCTAGTGGGATATATATGTGGTTTTGCTCGGTGCTCATGAGCATCATACTCTTCTTCTACAATACTCCAGATTGAACTAATCCGCATCAACGTTAGCTAACGATCTCAGCGCTCGAGTCTTCCTGCTTCGATATTACAAGCTGACAGCGCTTCCCATGAACCTGACGGATTGGGGTACACCTACCGCTTCGTATCCCGCTAGTGCGTGTAATATCACGCAGTACGTCCAGCCCCAACAGCTCGTGCTTGATATATGTTGACGAGTACAGGGCAGGCGTGCCGTCTATCTACAACTCGACAGGATGTTCAGGTCAATGTGTGAGTCTTCTATACGGTATCCTCTTTTGTCCGTTCTTGTCATTGCCCCGGCACTTCAATTCATCTGTTCTTTGTCGTATCCCAGTTCCTTTCGCATTTCGAATTCATACATCCTCCAATTATTAATGTCCCTTGTTCTCACACCGTATATTTACAGTAGATAATGTCAGTTTCTACGGAACAAAAAGACAGTATGAGAAGGGTTAAAAACTAAGCACCGGACGACCGTTTGCCCAGAAATCACATGCCTGGTGTCCAACCCTCAACATGCTTGCTGGAGGTGTCACGAACTTTAGTAGTGAACCGGGTACGTTGTCGTATCGTTCTCTCGGCCTATGGTGAAAGAGATTTCGAAGGCAATGGCAAAATCTTCAATGTTAAAATCTTCAATGTCCCAAGTACGAAGTTTACATTGTCTATAGTAACAATTAAACGTACAATAAGATGCGACCCCAACATGCTTATCAATCTTTCTCCTTCAAGTATGGTTCAGTTTCGAAGATTGAAGGGGTAGATTGATAGCTGGCGCACGCAAACTAATCATCGGTAAAGGTGTATCATCCTTGTAACTGGAGGGAAGACATCGCTAATTCGGCATTTCTCGAGTTCATGCTCACGTCCTGCTTGAAGGATTTCGTCATATCGATAATTCTCAACTTGTGAGTCTCATCGACGGCGACACACTGGTTGGGGTCAAACAGACCCCAACCGGTAACGTTTTCAGCTATAGCAGGCAGTCGGCAATAATTACAGAACTCAAATTTTCTGGAAGCTTACTGCAAGGCTCGGAGCCAACAATGACATGGCGCCCTAAAAGAAGATCATTATGAACTTTTGCTTGAATGTTGATTAAGATACCATAGATACCTTGGTCAGTGGGGCCGATATCATTATCCTGTATGAGTTGGCTGATTGAATTAATCTTGACATCGGAATCGCAAATCTTTTCAGCCTTCCGGAATTTGGAATCAGGATATTTCCTATTCAGCTTCTCGCCAGCGGTGAGCGAAAGGTAAAGGGTAGGAGGAAAACGGTTCTTCAAGTCCCTCCAGCGACACGCAAGCAAGCATCTGGTTTCCGCTGTCCGCTATAATCATGCAGCGATGAGCTTGGGTATGTCAGCGGAAGAGGACAGTGGGAGACAAACTAATGCAGAGGTTGAATTCATCCCCAGCACGGTCCTTTCCAGGTTCGAAGGCCCCAACCTTGCGTTGATGCTGAATCCAGTGGATATCGTCAATGATTCTGATAAGAGCACATATCAGTGGGACAGTCGAGTCGGCGTCGACGGGAATTTGCCAGTCGCCGGCCAAGAACTGTCGGCGCTGGAACCTGATCCCTGCCCTGACGAGATCGAGGTGAACGAAGTAAAGGGTTGCCAGATGTTCGGTGTCAGTGTTGCCGCGTATATTAAACACATAGTTGAAGTTCGGGACGGACGAGGTTAACACGAAGGTTTGTACTCATTTGTAATTCGGATATTCTGCTCATAATGTCGGATAGCTATCGACCAGGAAACTTTTAGCTGGAGTCGTTGAAGAACAAAAAGACGCATACGAAGAGAGGAAAGTCAGCAACTTTCCCACTGTGCATGAACATGTATTTTCAGAATATGGATGGATGATTGTTCACTTCCACAGAGGGAGGGAAACTCTTCAATATCAGAGCCGCGGAGTCCGCTGAAGTAACCGATAAATCATTTTTTGTTCACAAGTATATCTCATCTTCCCGTTTCTTGTATAGTTTTTCCGCTTTGTTTTTGTTTGAGCATGCAGCGTCAGCATATCTTACATTCTACCATATAAGCGCTTTCACCTATTGGGGCTTGCTTTGTATCTATTGCAAACATCATAATGAATATCCTTCAGTCCAGAGACCTCTGATAGGTGGCAGAATCTGGCAGCAAGTAAAGATCTGACAGGAGGAAGAAACGTGCGGAAGTGGGCCATCGCGCTTCGCGCGTGGCATGTACGAGTCCTCATTGGAATATCTTAGCTGTACTGATAAAAGATATGTACTTGACTTACAATCTTGTGGGAGTTCCCCGAACCTGTCATCTGGGTATTTTTGAAAACGCGCCGTGAACCACACTCCGTGTTTCGCTAGTAATGTACGACGCAGTTTGAACTGTGTCAATCCGCTGCGGACGATGACACTGGCATCCAAGTACAGGAATGAATCGTAAAAGTTATATCTGAGAAAATCGGAGGATTTTCTCGAGCGAGAACACGATGAACTCCCATTTTCATCGTTTCCTGGGTCATGGAAGTACTTCAGTCGCTGTTTTGGCCTCGAAGTAGACGGAGAGGACGATATCGATTTGTCCCATTTGCGCTTCGTAAAGGCTAGTGTACCGGCCAGGGAACGGGACTGTTCACGCTGCTTCCCTTGGAACTTTGCGGACTTTGTAGAATCCTACATGAAAAGGACAATGAAAACACCAGCTTGATCCGTGGAAATAAGCTCACGTCGCTTTCTATATCATTGAGCATTTCAAATGGCGGATCCTCTCTATCAGTTGTATCCCTCTGCGTCTTTGGTTTCGGTTTCGGTGTTAGTCTCGTTGCTCGAACCATCTGTGTGAGCTGAGATAGATGTGGAAATTCGTCCTCGTCGGCAATACTAGTCATAGGAGAGGAATAATTTAAAGGGTGGATGCTCATCGGAAGGGTCGGGGGTGAAAGAAAAAATTTCTGGCTTCCGCATGGTGTAGATGCATCCAAAACCGCTGGCAAGGGTGACGAGGCAGCCCCACAGTTGGAAGGTTCTTTGTCATGCTGCTCTTTTTTGACGAGCCCTGCAGGAGCAGTCTTCCCTCTTGGTGGCATTCCTTTTTAGTCGTTGGACACAGAATCTGCAAGAGAAATGAATTGTCCAGATTGAGAAGAAGTATTAGAGCGTTGCCACTCATCAAGGTCCTCCAGTGGGATATTAATATCTGGATTGGAGTATCCTAAACGTATGCTCGGGGTCACGATCATTCGTATAGTCACCTAGACCATATGCTCGATTTGCACATCTGTGATAACTGACAATCACAAGGATGGAAGGAGTGATTCACATAGGAATAGAACTTCTTATGAGCCTCGAATTTTAAATTTTGAACCTGATATCCGCCGCACCTGCAGAAGAGTGCAGAAGCCAGACAAACGTGGCTGCCTTTCTGACGGTTCGAGGATGTTGTAGTTGCAGAACCTACTTCTTCTCTACACCGAGAACTACGACATTTTTGCCACGCAGAATCATATAAGGAGTTAGTAAGGATTAGAAACTTGGAAAAATTTCCGCTCGACGGAATATCCAAACAGCGCCGGCCAACGGTAAAGATAAGTACCACTTGTCATAAAGTATTATTTGTATGTAGCAGGCGAATGGGCGCCTAACTGATCGAGAAAATCTGTGAGCGCTTTTTATTTGATGACCCTCTAATGAGTAATATATCAAGGTAAGTATCGCTTTCGTTGATGCATGTACTTTATATGTCGCTAAGAAATCCTCAGTAGTGAAGTGACTTTAACTTATAGGTAGCAGGAACTGGCTAGTGTTGAAACAATTAATTTTTTCGATCGGTCAAATCAAGATACAAGTGAACGTTTTTCATCTCCGATACACCTCCCAAAGGAAGTATTGATATTTATAATATTAGAACCCATTTCTTTTTGGCCTCACTATACTCGCAGATATTTCACTCACACCGTCACAACTTCAACTTATACTTCCCCTAGGTTTAGCTCTGCGTGTTATTTTCAACGGTCATGCATACACATGGACTTGATTCAAATCCTATCCCCTGCAACGATTGCAAAACCGTGGAAGAAACTGGCCTTGACTACCCTGGACATAACTGTCTCTATCCAGCCTTCTGGAGTACATTCATCAGAAAAGAGTGGCTCAAATTGCATGACGGTCTGTAATCTGGTGTAACCGTTTGTTTCCGCACAGAAAGTATTCATTAAAGAAATGACTTATGCAGGAGAAGATTCTCTTTCACCATCGCAGCCATTGACACTACAGGATGCGGAGCTCGCCGGGTCCTCAAGATCCGAGTCACTCACTGTCTCATCCAGAAAGAACAAAAACAAAAAGATCATTAGAACCATGGTGGCCGTCGTAATTCACAAACCATCCAAGTCTTCGCGTGAGTGCTTTCAGTTCATGAACACCCTGATATTTGACTCAGTATTCCTTAGGCTCCAAGCTTCTGGAAAACTCTGTCATTAGCACTCGAGGCTCGTTGGATACCACAGAACCAGGTGTTGACTCAAAGGTAATTATCACCAGTGAGTAATGTCTCCTCCGATTCCAATAGCATTATACTCATAGCAATGGCTTGCTTGTATTTCCATAGGATCGGGAAGGAGAATTTGTCTCACTGGAGCAGCCATTGCAAACAGGGCCCATCGTCGCAACTTGAAAGGAAAAAAGAAGAATATTGGACCTTCTTGAGGAATGATCAATCATAGGAACGTATGCAGCACGTAGTACCCTTTCACATATCGAATGTATCAAACCAGAACATTGTTACTACCTTCAGGACTCAAAATGGTTTGGTAAGAAATTCTCGAAAGGTAAATTGTCCAAAACATTTGTCCAACAGACATGGGGCAAAATAATCAACCATAATCTTGACTCCGAGGACATTGGAGCAGCCGGGGTTTTAGTGAGTGTACGCATTAACAGAGGAGTGGGATGATATGTGTTAGAGCGAAGGGAAGATGTCGGAGGTTTTTTGGAAAGTCGATACGGGAGTCTCAAACAAACTTACCCTTAGGGTACCAGTGCAGAATGCATTTCCTCGGGGAGAAGGTGACAAGCTCGGCACGTCCTTGCACACCAGCGGCCGGAGGGAGGCGACTTCGTCCGTCCGCTCAATGGTACGAAACGCTCCAAAAAATGGTTTTGGTATCTATCTAGAAAGTTAACCTTCTTCTGAATCTGTAAATGTAAGGCTCAATCAATGCCAAGGATTTGAATTCAGAGTAAAGCACCTGTTGACTGGGAAAGACAAGTCATCTACTGATTGTTCAGTTAAGGGGATGTTAATGTCCGAACAGTTTACAAGGGTTTTGATGTATTCCTGAGTGCAAATTAGAACAGTATCTTGAATGATAGACCCTGAAATATTTCACTCTGACATTATCGTAATCTTTCTTAGACCATCTTGCGTTTCCAGATCGAAGTTGTCATCAGCCCACAAACCCTCACACTGAATGCCGGAAGATTCTCCCATTAGACAATTCGGGACACAGAGAGATGCTCGTGCAGCGAACAGGAATGGGACGCGAGGAATCTATAACATGTCAAACGCGGAGGCATTCACTCTTCTCTGTCCTCATCCTTGCGACAGAATCGCTCCAGACACTGAGCATAGTAAATCCGACACGGTTTTATTTTTGCTGAAGCTACTCCTAGATCCCCTGGTATCCGGTTATCACACTCGCTGTCTCAATTCACACGTCCTGAAGATATTTGGTCAAGGTGAAGCCCAGGGCTTCCGCTAACAGTCCAAGACATTGAAATATTACTGGTCCTCCAAACGCACTGTCTCTTCTATGAAAAGACTCACATGAGTAGGAAAATTGCAAGAATAAAATACTTACACGCAAGCCTCGAGACCACCCTTGATGTGTCTCATGATAGAGCTTAGAAATGGCTTCATATCGCTTCCAATTTGTCTTGCCGTATGTCCGATTGCAACGAGAGCTAGACCCTTCAAATGGACCATCGTTTGGTGCAAGAAATATTGCACAAACAGTCGGGTATCTACTTGAGCGAGGGTAGGAATGACAGTAATGACGAAATTTCGTAGGAGTTTATCCTTGTGTGACTTGTATCGCAAAATCTCCTCTGCGATTTCAAGGAAACGATCAATTTACTTACACTGACACGGGAAACAAGAAGAACGTTACCGTTCCTCATATAACATGAGTTCGCGAAATGATAACGAAAAACCGTGGATTATCTCTGGCTGGGATAGTTTTAAGCCGGCCTGCGCATCCTGCAGAATTTTGCTCTTGAAGAGGTTTTGATTTTTGGCGTTTGGTACAATATTAATTGGCTGATTGCTTTCGTATTAATTTGAAGGCAATCAGCCAACAGTTCTGCGCTCTTTAATCATCTTGCTATAATTGGACACCTCACCTCGCGGCGCGCCCTATGCGCGCCGCATTTTTGATCTCAAGCAAGGTGTGCAGTCCACAACAGTGGGGCCTAGTATTTACAGCCCTTTGCATAATTCCGTGAAAATGGGAATTTTTTTTTTACCGGACCGCCCATAAGCGACTTCGACCGTGATCTCTGGCCTGACAGCTGACTGCTTGGCGTCGTGCCCAGTAACAGCGCCATACCTCTGCACGCTGTCTCCTCACGATGTTCAGCGAATACTCCACTCCTAAAAAGGGAGATCAAACGTCGCCAAGTCATCGCTTCTAGGTTGGTTGATAGACGTCATTACTTCACTGTCATATTAGCCATACCACGCCCTACGCCAATCTCCTCATCCAGCTTGCTCATGTCCTTTTGCAACAAAGACAACAGACCATATCGTGAGTAGCTGTTCAATTTTTTCCTTTTTTTCTTTTTTTCCCTGACCTATCCTAGCTCACATTCTATTAATTTATCCTCGGAATGCCGTTTCATTCATTGTGTATTCACAGCAGACTATTTCTTACACCTCGTAAGCTTTAATTCGATATATTATATCTTTCGTTTCATACCTTTGTATATAGGTGCGCAATATTCTTCACGACGATCACCTGTTTATCATTCTTCCCTATCTTGAACTGCTCAAAGCTATGGTTCTTTATTTTGAAGCCGTAGTAAGGAGACGAACGGGGCGTGGCAAAGAGAGACAGAGTATGTGGGTGGAGGTGAGAAACGGAACTCTTCCAGGTGTCGAAAAATTTGTGTTCTTCTAGAGAGGCACATAAGTCGCGAAGGACAAACAAACGTGCGCTCACTCAGAGATCCTCCAAAACCAACGATATCCTGATATTCCACCGTATCATCCACTATGATATTCACGCTCGTCGGAACGTAAGTTCATGCTCGGATTGAAGTATATCGCTGTGGATGTAAATGGAGACGATCGATCCCAGGTAGTCTGCCACTGCGCAACCAGGTCTATCAGTAGAGAGACCTTGTTGTATTTGGGAGTTCACAACATCGTATATCTGTCGAGTCTCAGTGTGTCGAGGTATGAACGCCCACAGGAGGAGATAGAGCCTGTGCGTCTGCGCCATGGCATTCAAAGACCCCAAGGAAAGGCTACGATACAGCCACTAACGAAGACGAAAGCCCCAGCTATATTGCATTCACAATCCTCTCTTAAGTATTTTCTCTTCGTTTGCCCCAGGTCGAATGCATCCTTTAAACCGGGAGATTGAGCCGAATTTCCTCGTGTGCTTCCGAGCAGGATATGCCTTCGAGTATATTAGTTGAGAAAAGACCATAGGCTGCTCTGAAAGGAGGATGAGTGTTGGACAGACATCGGAATATGAACCCGACACTTACCGCAAAGCACGCAGGTGTTACATAGAAAGCACAACGAAAATCCGTTCTTGAGCAGGTCGTTTGGCGTAGATACTCCATAGTTATCCCATGACAACACGGAAAAAAGGACGAAGACAGCAGATGGCTTAAGCTAGGAGGCCAGCTAGTAGTCAGTTTCGGAGGGTTTTGAGAGGGATCACCTGGACCGGGACCACAGGTCGGAGAGCATAAGAGCACTGATATCGAGATCACAAGTTCGGTGCAAGGAACTGTTCCGTTGTACAATTATATGTTGTGCCTTCACATAAAAGAGGTTATTTAAGTAGCGCGTGAATTCCGCTTTGATGGATCAATTCGTTGTGCGAAGGTGACGGTGCTCCTCCTGTCCACCGATGGAAGAAATGAATGACGAATATCTCTTGTTGAAGTCTATCTAGTGACGTCGTATCCATAGTTGCAAGCGTGGTGGACAAGCCTCTGGCTTGAGCTCTATTGGACAACCGCTTATCTATCTTTTCTGCATTGCCGCCGTCTGAGACATACAGAATCGTTAACGGAGGCGCGTCGAAATTGGTAAGGAGATCATTATAGGACTGGAGTGCCTTTTTCGTATTCCCTTCACAGTTTCGCCGGGGCTGTAATAGTCTCAGGCCCTGGCTCGAAATCATCGATAATCATGAGCAACGCTTCGCTCATGCGGAAAGAGAGGGTCGTGTGGGGAATTCACGACCAAACGGGAATCAAGTACGACTGCCAGGTATCGAAGCCCTCCTTGCTGGACTGACTCGCAGTGCAACCCACGGGGGACCCAGGGAGGAGATGGCGAGGACTACATTCAGGGAGTGTCATCCCCCCACCACTGCCCAGGGAGTCTAGAGGCGAGGATGACACTAGGCAAACAAGCAGAGGGAGGCTTCAAGAGGAAGACCTTCAAGAGGAAGACCCTCGAAGAGAGCCTCAAGCCCAGTCGACAAGAAGATAAGAGCGACGAGGAAGGACAAAGGGGAAAACTAGCGGAGCTAAATTGCTGATGTGTTTATCAAACAGTCCGCAAATGAGCTTCAGGAGTAATACGCGCATCTATCACACGATCGTTCATAAAACCTCCCGCTCCTGTTGGAGAAGTGTCTTGACCATGAAAATTTCATGCTTCGCGTTATCCACTTTCGAAGTTAGATCATCCACGACTTGTCCAAGATTTTGCAGATGTGCTTGTGTATCCAACAAGGATGCGGGTCGACGTTGCAAGTTTGATTTGTTGACGGGAGCAAGTGGAGGCAGAGGGAGATTTGCCTTCGTCGGACTGGTCAGGACGTATTTCGGTAGAAATCTGTCCAGAGCACAGAAGAAGCAGAGGATCTTTGAGGATCATAAACGGAGAGAAAGAGATCGAGAAGATGAGGTAAATAACCGTCGACGACGAGCAAGCGAAGAGTTTTAACTATCGTCGGAGTAGGTAATATATCTAATATGTTTTTTTTTTGCGTTTCTGGTTCGCTGGACTGCGAACCTGTTAGGGCCTTCGAATTGAAGGACCGACGGCGCGAGTTTGCGCAAAGCGTCGTCGTCGAGTGTAAACGTCTGCGACCAAATCCCGAAACGAAGGAGGCACAGATTCCTGACCCGATTATTGACAGAACATATGTAGGCTTGCTTTAATGATGACGGGCAGAACTTCTCGGCGTGAGGAACTGACGACAATGAGCGGCAGATAGGCGGGACACAAATGGTCCGACAAAGCAGCTCCATGTCAACACCATTGTTGAGTTCAGCGTTATTTCTCTACCACGTTGGCACCCAGCCAGCAGCCCCATGTCAACACTATTGTTGAGTTCAGCTTGATTTCACCACTTGAGAGCGAATATGATCTGAAGTGAGAAGAACTTCGCAACTTTTTGAGAGTGAATCTATAAGATTGTGCACACACCTATATCCGACCGATTCGGAGCACTGATCCACATTTACCATTCGAGGCTGGGTGCACACCAATTTGAATGATTGAGAAAGGCCAACGCAGCCCGGATTTGTGCAGAAGAGCGTATCATGTATGAGTGTAAGTAAGTTCAGCATCGGACGCAGTGGAGGGCCCTTATATAGAAAGGTTTAGATTTGAGAGTAATTGACTGAGAGTATGCAACCGCGTTATCGCGCACTGTTCATGCTTCATAACGGGTAAGGTGAGAGAGGAAGAAGAATAAAATCGAGGCACTCTACGTCGCACTGCTCGTGCTCAATAAGGAGTGACACTGAGTCGGGATTGAGATATTAATGCCTGGCCTAAATCAACATAGGCGCGCCCGCGGAAATCTTCTCACGCTATCAAGCGCTGATCGTTTCTGCACCTAAGGGTTTTCTTCTTGCATGGTCTTTTGTGTTGGTTTCAATTGCACTTCCAATGTCGTTCTGTCATATTTAGATAGTGGCTCTCCCAGCTCCTCTGTATCGAGCTACAAAACTGTTTTCCTCATCCATGGTCATTCTTTCAGCAACGGTGGGTGATTTCTTCAATAGATATCAATAGCAGGTTCTTTTCTCACTCAAACGTCTCTCACCCCTGAACACACAATACAACATGGCGCCAGGCCGACGAGGTTTCTCTGGCTCAACCCCGCTCACTCAGGATGAGAAATCATTTTCATCGAAGACGATGGCCCTCAAGCTTCTGCTACCGACGAGGCCAAGACAAAAATCCTAGAGCTCCGAGGCCTGGAGATTTTACAGTTCATCGACGCTTTATTCAATGTTCTGGAATTCCTCCCATTCAAAACAACAGTCAGAAGGTGGATGGTGATGAGAAGACCCGGAAAGGTGGACTAGCTATCGTTGGCTGGTCTTTTGGGATCACATTTTCCCTTTCGGCAATCGCGAACATAGACTCCTCGTTGGTCTCTAACGGGATGCGAGATCGGGTCGGACAGTATCTACGTGCCCATATTATGTTAGGTGAGCCACAAATTTGCTCTAAAATTGTTTACTTGTTTTGACAAAAACCATGGTACATGCAGAGCCCGCGCTCACGGGTTTTGGTCTTTCCATTCCCCCAGAAACGCGGCTTGCGTTCCGCGATCCCAACATTCCTTACTCAGCTCGCGCACCGCTCTTCAGTCATCTCAACACAGGCTATCACGACTACAGACAAGAACTTTGGCTTTCCCGAACGCCTTCAATCTACACTTTCATCGCAGCGGAACATGACGAGAACGTCGTCCTAACGCCATAATCTAGCACCGATTTGTACTTTTCAAAGGTCCTCCAACATCAACTCCGAAAGACTTACTTGGAGGCGTGCTTTGATAACTACGGATCAATCTGCACTGTAGAATATGGTGACGGTATGGGCAGTTATCGGGGATCAAACTTACTCCTTCGTCTGGCCGACCTTTTGGGAGATCGAGGACGATGATATGAAGGCTGGGGGGGAGAGAAGGGAAAGTTCATACGATCTATGATTACAGATGGCGTGAACCATTCCGTGAGTGATTCTTGAGAATCGTTTCCATGTAAGGCTTACGCTGATATATCATACTATGTATCAGACGCATTGGGATGAGCCCGAGAAGACAATGGGAGTATTCAGACGGTTACCAGACACATCTTAAATCCTAGGCTCCCCAATCGTATGCTACGTTGTAACCCCGGTTAAACGGGAAATTCCACGTTAGGGCCTGTTAGGGCTATCTGAGCAAGCAGGCCGACATTGGCAGAATATCAAGTGTGATTACCCGAATTACAAGGAGGATTTTACGAAGTGCAAGGGTACTTTCAAGGATTTCTGGCCCACTCAAACTGGTAGGGCGGTCGGGTCCTTCGTTAACAGTCACGTTAGTGTGGATTTTACCGACTTGAATAAACTAGATCGAAGCTTGAAGACGAAAGACGAGCAGCTATATCAGGTGATTTCAGGAAGCATTCGAACAATCATCTGGCGCATTCACCCCCAGTTCCCAGCCTCGATCTCTCTCGCTTCTTGCCGCGCGTTTCAATGGTCCATCGAACATTTAAAACCGTTTGGATTAGAAAAGTCTTGCGTGGCGGCTCATTTCAACCAAAATCGACATCCAAAACGTCTTCCACGAGAGATTCACCTCAATCCAATCTGTGTCCCAGAATGAATCTACTTCCGAATGCACGTCTTCAGAGGTCGCCGCTTTGAAGCAGCTGCCAATTCATCAGGATGTATTGTCGTCTGAGTCTTTTTCAGCGTTAGGAAAGTGTGCAAATATTCCGGTATGACTTCCATATATCATTGTGAGTGTCTGAGTAGCTAATCTCATTTGTTTTAGAATCTCGATGCGATTGATAAAGAGGCCGAAAGTCGTAGACGCCGATACCGAGACGGCTGTAATGAGTTCTACCACTGTCATGACCTTTATTGCTTTATTGTCCATTGAATCATTCATCCTACATCTAGGCTACGAATATGCCTGAAAGCATCAACAGTAGTCTCTTTACTTCTCCTCGTCGGGAGTCCATCTCTCCCTTTCGCCGTCATCTTCATTGGATGGTGCTTCTCTTTTCTCCCCTAGGGAGTCCCTTAAATCATCAACTAGCACGCTCTCGCCCCTGCGACAGCAGTCAGAAAACTACCATCAACAAGAACCAGGCGAAAAGTTTGACCCCGAATCCTACCATGGTCATGATACCGGCACACTCACATCTTTCTCTCCCATATCCAAGCCTCTCTTCTTCCTAGAGACACTACTCATGCCCATTATTTAAAACCACATCCGAAAGTTCTGGAAAAGATTACTAAGTTCAGCTCTCCATCTGTCCTATTCCAGGATTCCCCGTCGCCTCCACCACTCGGGTCGCATCACAAGAAAGCACCTCCTAGACCGAACGTTTCTGCTCCCTCTATCTCTGCGCTTCCATCATCATCATCTAAACAATACCACAATGCAGTACACAAACCTTCAGGATGCTTTGAACGCTTCCATGATACATAACGCAGAGGATAACTACTTTGGGGCATTCATAGACAAACCTCGACCTGTCGTTCGTCGTAAACAGAAACAAAGTCCATTTGACGGTGTTCACCTGCCTCGCAAAAAGGCCAAGTTGAACCCATCTACCGTCGCGGCGCCATCGTCTGGCAACAGTTCTATCTCCATAGTGGTCAGATCAGTCAAAACTCGACGACGACGACGAAGATTTTCTATATCCCAGGTAACATGATGCCGACTGACAAGACGCGCGAGGACGGTGATAGTTACGTGCGGCTCTTTGTAGGCAGGCACATGGATTTCATTTTCGGGGCGAGTTGGTTGAAGAATGCGCACGAGTCCACCATACCCAATTCCTCTAAACAGAACAGGCGTGACCGTCGGATGTTGCTGGTCAAGAATTCTAATACGCGTCATATCGGAGCGAAGAACCATCTATAAGGCGGAATCCAAAAACTTGGGACGAAGCGCGGCCTACCCCCTGAATTGAATAGCTGTAGTACCGGATTAATGAATTGGCAGCGGAAGGATAGGATGTTATCCTTTTCAAAAAGAAATTCAGGGTGGGTAGAGCGTATGTTTGCCTCCATTTTTGCTCCTGAAACTTTGGCAGGGTATTGGATTGTTCAAAACTCGGACGCAGAGTTTCCTGGAGATGAGACGGACGATGAGGATGATCTTCCGTACCTGGACCTGTCAGAGGTTCATAAAGTGCAAGCGTCGTCGTCATATCCTTCCGTCGACACTAGGAAGATTGCCATGCCTCTTACAAGCCCAACCCCGAAACCAACAACTCAACCACATGGAATTCCCCGGAGAGCGCTCTCATCAGTTTTCGCAGGACCCCCAAAGTCATCTTTTCTGAAAGATATCAAGTTCCGGAAAAAACCTTCTTGCTCCACCACTCCAATTGCTATAGCTCAATATGCTGACCCTGGAAGCTCTTGCGAATCCCTCTCCACGTCGTCTGCGTCTTACCCGTCAGTTTCGGTGCCAACCTCTTTCTCCGAACCAATCTCGACCCAGTCATGGTCCTCCTCATCGTTATCGGCTCAGTCCTTGCGAAAAAGCTATTCTCAACCAGAACCTCTTAAATTTGTCGAGTGTCATTCACTCCCAGTAAAGGCTCAGCAATTCTCAATTCAACCCGGTGCAAGATTGCTGAATCCCCCTGGTTTATCGGAGGAGGCGCTCGGGAAACGAAAGGCTTTAAACGATAGAGTCAAACCTCACGTTAAACGGGGTGGTCCTGCGAAACCTCGTCCTTCCACTGTGCTCGCTAATTCCAGTACGAGTAGGTATCAATCTCATGTTTCACATACTCATCACGACGCGTATCATGCTCAAAATCTGTATGAAGCTCGCGACGACCATCTTATCCCAGGTTGTATTGGGCAGCGTGGATTTTCTTCGCGTACGTCGGCTGTTTCAGCCTCAGGTCCTAGTACGAGATTCGGAGGTCCTCAGGTTTCTAATGACCTTGTCAAGATTCCAAGTTCACAAGGGAATCAAAACGGACATATTCACCAGTTTTACTCTCCTCACGCTCACGTCCAGACCTCTACGCAAACTAATGCGCACATACCTGGATTGACTTCCCCTCCACCTATTGCGGTCGTCGGTAGTGCTTTTCTTGGAGATGGCGCAGAATTGGGAGTAGAAGCAGAGGCCACCATCGGACAGAGAGGTCATGACGAACCAGACACGCATTGTGATGGCTGCTGAGAAATTTTCGGTGTTATTGCAGAACGATCCTCAGCAGGCGAAAGACGTCATTGAAATGTTGCAGCTGCAGCGTCCTGGTCAGGTATGTCTGCGTTTCCCTCGACTTTACGACTCCGGACTCCTTACTGCTACATAGACCATTGCTACATGTAATACTTTACCTCAACCTCAGTTAAACGGATCTTTGGATGGTTTCCTGAATATGCCAAGACGTGACCCAGGGATTGGTCACGAAATAACCAACCGCAATTCCAGCGTCCATGGCGATCATAGAGGAGTTGACGTTGGGGAGTGGTTAATTCCTAGCCTTGGTACGGGAAGAATCCCAGAGGCCGGTGATCAAGTGAATTCTGGAATTGAGCCTGGCCTTTATTCTGGGCTTAGCCGTAATTCCAGAGCCGAGATTGAAATTTCTACTCCCGACCACCCTGCGATTCAATTTGGTCAACAAAAGCATACGTCCATGCCCCCAGATGCAGGTAGCAACGCCACCATCCATCAATCCCTCTATCTTGTTCTCCGTGGAGGACAAGCATGTTACCTCTGATGGTTTAGATATACTCGATTCTTCCGAGAGAGTTTTTTACTCCAGTGATCCACTTCCTCATCGAGGTAAACAGAGAATGATTAGCGTTCAGCTAAAGGCTCGAACGCGGCGTAATACGGACCCTCAGTCCTCTGCGACTTCACCCGTACCACAACCCCCTCCGCCTGTTCTCCAGAGTAACGCGTCAGTCTCGTGTTGGATTACGGTTCCAACTCGGATTAAAAGATGATGAAGACAGCTTGGACTTCGATGTTCATTTTCGCACCAGCGTATCCGCTCTTTCCGCCACTCCGGCTACCCTGGCATCTCCATCTACAGTCTCATCGTCCCTACAAAAATTGAAGGCAACGCTGAATAATGGAGTCGATGTTATCGTTATCTCTATCGAGAGTGGGTCTGGATTGCAGGCGAACGCAGTCCGACGTCGAGATTAACAATACCTTCCCCCAAATTACGCCTGTCTGATTCGGCCGCACTCGAGGTGCCGAGACCGGCTAATCCTACTCAAAAAGCAAAAGGGAGAGAGAAGGAGAAGAAGAAGAAAAAGCAAGTTGCTGCAAACGGACGTAATTGGCCACTGGGTTCATCTGAGTAATTCTAATCATCAACGCCGCACGAGATCCTTCAAGTTGCACATGGCTTGTGCGTTTGATAACTGTAACCTCAAATACTATATAAAATGCGTCACTGTTCGGTGTGTATCGTCGTCTTTGGCTCTCTTTCCTGGTTCTTATTTTTTTGATGTAGATCGCTTTTGACATCAATCAAAAAGACTTTTCGTGTTTTTGATGTATAAACAATTGCCGCTGCGATGCGTGCTGTCGCAAGCGCGGTGAGATCTAGTAGATCATCTACATTCCTCTTAAAAAGAAAGTTGAACTTGCTTCAGACAATGAACCTCCTGAACTAATGACCGCAACTCAAAGAAGGCAGAGAAGGAAGAACGCGAACCGGAAGGAGATGGATCTGGAATTGGAGACAAAGGAGATTGAAGACAAAGCTCCTTCTGAGTCAACTGGTCCCTCGGGAGAGAATACGATCGCGTGGAGAAGGGAAAGCAAAGACAGAACCAGAGACCACCACATTTACGGAAATGAACACGGATCATGGGAAGGAGATCGGGGAGGTGGTTGCGTTAACAAGAAGCAATTGGCCAGAAGGTCCGCTGGAATATTATCGCCATCAATGTCGAAACAAGTCGTTTAGATTATGAAATGTGCGTCGGAGGGTTGCAATGCCAAGTATTGTATAAGATGTGTCACCTCCCGGTGCGCAGCTTTTCCTGCTTGCCATTCTTTTTTGTTATCCTCATGGACACGTATTCCCTAGCTATGCCAGCATTGTCTCATTTGACTCAACTCGCGATGACCTTTTCTGTTTCCGTTGCAAGGACACCTGCATCTGCGATATCTGTTGTCGTAAACGTTGTGAAACTTACACGTCTCTTTCGAATAAATCTTCTGCAAGGCCCAACACGTTCAAGCCTGCACACCTTCGTTCTCGCCAGTCAGAAGAAAGACCTTACCCAAAACTAGCGCCGATATCTGTCGACACACAGGTTTCGCATCCTGTGGTATTGGGGTGCGGTTTTACAGGCGAGGTAATTGCTTCGGTGTATGTGGCTCTGTTGAAAACGATGGGGTTATCTTCACTCGGCCGCTCCAAAAACGCAGAGTTTTCATCGGTGATCTTCAGCCTGATTTGGAACTTCAAAGAAGTTCGCTACTTAGGAGAGTCCATGGAGAACTTAGCTTAGGAGCCTGTCATTATACACGACGATATGTCACTGGAACCAGGCCCAACAGCGAGCAAAAGGAGGATCCTCTACGTTGGGAAGCCTTCCCCTCCTTCGTCAGACATCCCCGCTTCGCCTTCAGAGCCCATGGTTTCTGGTATGGGAAATAGCGCTGCTCATCCGGTGAATTGTCGATGAATTGGGGATTCCGGGCGAAAGGAAGTCCTTGGTTCTGGTACTTTGCGAACATCTATCAGTGTACGAGCTTCTTGCTGTATTGCTGGTTAGTAGCCAGACCCTCAGTAGCTCTCTTGTTCGCTTCGCCGTGGGCTTCTGACTAGTCCTGTACCCCAATCAGACAGTCCTGAAAGCGAAATCTACTCTACGTCCATGTTGCTGTGCGGTTGCAAATGTGCTACTGTCCCGGAAGTCGGCGGTCATCCACAACCTCTCTCCATTCCTCACCAGAAGAACCTGGATGAATGCCCTATATCTGACCAGACGCATCGAGTAGATGGCACGAGAACTGCGCAATTAGGTCATCATGTTATATCGCAAAACATTGAGAAACCGGGTCTCTACTCACATCCCATCCCAGTCCAACAGTCTCAACTTTGACTCGGTTAATGCGTCAATTTCAGTCCGAGAATAAGCAGTCCACAGGAAGACAGGAAGAGAAACTGTATTGAACGACTTCTTTCGAGTCTCGGCCCAAAAATGTATTGGACAAATACAGAGCAATGAACACTTGGTAACAAGCAAACCTTTTCGCAAAGCACCTGCAAAGCACTGTACCCTCGAGTTACCTATTGACTGTTTCATTTCGCTTGCCCATTTTCTGACGCCAGGGACGCCATACTGTGTACTCCTTTTGTCGTTGCTTTTCCAATCGGAATTTCAATAGATCATCACTGCCTTGCATTGCTTTCACATACATATATAAGGGAGTCCGGGCCCTTGAATCAAATCGCCCCCCCCCCTTATACATATCTCGGAGCTGGTCTCCTCCATCACTATCGACTAATATGAAAACTCAAGCTCCTCAGTTCTACACTACTCCAGGTCGCACCGGGAAGATTAAATCATGGATTCTTCGAATGGTCTTCGTTGTGGCACTAGCTTCTACGCTGCAAATGAGCACCGTCTATGCATGGCTCTGGATCTGATACACCCGTGCGTGCCAATAGCCTAGCTCCAGAATCCACAGGCGCCCCCGATCACACCAGGAAAACCAAGGTATAGGATAATTTGAGCATGCGTATGAGATCCACGTTGATAGGCTTCGCGTATGCTAAACCGGTGAGCTCATTGTGTCTGGCAACGGTCAAGTCGAAGTTTTTAGTCGATATCTGACCGAATTTCCAGGAAATTGCAGAGGAGCGCAAGGGCCAATTCATCAGCGTCAGTAAACTGATTCTTTTAAATCCTCTCTGGTCCCTGGTGACGGACGACATGTATCTCTTGCCGAAACTTGGTATAGTCAATCAGAACCCCGACAACGTGAGTGTCGTCAATACCATCTGGCAATTGGGTACTTACTTGAAATCAAAGGTTCATTGGAATGTCTGTCAATTTTCTTTCTTTATCATCCCCGGGCCATATGCTGACCTGGACCTTTTTTACATGCAGTGGCGCATGAATTAGGTTAATAGTTGACCATGTCAGACTTCACTTCATCTATTTTTGAATTCTTAGCATAAACTACACTCACAATAACCGATCAAACCTCTACTGTCAGGTCTATAAAAGTCGCGAGGAACAATCCCCTCCGTACCCAGAACAACTTCCCCCTCCGTACCCGGAAAAGCGGCCCCCTTCCCACACAGAACGACCTATTCTGCACGTACCCCCTGCACAACCCGCGAATTTGCAAAATCCGATCGTCTTCTTCAAACAGGAGGCATTCCCCGGTACTGTTGCAATGCGAGTGCCCAAAACTAAAATTGAGGAATGGGGAATTAAGGCAATGTGTTACGAAAGTGAGAATCCACTGAGCTACAGTTTCTGTTTGATGGTCGACTCATTTCGGTTAAACCTCATCTAGGTACAAAGGATCTTTCAAAATTAAAAGGTAGTTGGAATGAGTGGAAGTCGAGTATTCGCGACCGGCCCGAAGACGTGGAGTTGATGTAGTGTATCAAAGTGTTAAATGGAATCCGCGAAATAGGTCCATCAATTTGGGAAAACGGCACCTCTTGCGAAACTACTGTAAGGAAGTGAAACTCTCAATATGTGGAACATGGTATAATTATCTGACTTGGAATTAGTATCCGAGTCAAAAATATCATCAAATACTATCATATTCTCATGTAAATATGTACAATTGTTGCAATATATGAGATCGGATTATCATTGTCGTACAATTTCAAGATGAAGAAGCCATCAATATGAGACCTAGCTGTGCCGTTGCTTTTTGGATGGACCTCCGTCATTACCGATCTCGGATGTTTTGATTAAGTCCAATATGGGCCCAAGTCCTACAGGCATGTTCTCCAAACGTCTATCAGCTAGATCTCGTAATTGGCTGCTGAGATTGTCAAAAGTCTCATTCACAGTTGATTGTGAAAGTTTGTTCTGCGAGTATTCGGATCTGGTTTGGAGAAGGAGGCGGTTCAAGACATTTAAGTGAGTGTGCTCTGCGATATCACGTCGAATCATTGCAGACAGTTGGAATTTGAGTTCTATGGGGTTTGTCGTGTCGCATCAAGGAAAAAGCCCGGAGTTGTGATGGGCTCACCTTTAAGCTCCCTATGTAGACGCTCATTCTCTTGCTTGGTATAAGTCTTCTCATTCTTTTTGAACTGGTCTACAGGGCTGTTTACGTCCACAAAGTCCTTGATACTACTGTCCACATCATTGAGCGGCTCATTGACACTGTTGGCTCTCTGTTGGTTATCTTGCTCAGCTGGCATAAGCGTAGTCTTGACCTTTGCATTTAGGTTATGACTTTCCGACACCTGATGTGGAATCTCCTCTTCTTTATGGTTGCTGTCGTGGTTTGGTTCCGTTTCGTGCATCTCGGTAGTAGCAGGAATAATGTCAGCCTACACACGATGTCAGTTCTGCCTAAAATGATGAATGATTATATATTCACATTATTTTGAACGTCGTCCGCTTCATTTTCAACCCCTTGTGATGCCAAAGCAAGTCTTTGACGGCGCTGTTCTCTGTTACGTACAAGACATGGAGCACAAGTTTTGTAGCGGTACCCAGGAGGGAGGATAGTAGTACCACATCGCCCGCACAAAGTAGAAGAATGACTTTGGTGACCGATATTCCTACAGGCCAAGCAACTCCTAAAGCCAGCATTGCGAGGAATATAGGCACCACAACCACCGGCACAAACAACGTTCATGCGGCGCTCACGATAGGTCCTGCGACAAGCCTGACATTTTTTGTAACTTTGATCAAGAGGAATAGGGTTGTTACAGCTCTTATTGACACAGAATCGGACGATGTCATCCTTCGACGTGTTATTCTGGTGACCGTGATGCCTCTTGCTCCTCCTAATCTTTTCTCCATGATCGGTAGACAGATTGTCCTTCGGTTCATTGCTACTGTCTTGGGCTTGGGGATCATTTCGAGAAATTTGAAGATCAGGAGGACACGGCTGGGAGGATTTGGACAAATCAGACAACACAGCTTCACTGCACGTATATATAGAGCTCCTCCGCTCTGCATCGCAGGGCATTCAAGATTTGTGATTGGAGAAGTCGACATATTCTGGTTACTCTATTACAGTGTTCAGGCTTAATCTATGGGAAATAAGAAAACAAATATACCTTCTCCACCATTGCCAAAAGTTATGTTTCCAGGTCTAAGGTTAAGTACGGAGGAAGATAGCGAAGACTCAGAGTTGGAAGCAAGCCACAGTACGGCATCATCCGAATCTGGGATAAGTACTCACGGTTCCGCTACGGGCCGCACGATTTTTGAAAGTTCGACACGGCAGGATCATTTTCGCGTGGACCGTGGGCAGAACATGTTAAATTCTCCGGAATAAGTCAATGCAGATGTATCAATTTGATTCGAGATCTCCTCGAAAGACCTGCTGTACCATATATACTGGATATTATGATAAACTTGTGTACACAACTTATCTCAGTGCAATAGCCGGAGCTTACAAAGGATGAGGCTTTTTATAGTGGGAGCTTCACCTTCAAGTTGGTAAGCGAAAGGAAAAAATTGTACACGAGAGTTATGGCATTCTATCTTCGTTGCGAGTATGTTAACTGGGTCGTTGTGTATAATAAGTTGGCCCAAGTAGGCCCAAGTAGAAAGTGCGAATGGGTCCTGACACTACTACGAACGTCCCACTGAACTGGCCAGAGAGTGCGCCAGATTCGAACGGTGCCGGGTGGAAGTCAAATCCTACAGTCTGTATCTGTGTACGAGTCGGGTTGATAGTGAGGATGAACCCGGTTTGAACCTGGACAGATTGTGTCAATGAACGGATTGAATGACAGGGAGTAATACATACAGCTACATATCTCAGGCTGGTATCTGGTATCTGGTCTAAATCCTCGACATTCAACGGAGGCGCTACATCGAGTACGTCAAAAGTCTTGCAGCACGAGCACTGAGTACATGGCGCTTTCCATGTACGAGTGAGCTCAAATACAAGGAGTTACGATTTAGTTTATGCACGAAGTTGTTGATCATATTAATCACCGTGGGTGAACAGTGATCATCATGATCGATATTCGGCCATTTGATCTTATTTTCTTGTCGAACGCGTTTATAATTATCACCTCTCGCTATGTGCTTGAGAGCGATTCAAACGGCCGGAGTGTCAAATCTGTGAGTTTTCTATGTCTAGCTTGTAAAACAGAAAATCTTAATAGCGCACAATGGCTTGTCTTTTCCGAATGGTCTCAACTTATCGGTCACCTTACATTCATGTACTGAACTTACTCGTGCGTAATCGCGTCGCATTTGACGACGGTTGACAAACCAGCTTGATCGTAGCAACATTATACTCCTCAGAAGACCAAATTATTCATCTTCCTGAGGATGTTACAAGTAACTTCAACGCTTCTGCTCCGGCCCCAGACAGGCCCGATGCCTTCTCACCTCACCACATATTTATCAACACCATCAACTACTTGTGCGCCTACATTCATAGGGTTCTGAAGCACAGTCGGAGGAGAGAAAACTAGATAGACCGAACCAAACGACGCGCTGGGAGGATTCCACATTTGCTTTTCTCCAATATCTCTAGCGTCAATTCTAAGCAATTCTACTAGTAGTAATAACTACAGAGATGCAAGAATTCCAGTTGTACCCTGCTGTAGTAATGATTGTTCGGCAGGATCTCCTTATTTTACTTCTATCTCCTTGGATTCTCTCATTGCAGCGGAAGAAAACAGAGAACAAGTGTCAAGATCGCTACCGACACTCGACAAGCGAGCTGACTGCGGACTGCTGTGGAAGGGACCCAGAATGACCCCCTCTAATTGAATTTGATGCCTTATCTTCCAAAGGTCTATCTGGTGTGAATCATGGAAGCTCCAACGAAGTGGAAGACCAATGATTGATGTTTTGAAAATCCAGAACTCGTATCATTTATCCCTCGCATGAACCCTCCTGACCCTCGCACCACTTCCTTCGACCCACAGATACTTCAACAAGAAACCAACCATGCTAATGCAATTCCTAACCCATCGCCCCCTTCAGCTTTCCCCTCTTTCAACTCTGTTATATGTGAAAATGACATCGCTACAATAAAAAGCTATCTCAAACGCACAACTCACTCAGACGAGTCCACTGGCGCCGACCTAATCACATACTCAATTGTTCAAGACATCGACAATGATCGCCTTGCCTCATTCTTTGACCGTGCCTTCCAACTCAAAAAATTTCCTACATCGTGGCTTGTGTCACTCATAGTAGATATACCCAAACCAGGGAAGGATTCTGCAGACCCCAACAACTACCGAACGATTGCCTTGGAAAGCTGCATCCTCAAATTTGCCTCTCTCCTGCTACATCTCAAACTTAGCCAGGCTCTGGAAGAAGCTCACATTCTCCCGGCATCTCAAAACGGGTTTAGGGCTGGTTATCGTACTAACAACAATGTCTTCATCCTACGCACACTGATTGAGAAAGCAAAATCCTTTATTATCCATGCTCGAGCAAATTCAACTGCTCTTTCTCCGCCGCATGCTGGGTCTATCCCGTCGTTCCATTCTCGCACCTCTCTTCACAGAGACTGGTATCATGCCCATACGTACCCGTCGTGTCATTCTTGCCCTTCGCTACCTCATTTGCCTCCTAAAACTCGGACCGGAGCACTACGCTCACCTTGCACTGCAGGAGAACTTCAACCTTCGAAACTCCGGCATGAAATGCTGGCTTTTAGATGTCGACTGGGCAATTCGCCATCTTCCTTCTTCCACTCTCTCCCTCCCCGCATCAGCACTACTATCCGAAACGTCACTCCTCGCACTCATCAATTCCATCTCCAAGGAGTCCGACACCTATCTCCAGTCCAAGTAGACTCCAGCCATCGTCTGGCGTTACTCCACGGCCGTCTTGAACCGCAGAAAGAGGGCCCATCAAAATATATTGCTCGGACGCTCCGCCATTACCTGATCCACATCCGAAACCATTCCCACCGCCGTTCTCTCACCAGACTACTGTGTGGAGACATGGTTCCCCTCACTTTCCGGTCATCGCCAGCAAGAATTGATCCCTTGCTACCAACAGAGGTGCCCACAAAACAGTGCCGGTCATGTCAGTCACCTTTCCACCCAGAATCCCCTCAACATATCTTCCTCCAATGTGCTGCAGACCACACAATTGTCGGCCTACGGACTGCCTTTCTTGACGACATATCGCCCTCATTCCCTCTTCCTCGTAATCGCCTATTCTCAAACTCAGAAGCTCTCCACTATCTCAAGCGCTTCATCTTCAATACGTCCTCCACCTCTCGTACTGCACGCTTCATCCACGAGGCTGCCGTACACTGGTCATCTCTGCATCCTCCTCTCCCTCCGCCGAACAGAACGATGACCACACCGCGAGCGGAAGTGTGGGTGACGACTCAACATAGCCTCCCGATTCTTCCTTCATCCCCTCTGCCCGCTGTCACTCTTCTACATTGACATTTCGACGTTTTCATCGTTCGCATTACTACCTTCGTGTAACTGACTGCAAGACCGTTTCTCGTATTTACGCTCTCTGTGATACTCTCTCCTGTTCTCATTCTTTTTCATACACTCTATCTCGTACCCGTACTCTATTTATGAGAACTCTATCTCATACACTCTTTACTCTCTCGTACTCGTATTCTTGCGTGACCTTTTCTCGTTTCTCTCTCGTACTCGTACTCTTGCTTGTCCTCGTTTGCCACTCTCTCACTCGTGCGCGGTACGTCGGCAGTAGTCTACCTTCCCTCACTGCGGGTTGAGCTCGCTGTTGTTGTCCTACCGTAACCGGCTGTTCCGAGACGGGACCCCGTCTTTCGAGGCGGTGCCGTGTATTAATCTATCTATCTATCTGCGTGCAAATATCCTATACTGGCTGCTTCGCTATGTGAATCGTGGGTGATCACACGCGCAATCTACACTCGAGATTATGCACGCCAAATTTCAGAGGTCCGTCTAGTAGATCACCACACGTTCTATGAAAGCAACAATGCTGATACGTTGTGGGGAATCACAGTACTTTTTGAGCAAGCTGAGGTTTGTTCAATTATGGCTCTAATTTGGGACTCTTTCGGGCCTGAGTGCCAGGGTTATCTACGAACGACGCCTTCCGCTTGCTTAGCGACCTTGACGAGCCTAAACGGGAGGAGGAATACGTGAAGACACTGCAGGAAGCGACTGAGTCAGTAGGAAAAACGACAGGAATAAAAACCATGTACCGTTTGTCGCATGTTGCTTCCCTATCGCCGAAGTAGTGTCCATTCGCAAGACCCATAGTGAATACATTCGTTCCAGCTGTGAGAAATGCATCAGAAAAGAGTCACCTAACTGAAATAAGCGTAAACATACTCTCCAACGCCAACGCCCGTACGAAACTTCTTTACCGTCCCAACGAGCAGCACAACTATCAAAATAAAAATTGAGCCACGCCTCCCTCGGAGTCTTGACTAATTTTGACACGATCTGAATTCGTCACTCTAAATACGTGACCGTCTGAGAATTCCGTACAAACAAAAACGGTGCATCGGCTGAACCTGAATTGCTTTGGTAGACGTCCGCGATATGTTTGATCTTCTCGTTGGCGGACTCGAAGTCCAAACCGTAGATGTAGAGATTGATGTCGGATGATGTCCATTCTGGTGGCGGTGGTTCAGTGAGATATAGTCGTTCCCAGACAGGGACAGTACATAGCGGTCGGAGGAGTGACCGGTGTCAGAAGTGCGCCGGGTACAAGGCCTCCAGCAACGAAGACATTGCTCCTGTCGAGACCCGCAAGGGGACCTCCCGACATACAGTCAAAACGACCTTCGAAATCTGAAGGTGAAGGTTGAACGTACATTATTGGAGGTTGTTTGTCAGCAAGTACAGTGTATCCTGGTGAAGCATCGATAGAGATATTGAGAGCGTGAATGTAGGCAGAGTCATTTGGTGAAGTAACTGGATTACACCTATGTAAGGTTCTATGAAGATTGAAGACTCAAACTAGACCGGCTGACCACGGCTTCAAGACAGAAGCAGATGCTGCGTGGGGCTCGGACAAAGTATGGAGAAAAATTCATTACCAAGGACCCTAAAGAAAATGAGGTGAGTACACATAGTGAGAGCAGTGGATTTTAACAAATAAAATTCACCATTCGTTGACGTCATTTACGAATTCATCGTCTTCCAATACCTTTCATCCTCTTCGTGGGTCCCTGTTCGCCTCCGTTCGTCTTTGCTTCCGACGCGTCGAATTGGATACGATAGCTTTGACCATGACCAGAGACCCTTCTTCAGGAGCTCATTAGCATTTCAATTTCCACAGCTCCTTCCTTTGTCACCAATGCCTTCTTCGACATTTTCACCGATGTATCCTTTGTAGTTGAGGTTGACGATTGTCCAAACCTAGGATCCGACACGTGGCGGTGGCTGAGGACCTCTTTCTCGACCGTGTCTTTCCAAAGCTTGAGCTGCGTGTTCACGGCTTCAACAGCGATTTGGTTTGCATGTTGGACCGCTGCAAAACTTCGCGAAGTTCAGGGTCGGTGTAGTGCTAAGCTAGAAAGCATAAGTACCGTGGTTTGTTCGGATGGGACGGTAACTCTCACACAGTCTTGCTTGAGGATCAGTACGGACCTGTTGCCTAAAGAAAGTCCAAAAAGTGACTTTCTGAGGAGGGGGCCGGCGTAAGTGTCGCATGTTGAGCAGTAGGTGCGGGACCATTATCACCTGACGCTGGTGGAGCATTCGGAGGGCCGGTAGGGAGATCTGTATTGAGAAAGATGGAGTAGGAACGACTTGAGGTGCAGTTCCACGCACAGGACGCGAAGATGGTGTGTCTTCCGCAGCGGTGCCGGCGTCCTTAAAATGACCTTTGAGGGCATGTGCACCACTTCGAAGAAGATGTCTTACAAGTTGCGAAAGAAGGTCCTGGAGCGTAGCCCTTCCATATTCGAGCAATCTCATTCTTTGTGTATTCAGGTACACTTGATGGAAGAAGACGAATAGAGTATGTGCTCACTTGGGAGGTTCTGCTAAACCAATAGGTTGTCTCATTCTTCATAGAAATAACACCCTCAAATTCCAGTCATGAATCTTCCCCATACTTGCATCTGAGGAACTGGCAGGCAAATGTGAAACATTTGAAAGGACAGAGAATCCAAGTCACGCTTACCCATTCTACGGAAAGCTGGAACAAATCTGTTTCAAAAATACACCCCAATTATCTCGAAAATCTACCCAGTGTTCAATACCTCCAGATTGCAGACGTAGCTTGAATACTATACTCAGCTCGCTCTATAGTTAGAGTAGAGCTTGAGTTCTTTAGCTTTGAGTTAATTAGTCGGCGGAGAGATTGAATGTCTCTTTGTAGAGTAGACGGAGAAGGAGGACCATATTATGTTCTCAGAGCGGGAGAGAGGTTCAAAAATGAAGATAGGCCAGTTGTATGACCATCCTTGTGCGAGGACCTGGTAATAAGCAATACTTAGGTAAAGAGTAGAAAATCCAGCTAGAGCAGACGTCAGCCGCACCTGCACCATGGCCAAGTTCAACCTATTCAGATAGATCTTTCTTTCCGCGCCGTGAGCATCACTCCACCGCTTTATCCCGCACTGCTCATACTTCATAAGGCGGAAGAAGAATGAAGGGCTTCTAAGCATGAAAAGGTGAGGTTATTACCCTTTGACAAGGAAGGGAAGTAAGTAGGGTAGGCGGAAACCATGAACCCTCCCGTTCGCACTGTTCGCGCATCTGCGGGATGGTGAAGATGAACTAATGAGTCTGACAAATTTGTGACCGTGTTCACGGTGTTGGGCAGTTGTTTGCAGGAGAATCTTTTGAGCGCTTATTCTATATTTTGGTTTAGAACCATGAAAAGGGTTATTAGAACGAGAACCAGGAAGGCAACTAAGGCCACCAAGAAAAAAAGGAAAGAGGAAAGCTTTGCTACGTATGAAGTCGGTTTCATTAGAACGGCAACAAAAATAAATAGCGAAGACGGTGTAATATGGGTAAGTCCATTACCATTTACTAATGGCCGCTAGTACTAAGAGTTGTACTACAGAAATATCTCATTCATGTAAGTGGTATGCTATTACCTTATATTGGGAATGAAGTTATGTCCATAGTGGAAAGGCTGGCTGGAGGAGACGTAGGTGATATCAGTATCCACTCGCATATTGTCTAACTTCTCCCTTGCATTTACTAGTAATGAACCAGCATATGCCCTGCGTTATGCTGGAGATGCACTGACACTGTTCTGGATCAACGTTGAAAATCCTCATGATATCTATTACGACGAAGATGTTGACACTGTTGTCTTACCAAACCAAACATATATTGATCACAATAGTCAGTTGCTTCCTGTTCTTGAGTCTTGGTCTGCAATAGTGATTAGAAACACAGTGGACAAATCTGAAGACGACATTGATCTACCACCAACTTACTCACAGAATAAAATAACAACTACGAGCAGTAACCCCGGACCCACTGGCTTTGATGGTCCTTCACAAGAAACTATCCTTATTGATCCAAAAACTTTGTGGCTACCTCCAGATCGATTGGGATTTGATTGCAAGAACTGGAGATTGCTGTACCAAGTGAATTTAAGTCCCTTCATGTGCACCTCAGGCTTGATTTGAACATTCCTACAGATTGTTTGCTTGTCCATAGACACGGCTGCGATTGGAATATCTAGTAGAGACTTTTTTCAGACCATCAAGAAGGCTCGAAAAGAGGTTTGTCATTCAGCATGCAGTATATTGAGCTCTTACATGGTATTTCAGCATAAGTCAGATGATTGGGCTTACTCTGAAAGCTGTGTGGTAAGATTGTTTCTGAATAATCCTTTTAATACTGATCTATTGAATATTTTGGTTAGGTATGTGAAGAACACATAGGGAAGGTGGTCACAACCTGCTTGTGCTTTAAGAAGTCATACTGTGCTGTATGCGCAGTTGGGATGATCAAGCAATCACATGTCAATGGTTTCTTCAAATGTGCGATTTACTCTTTCAGAAATTCAGGACAACTCACACTTCGACAGGTCCATGCTGCCGCCAGGATCCAGTTTTCTTTGTGGCTATAGAATGGGCCTTTATCAGTGATCCTGATGCACAATTGAGACAACGAGCGGCCGGAAAAAGACGAAGGGAAGCAGCTAAAAAGGCGCGAAAGCGGGATCACAAGATGAAGATACATGACCAGTGTGCCGAAATTGAGCTGGAGGATGGGGAAATTCAGGAGTGATGTGACGGTTGTGCTAGAGCATATGGTAGTGTACATAGTATAAAAGAATGATATGGTATATATAGAGGTGTAATTGGCCATAGAAGTGATCATAAGGTGTGGGATTATTTCAGAAGAAAGAAGCACTGGCTCGACGAGTTCTTCGATGTGAAGCAGATAACTACGCCATACATGTATTGAAGGTGTTTATTACTGAAAGGAGTGGATATAATAGAGTGAGTAGCTTGTGCCAATACATACAAGGTCCCAGAAATGCAATGTGTATACAACGAAGTGTATAATTCAAGGGCACATTATGACTGCGATGAATGAAACGACGAACGGAAATGATATTCCTTAATATGAACCCAAAAATAGTTGTTTCAGGAAGAATTGTGATATTTCCAGTCGAAGGAGGAAACGAACATGCAAAATCTAACATGGAATGAGGAAACGAGCGAGTCTAATGCATGTTTGAAAAAGCACAATACTCTTGGTCGCGAGAGAAATCAGGCGGCGGTCGGAGTCAACGTTGGAACTGAAGAGCCGCGAAGTCGACTCCATCCTGCTGGATGGACAGTGGTAAAGTGGCTGACGAGTACCGAGGTGGGAGTATCAGCGTCAGTATACTTGTCCGGATACCCGTCATGTCGTGAACTACGGTGTAGTCAGCAAAGTGCACATTGGGCATATAGATGATTTAGGGACAACTCACCGACACAACTTGCATATGTTGCCTGGATGTTCCAATTTCAAAACCTCTCCCAGTGCTTCCTTCTCTGCACAACTCGTTTCATCCTCATCCTCGCCCCCTTCCTCTTTACCCTCTTTATCCCTTCCCGCTTCATCGACTTCTGACCCCTCTGCTTCCCCATTGTTGACCGTTTGACAACTTCCTACGTTTGAAATCATTGGGCCAGAAGGATTATCCGACATCAAGTTGCTTTGTGGGTCCTCCACGTTTTCTAGGTGAGACTCAACCGATGCAAGGGCGTTCGAAGGAGAGACCAGCTGATCCTTCTCTGTGATTCCAGCACCCTTCCCTCCCCTATCGCTTTAGGGTGGGAGGGCAACCCCAAATTTGGGGATTGGAATATTACGTTCCCAGCTACCAGTTGATTGAAATGAGGCGAAGGGACAACATCCTAGACCATGGGTTCAAAACCCCGTGGCACGGTAGGGGCCTTAGCGGAGTGAACGAGAGTCGTCGGTTCTTTTCCATCTAGACGCATACGCTTGGAAGGACTTAAAGAGACACCCTCATTGATACTCGGCGCGCGTTTTAGTAGTGTTCGAATAAGAAGGGGGGATGGTAACGTCGGATACTGTTCCTGATCGGAACTAAGCGATCTATCCAACTGAGGAGGAGTTGGTGGAGCTGGTCCTTGGATAGGCTTCTTGTCATCAATCTGTACGTTGTGGACTTGCGCCGCTATATGTACGTCGCTGGAAGAGGACACTAGAACAGGCGTGTGATATACAACGGTGCTAAGCGGGCCCATGCGAGATACAGACTGCAGCACCGTAGAGGGATTGGACTGATGGACGTTACCGAAGATGCGAGGATTTTGTGCGCTTTGCGAAGGCGATACTCTGTTCGAAGAAGCATACGAGCGTATGGATTGATTATTTGCAGGAACCGGATAAGAATGAGGAGTCGATGGACGAGATACTTGAGTCTCGAGAGATGCAGTATGTTCCAACGGAATCATTGGTGGTAGTCGATTATGTGGAGGAACAGATGAACGAGAAGATTGGTTTTTGAGCGTGCAGAATGGCTCTGCCGGTTCATTCGTAATTGGGTAGATTGGATGTTTAGAGGAACAGAATGGCTATGAGGGACTTTCGAACGAGACGAACGGTTTTCAAAAGGTGTAGGACGGCCCTGCGAGATCATCTGTACTTGACAATGAGACGAAGGGTGAGAGGATGCGGAACGTTGTGGGTGAGTGATCGTGGGAGAAGGGTACGGGCAGGTCGTGGAAGGTTGGGAACGAGGCTGAGGCTGAGAATGAGAGTGAATGCCAACCTGGGCGGGAACACGGTTCGATTGCGGAGCGTTATACTGGGCCTGTAACACTTGGCCTGGCATCGAGATACCGATGACAGGACGCTCATGAGCGAATGGCGAGATAGACGGGACAGAATGTCGGCGTTGGTTGGCAAGAGGCGTCACTTCGGGGGCGTTGTTCGAGGTTCTATGCGCAAAGGTCTGTGGTTGTGATGCTGTTTGGGAAGTTAGATGAACTGATCCGGTTGATTACGTAATGACTGGTATCAGATATTATTAGAGAACGGTTGTTCATATAAGGTTGCTGTTGGTGCATGTTCTGATCAACATTTGAGGGAGCCGCCGCTCGGGCTTGCGGAGGTCGTTGGTAGTCGACATTGAGCGACATGTCTAATCAGCAAAATCAGTAAAGCAGTACTGAGTCGGAGTGATTGAGCGAATAGCATCTACATACCGTCGGGACTGTTATCGCTTTTCACAAGTACTCCGAGAGCTAACCCGTCGTTGACAAATCTTTCGATAGTCGATGTGAGAGCTGCATATTGTCTTCGTAATCGTTCGACCTCCTGCTGAAGATCATGACAGACAGCAGGAAGTGCTTCAGGGGATGCAGCGAATAATGCATGATAGCGATCTGCTCTGTCCTTATAGAAGTCTCGCTCCGGGCCAATACTCTTCAATGTACGGTCAAGGATCTCGTTATCTTGCCAAAGTTTCTTCATGCTGGTTTCCATAGAAGACTGGGTATTCCTCAATGCTGCATTTCCCACTCTAAGGGCTGTATTTTCATTTCTAAGGGCCACGTTCTCGATTTTGAGTTACCAATTCCTGTGTCATTGCAAAATAAAAGCCCCATTCAGTCATACATTCGTTGGCAAAGCCAGAGAGCATCGTCATCACCGTCCGACTGCGAGCAGAGTTATCTGATTCTGCCTGAGTTGGTGAACTATAAAGAAAGAGTTAGCGCAATTGCCTCAATTATTCAGTCAGGGACAAACTTTTTTTCCGCCGTCCCTTCAGAGCTTGCTATATTGATTGCAGAGGCCATCAGAAACACCCCTCAGTGACTTGGATTTTTTAGTATTCCAGATTGGGCGAGAAAGAAGTATGGTGGATGAGTGGATGACTTCCCGTAAGGAAAATTCATAAAAGTCTCGTTTTATTCTCTCTCCAAACGAGTATGGAATCGAAAGGTACATATGTGACTTGGTGTGAAAGAAATTGATCCGTGACAGATAATTATTCAACACCTGATTGCAATAGTGGATGACTTCGCGCGTAGGGACTTTTTGAGAAAAGGCTCTTACAGCTGTTTGCATAACTAATGGCAGTAATTCGATCGATCAATTATGTAGAATACGTAGCTACTTACGCCAAATCATTGAATTCCTCCCGGAGCAGAATGTTGAAGAGAGGATGAAGTCTGAATGCCAGAAAGCTCTAAGCGTTTGTTCGTGAGCGAATGTATACAGCGCGGGAAGTAGAAGATACCGTCAGGCTGGTAGGTATGATCAGCGAGTGTAGTGATGAGGATAATGATTGAGCAGCGTACCATGCGGATGATTCCCATTACCCACATTCGCCGCTGTTGACCCGAGCAAAACACCAATCGATATAGAGTCATGGTTGGGGGTCAAACGTCATGTTAACTTTTCTTTCAACGACTCGTAAGTCAGAGTCCACCCAGGATCCTGCATACTACTCTGCGGTCACTTCAGAGGGCTTGTTGAATACCATCCATGAACTGTCCACGCTCTTCGCCGCGGCGAAGAGCATATTCTGGGCGCTGCAGCTACACCATTGTTAAATTCACCCCAATGCACCGAGGCAGGCATGAGTTTACCAGGATGAGGAGAGACGACGCTATTCATTGCATGGAGTTTGACGGAGAATTCGGATTGAGGAATAGTGAAAGCCTGGCGGGAGATAGAGATAATGGATCCAGGACTTGAAGTGAATATCGCCCGGCCATAGGGTAGCGCTGGTGTACGTGCTCTACAATGAGACGGACTTGCATTCGGTGGTCTTTAGCTTACTCGTGCTCACTGAATTCTTTATCGCAGAATCCTCAGGGAAACGTTTATGCGGAACCGTAGAAAAAAATATAGAGCAACGGCGCCACTTTGAAGGTCAAACGTCAAAAACGAGGCACCTGTGAAACAATTGAACTGTACTTCGGGAGTACCGGTAAAAGATCGTGATGCCCAGTTCTGGAGAAGGCGGCGATGTAGAAGAGAACACATTAGGGGTTGTAGAGCCTGTAAGGTGAGATCATCACTGGTGTAATAGTGGAAAGCTGTACAGGTGGTGGATTCGTTTGACATTCAGAATGTGGCGGGAAATGGCGAAGACAATTCCCCAGTAACGGATATGAGACAATCAATGATGGCATTTACGATGGCGAGAATGTGTCTAAGAGCAGTACATTCCATTCGGTGCTGATTGAAAGATTGTAATGAATGACCACGGCGATGATCCTCATCCGTGAAGTTTTTCCTACCTGATTTAAAGAGGTCAGGCCTAACTTCATCAAGCTTCTTTGCAGCCAGCCCCGCAGCCTCCATGAAGGAGGGGTCCACCTTTCCATCAGCGCCTCCGGAGGAGGAACAACAACCCCGTACACAAGGTCGTTGTTAACAAGGGGCATTGGGCAGCTGTTCATAGCAGGTTGAAAAATCAGGCTGGGACACAAAATGCTATGCCCGGATTAGTGAGGTTGATCTTGATGAGCTTCATCCCATGGGTGGAACCTTCGCCTACCATCTGATCCAGTGACCAAATGCTGTCGCGACGGTCGGGATCAACCCGCTCTTTACCGAGGTACCCGGAGGTGCTGCCAAGAATATCGCTGAGGTGAAGGCCGGCGTAGATTGAGCTGGCATTCTGGGCATGGCTGAACTTCGGCTGGTACCCGAAGGCTCCGCCCTGGGCTCGCTGCCTTCTAGCCCTCCGCTTTGCATGCTGTCAAGATTGATTTGAAGGAGGCTTAGCCATCTCTCGAACTGGCGAAGCAGGCGGCGGTTGAGGGGCCCGTGGACGCTTTCGAGCCCTAGCGCTAGGGACATCTACGAAGGACGCCTTTCGCTTGCCTGACGACCTCGACGAGCCTGGGCGGGAGGGGGTAGGATCCAGCGGAGCATGCTGGGAGCCGGAGTAAGGGGCTTCGGCGGGCATGGGGAGGCCTGACGGGGTGGACAAAGGACTAGCAGGTGGGGAGGCGGAGGGGCTGAAGGGAGGAGGGGGATGAGGGGAATCCACGAAGTCGGGTCGAATACCATCCCGGGCCAGTTCTGTAGCTCAAATGGTGTCCTGTAGGTTAAAGCCATCGGCAGCCCTAATTGGAAGTTCAGTCCAGTCGGCAAATGCTCTCCCTGGGCGAGTCTGCTCAAACAAACAGTTACAAAGGCGTATCCAAGCTCAGAATAGGTTGACGTGCCGTTCTAGGTCTAGTCGGGGGCTGCAACTGCCAACGCGTTCAGCAAAACAAATGAAGCGGCGGGTAAATGAGGCGTGAGTTAAGAAAGACGTAGGCTACTAACGGAGGGCTCCGGGTAATTCAGCTAGCGCCCAGGCATAAATACCAGCCGTCTTTCCGGAGCCTCTGGCATAGAGCAACGTACCGTTGGTCATGAATGACACCAGAACCCAGAGCCAGAGTTGGCAGGCCACGTTCCTCATGGGCCAGCAACCATTTTGATGGTGTGTAACAAAGGGCAGCAACTTCAGCGTCGGCTCTAGGGCATCTTTACAGGGCATGTGATTATGTGGTGCATAGAGTAAAAAGTTTTAGAAAAGAGCTCAGTTCAGCACAGTGAAACTAGCTCACTTCATCCTATAACTACTGTTGGGTGGTGTAGGCTGGTTTGTACATATGTATTAGTATTGGTTGGACCACGAATCAGCGGAAAAAGCACAGACAGGATAATCGAATTACATAAATATCATTGCCCTTCACTGGTAGGGAAATGATCCAGCTCGATGGGCGGACTCATCGTGGTTGTTGCCCAACCTATAAAGGATGATCAGCAAATGAATTTGAGTGAATCCTAGGTTTCCTTACCTTCATTGTTGCATTCTCGCTCTTTACCTTGCTGTTGTTCAGTTTTCCAGCCTCAAACCATCTGAAACACCAAAAGGCATAGTTAGTGGATCCGCATACTATATCAACATGCCTCCCCCGCCTACCCTCGTGCATGGCTCGGCGTCAGACCACGGGCATGGATCATCTACACCACCTCCGCCAGCATTAAAAAAGACCACCGACTGCTCTTGCTGCTCCAATGTTGACATCGAGAATAGAACTCATAGAATTCTCCGCAGGAACCAACGACGCCGCCGCTTCCCTCCTTCGCGTCATTACCTTCCTTTCCTTCTTTGCCAATGATACGATCACCTGCCTCCTCATATTCGGCCCGCTCTGTTCACTCTGCTCCTCCCTCTCCTCCTTCTCCTTCTCCGCATTCCCCATTGCCCCTTCTTCTCTGCCCTGCCAATCCCAGCCTTCTCTAATTGAGCGTCGCGGAAAGATTGTTATACAAGATATATCCCCACTCTCGATGGAGTAAATCAAACACTCAAGTGTTATTCCCTGTGACATGGTGTGCTTGCAGCTATGAAAGAGTCGGTATCCAGATCAGCAACTCCTCTTGAAAATATCAATTGTCAGGTCACTTCAAACTCACCGATGAATGGCGAGATCGTATCCGGCGATTCGGGCGGTTCAACCCAGTTTTTCTCTAGGCCCTCGTTAATCAATTCCTTCCAAGTATCATTCAACGCCACGTTGAACAAAACCGCTAATGAGTTTCCATCCTGCGGAGTGAGGGTTTTCGAAGTGTTGTCCCTGTACATTCCAACCTTAAGCATCCAAAAGGCGGAGTTGAATGTGGGTTGAAGGCAGAGACGTTCGCAGAATAGGTGAGGGAAAGAGTGGTGTGGCGGGCATAGAATATAAGTCGCTATTATGAGAACCTGGTGTGGAAGATGATAGAAGGTTACAGCAGGGAAAAGACGTCACAAGAAAGACACCTGCCTTATACAAAATTGCGTTTCCTTCGGAATTATGTCCTCCGTCTCCTTGCCTCACCCAATCTCTTAGCCCATTCACGTTCGGGAGGCCGGAGCTGTCAACCTTACCCTCGATGAAAGTTACAGCCAAGGTGTAGTTCAGCCATATAGTGTTGAGCCATTCAGAATGGAAGTAGTAATTATCTGGGGAAAAAACAGGGCAGTCAGTGAGACATCACCAGGGAGAGGTGCAGGACAAGACCCAACGGAGAAGGAGGAGGTACTAGTCCACCGGCTTTAGACGGTACCCCCAAAAACCGATTCGAAACACGCCGCCGGAGAAATATTTGAAAATGCTGGTCTTGCTACACTGGAAGCTCCTGGAGCGGTAGATAGCTGATGCCCTCGTGCTGATGATGGTGAATCCAGAGTGGGAGTGCTCCGGCTGTCGGAGCCTAAGGCCACCGAAATTCGAAATTTAGAGGCCGCTGCGGAATGAGCTGGGACTGAGGCAGATGATAGGGAGGGAGGCCTTCATCGTCGCTGAAGTTGGGCCGTAAGCACCGGGAGGCAAAGGCAGAGGACATGAGCTCCTCAGAGTAGGTGAATACGCTAGAGATAAACCTGGAAGCGAGGGAGGTCGGGGTATGGATGATGGAGTTGCGAATCCACAAAGAAGTCGAATTTACTAATGAATATGACGTTGTTAAAGTCGGAGAAGCAAAGTATGAGCTGGCCCTGCTGGACGGGGAGCTCGGGCTTGCTCCATAGCCATCGCCTCAACGCCTGGTGCGTTCTCGAAGTTTCTCAACCCTCTAGCGCCATTTCCTGTCCAGATCTCATCATATAACGTCTCCAGCTCATCATCTGTCCTTCTTTCCTTCTGAAAGTATGTTGAAATTGGGGATGCCGAGGGCAGAGGTGAACTTGGGTATGGAGGTGTGGGCGAATGGGAGATAGAGAATTCCGGCAGAGGTAGGGGTTGGGTTCGGACAGTATTCCAGGATTTCATCATTATAAAACGCAGAAGCTGCGTAGTCCAGATAATCAACTAGATATGAAGAAAAATCCAACACTTACTTTGAGGATGCAGGGGTCGGTGGGCGAACAATCCAATGACCACCGTAGCCTCTGCAGCTTATATAACCGGGTAGCGAGGGTGAACATGATTCCAACAAGCCTATTGAGAGCAAATCGCAATGCGAAACGAACAAGATATAAAAATTAATATCCCGCATGTCCAGTCGGAGAGTATTTGCGCTCTCCATCGACATACCACAAAAGTTCGGAACGAGGTGTGCACAATTAGCATGTCGCATTCAACGAGGTGCGCATGGCTAGTTAGATCGCATTCGGAACATTTTCGTGCGTTCTGACGACCAAGCGGAAGCATGTATCCACAGTGACTTTTCATGGCACTTCTTATGACATGTGTAATGGCAATCTTCGCACTAGTAACCCGTGGCATTGAGTGAGAAGTCGCTACAAAAGGCGCAGAGCATGAGCTGATAAGCCTGCTTTTGAATAAACTTGTGCCTGCTCATCACATGCACTTCGCCCTTCCGTTTACGGACAACGCCTTAACGACCTACACCGCCGAGAGGTGCATCGATCTGGCGTTTTCAGACGTTTTCGTTGACTGATTATTTGTCGATGAGCGTCCACGTATGAAGATGACACGTTTGCGACAGACCCACCAAAGTTCCAAGTGCAAGAGAATAGCACCTGCAGGCTCGACTGAAAACCATGCCTCGATACCTTCAGATGGTTGCTGTGGTATGCCATCTCCCATGCTTCCCTGAGGACCAAAGCCACCAGGAGGAGCAGCGCCAAAGCTGAGAGGGATGTTCGGGTCCGCCGAGTTTGAATGACCAGCATCACCATGCATAGCGCCAGAAGGAACCCAGCCACCTTGTCCGCTCTCCATAAATACCTTTTGCCTCCTCAGAGCTTCGACAAGATCACTGATGCGGATCCATAATAGAATTATAGGAACCGCATGTGTTCCACCGACCTGCTTGTCGTAAAGAGCAGTTTCGACTTCGTTTGCCTTGTCGACAGCGATTTCAAAGTCTTCATTCTAACGATCTGTGCGGGAAGGATGTGATCGAGCTAGTCGGGTGCCTTCGACTTTGAGTGATACGGAGGTTTCGACGACTTGGTTTTTCGATGAACGAAATCGAGTTATGATGGGTGCATGGTCTAGCTCTCTGGCGCCTTGAATAGCGACTGAGAGAGTACCTGATAAAGGTTTTGCTCGGAGGGTTTCTTTCCATTCTCCTTCGATTCTTGTACTGTCTGAAAGGGTACAAGTTATAGAATGAGCGGAAATTCCAATGCAGATGTAAACGCACTAGGTTCTTCCTCTTCCTCGGCGAGGGCATCGTCCAAAAAATGCAGATTTTTGTACCGTCTTTGAGCAAATGGAAGAAGCTGTATTTTCTTCTCACTTTCTATCTTCTTGCTCTCCGCGTCCTGCCTCGATTTCTTGTCTCCATCAGCCTGGTACTTGTACTGCATTTTGACTTGAAGTTTAAAATCGAGCTGGTGCGGCATTTTCGTAAGGGGAGTCTCGGCTTTGATTAGAGCATGCTTTGTGTGGGGCGATCCGGACGCACTTGAATGAAGAGAACGCTTCATAGATGTGTCCGCTGGGTTGTCGCAGCCGTTTCGGTCCTTCTTCGGAGGAACCGGCAACTGGAGAACCTCGCCAGCTTTTGAGCAGTCATTGGCGACGATCTCATGGTAGACTTCCTTGTTGGTGTTAAATTCCTTTATAGCTGCCTCAGTTTGGGCATTTGGGGCGAATTTGGTGAACATGCCAAGCATCTGATGACCAGCAAGAGTGCTGATGTTGATGTCGTGGCGAAGGACTGTGGCATAGGTAGTGGGGGGAAGGAACTTTGGCGAGGCAAGGTCCAATGAGTCAATGGTGATGATCTTGTCCTGTTTGTCGTAGAGAACGAGAGCGAGGAGAGACGGTCAACCTCGAGTTCGGAATTGGATGGCTGGCAGATCCATGGTAGGTGATTCCGGGACCCTCAATATTGAGTTCGACATGAACATGGTTTCAGTCTTTGGTATCTTGGAAAAAATTCGCGGGCGATAGTCAGAGGAGCCGGATAAGGATTTTTAGCGTCGTGGACTCCCTTGGTCTGCGTAAGCGCACGGGCAGAAAGTTCACCGGAGGAATGGATTAGCATCAGATCGAACGCCGAAGTTAAGCTTTCACATACCAAGATAGACCTTCTCTTCTAGGTGGGAATCAAGTTCACAAACAGCGAAGCCGGCGGTATTACCACCCTGGCTCTCTTCAACACCCATGGCGGTAGCGAAAGCCTCCCACATTCCGTCCTTCCATCCCAAGTAGTCTTCTTCCATACTCTTATCGTCGTCACACTCACCACGTATACCCATTCAAGTAGCCCCCATCTTTTCGAGCGCAGTGTCTACGTATTGTGAGATAACGGCGTAGTGCTCGTAGGTCTTGTTTCCTAGTCCGAAGGCGACATATTTGAGACCGGAAAGATCGTGAGCGCCTTGACTGAACTCGAAGGACTCGTCTTGGAGGTTCTGCATGAGCTGGACAGCGTTGTCGGTTGGTTCACCTTCTCCGTAGTAGCCATGACAAAGAAAACGGCGCGGTCCTCCGGAACAGTATTTGGTGTTCCGAAGTCGTATTCTTCAGGATCGCACACAAGCGGAAGTGAGGTCGAATTCTGCCTTGGCTTCCTTAGCGAGACGAATTGGCGTATTCCTATGGTGTATTCTTTTGGGAAATCGTAGGAATTAGAGACAGCGGGCGATGTCAGGAGGGACAAAGAAGGAGGGGTTGTCAATGACAATAAAGGAGATGTCCCATTGATGGACAGTAATGGATCCAAATTGGTAGGTGAAAGTAGGTGAAGTAGGTCTGGTAATTGGAATACGGTCATCGAAATTAGGCGTTGGTAACCCAGGTCGACTATCCATACGCCACCTGAACCACGATCTACCGGATTAGAAGCGAATCGTACGCAATTTGGGTGGATAGGAGCGGGCGCAAGGATAGTTTCGGGAAATAACGTTGGCTGCAGGTTTGAATCGAGAGTGGGTTCCTGATCCATTCTAGAAGGTCCGAGTGGAGAGGTCCGAGTGGAGAGGAAGATGAGATCGATGGTGATTCAGGCGCTTCGAGTGGCAGAAAAGGAGAGGTATATCTGCTTCTATCGGAGAACTGGAACGGGATATCGCTGCAAACTCCTTCTCTTTCTTCTCAACATTTCCGTCCTCCTTCACAGCCCGAGATACTTGTATCAGGACCAATATGGATAGCAAGTAGTTGGCCTCGCGTTCACCGGATTCACAATTCTAGTCTCACAACCCGATGTCGCGACATATGCAGACTGGAAAACAGAACGATATGTGCTGGTCGGTGCACGCTTTTTCACAGGAAAGGCTGCAAAACGCCCTCCTCGTCCTCCGCCCGGAGCACTGGCAGGTTTAGTTCGCTCTGTCGTTGCCACAGATGCCTTCTCATTAGCCTCTTTCGATAACGGTAAGGGGAGAGTGCTGCCCTCAGATGAAAGCGCAGTGGAGGAGGACGTTGCAGTAGGTATTATCACTGGGTCTGGTGGGTCTGGCTCTAGCTGAAGCCCAATGAGTTCCATATTAACGGTAATAGCGGGGACCGCCTCGAAGTTCGAGCTCGTCCCGGGCAGATCATTGTTGCCCGGTTTCGAAGGCAATACTGATAGGAGTATTATCTTGTGGTTGGGGAAAATGGCCCGAAGTAAGATCTGATGAACATTGCTGGAAGGAGTCTTCTAATGGTTGACCGCGTGTAGGACGGTCGTCAAATGAGGATACAGAGCTGATTGGATAAATATGGACCAGTAGGGACGCCAGGAAATGTCAACAGCGTTGAACCGTCTGGTCACCCATCAGATTTGTCTAGCTCATTGTATTCGGATGAAGTGGAGAATGAAGGAGTAGAGCGATGAGATCCCGGTGACGGTAGACCAATGTAGATAGTGAAACGAGAGCATGCGAGGAGATGGATGAGGTCGATGCAGATGCGAATGATGATCCAAATGATGCAAAAAGTGCTAGTGAAGCGGGACGCGGTGTTCGATGTTGATGATGATGATGAGAAAGATGTCGACGAAGAGGAATGAGTAGAATTTGTAGTTGGCGATCCTGGAACGGTCGAAGGGGTAGTCAAACCCGTTAAAGTAGACAGCGCTGCTGCAGGCAGTCCAGGACCGTGGAGCGCACACTAATATTCAAGCTTGGAGGACTGACCTCTAAGCACTGAAGAAGGCGGCGGGAGATTGGTGTTGAGCCCGAATTTTGCAAGGCTTTCTTCCAATCTGAATATCTGCGATGCTCCGGCTAGATTTCTGAGACACAGAATTTCCTCCGCTTGGGCTCGTTCTGTGCATGGAGAAATTCATGCGCTGCACTGAGGAAAAAGCGGATCAAAACTTACGAAGGGAATCGAAAGAAAGAGCAAGAAAGCTAAGCGCTGATAGACGAGTATCGTGACCGTGGAGTCCGGTCCGACTTACACTCAAGAGTCAAAGCTAAACAGCAATTTCGACTTCGTTTGCCTTGTCGACAGCGATTTCAAAGTCTTCATTCTAACGATCTGTGCGGGAAGGATGTGATCGAGCTAGTCGGGTGCCTTCGACTTTGAGTGATACGGAGGTTTCGACGACTTGGTTTTTCGATGAACGAAATCGAGTTATGATGGGTGCATGGTCTAGCTCTCTGGCGCCTTGAATAGCGACTGAGAGAGTACCTGATAAAGGTTTTGCTCGGAGGTTTTCTTTCCGTTCTCCCTCGATTCCTGTACCGTCTGGAAGGGTACAAGTTATAGAACGAGCGGAAATTCCAACGCAGATGTAAACACACTAGGTTCTTCCTCTTCCTCGGCGAGGGCATCGTCCAAAAAATGCAGATTTTGTACCGTTTTCGAGTCAATTGAAGAAGCTGTATTTTCTTCTCACTCTCTACCTTCCTGCTCTCCGCGTCCTGCCTCAATTTCTTGTCTCCATCAGCCTGGTATAGTTTTGCCATCTTATCGATGCCTCTCTTGTACTGCATTTCGCCATAAACAAACACTGGAGGATACACCGCTGTGGGGTATTACCGCCGGTAGGCGACCTACATACATTCTTGGTTCGGGGCGTGCTAACGAGACTACGGAAATTTTTCCATGTCTTCTAGGCTCAAAGATCGTCATTGCCCCAACTCGACAGTTATCTCTCAAGAGACTGGGGAAATTCTGGATGTAGCTTTAGAGTATATCGGCCCTCGACTTACTAGAATTGCTGGACCGAGATCATGATACGTGGAAGGATCCGTTCAAACCCACGACGCAATAGACATTCCTATGAAATCATAAATATGATTGGAACACTTGCCTGGATTAGGCTCTATCTGACCTTTACCACACACACCGAAAGTAGAAAAAATTCCGCTCGACGGAATTGTCACTAGAATGATATCTTCTCAATTGGACTGATAGCAGGGTGGAAAACTCGGTTGAATCGAGTGAATTCTGAATTATGTATACAATAGACGAATATATTCATATCATCAATCCATTCAGGTTGGACCAATTATATTCTGAATTTTTATGTTTCTAAAGTGAAGATTTCACAAGCGTATTGACAATTTTCCCAGGTTGATTCCATAGATATGAAAGGAAGCATCATAGTGCCCTTGAGAAACAAAATGGATCAAAGGATATCTATGCGGCAGGAAATTTGAATGAAATTTGAGCACTCTTCAGGTCATTCAGGACGAGTGAACATACAAAAGAATTTTCAGATATTAACTCAATTGATAATGCGCCCCCGAGTCGAGTCATTAAACAGACGCAGACGCGAAATACAGAGACGCAGACGCAGACACGAAATACAGAGACAAAAAAGCAGACGCGAAATACAGAGACGCATCGTGCAAGATCTAAGTATGTACTAAGTTTGCGGTGAAGACCGTTATTACATATGTGCTCTGTTGTTACAATCCTTGTATGTAGTTCCTCCAAGTTAGCCGTGCATACTTTGGGATTGTCAGAGCTGCACACAAGGTAACTCTGATGAGTTCGAGAGTCTCCGCTCTTCTACATTTCCTCCTTCTGGTCCCTCTTTCCGGCATCTACAAAGCTCTAGATCTGACTTCTTTGACACACCCTACATCGGCGTGATAGATGAAGAAACTTCGCCGTTTGACAACTTGATGCTGCAGCGCTTCAATGAGGATGAATTGCGAAAATGCAAACGGCACTGAAGCGAACGGCAGTCGCGGTAGGGCAGTGAAAAGAGGTGGGAAAGTAGGCATGTCATGTGTGATTTGGAGACGACGGCGGGTGTTTGGGAAAAATTCGACGGATTGGCTGAGTTTAGATGATTTGGGTTGAGGAAACCGGCCAGTCTCTGTCCACAACTTGCGCTGAAGGTGTAGCATTTGTAAGGAAGCGTGCATTGGAGTTAAATGTTTCCTTTCGGTGCGGACCCTTCTCCGTCGGCGACATCATCGCTCGCTGGATTTGCGAATACATGGGATCGTCGTCGTCGTCATGTCGACGCGGTTCCTGAAGAGTTTCCGAATTGCATAAAATACTTGCGTCATTGTGGTTATTACCAGGATCATTACTGAGGAGAGCGACGGGGTGGGGGATACTGTAGTTGCTCGGAGAGAGAGTCCTCTGAGAATCTTTTAAATATGTGGGATGATTCGAGGGCGATGGAAGCTGTCCAGACTGCGTCACCGACGAGCCCTGGTCTACCGCCAAGGCGGCCTGTGGCAACTGAGGCCCGTTGTCATCGAAATCCTGCCAGGTCAGAAGATTCCAGGAGTCTTCCACATCCCACACTGTACGGTTTTCGTATACAAAGGAGCCGCTGGCCATGGATGAACGCTCGAGCTGAGACCGTATGATTGACTGTATCGTTGTCTGTACGATTTTAGCACTCACAGATACAGACATTGCGAAGTCGTTCATGGATGTTGATAAGGCGCGAAGATAAAGAGCCACCAGTCATATATGCAACTTCCAGTACTAAACGGCAAATGTGCTGCCTTCCTGATCCTTTTCTGGGTCTCGGTTTTCCTTTCCTGGAAGCCGGTTCAGTGAATCTATTCGAAGGCTCTATATAAAGAAGCAAAACCCCGATCACATGTGTACTGTGCGCCATCACGGCTTTCAATTTGAGATAATAAGTGCAACTTGCACCATGGCGTCTACGGAAACCGTGAAACTCTTCTGGAAATGCTGCGTCCCGAACGACGGCGACATCGTCGAACTATGTGAGAGCTTGATGATCAAAAGCGCGCTCAAGCAGGTTCCGACACTGCTATTGTTCGGTAGGTCAGCTTATTGCTTTGCTTATCATATGCATTACATCCTGACTGCGAATTGCATTGTCAATTTTGTCTGTTTACTAACTGAAACTTTTGTAACTAGATGCTACAAAGACTTCTTTTTCGGTACGCTGGAGGGTTACGGATCCACCTGCGCCCGGAGTGCCAGAAGCGTTACCGGATCTTCCAAATAGTCCAAATCCTGTCATCTGGCCCATTGATTATGCAGAAACGCTTGTCGAGATTCAAGCCGAAAAATTGGCACGAAGCATTGACCGGTCAAGGCACTATTAGGAAAGTTGCACGAGCGTCGAGGGGAATCAAGGTAATTCATATAAATGAGGAGATTTTATTTCTGATTCTTTTTTCCATTCCTTTAGTACATTATGTAGTATGAGAGAATGACAGGTGTATAGACTAAGTTGCAGCTCTCAAATGATCCATCCCTTATGTTGCACACTGTCCGCCTACCGATCGTCTTGCAGCGGAGTCAGGCTTCGCAGAGGGTGGGATGATACCGACGTTGGGGGGAGGTGGCCCCACTGGAGGAGGAGGCGCTGTTGGAGGAAATGGACAGAGGAGTGGTTTGATCAGCGGAAAGAGAAGCGCATATGGCAGTGGATATGGGAATGGGAGCAAGCGGGCAGGGTCAGCGAAGTGGGTATGGGAATGGACAGAAAAGCGCGCACGGAACTGGGAGCGGAGAACCATCTAGTAAAGACTTCGTTGTGAGCGGTGATGTCTTCTTGATGAAAGCCAATTGTTTTATACGCTTTGGAGGCTCGGAGGAGCAGCTGTCGCGCTGAGATTAGTTCAGGCAAAGGTGTGTTTAGGGGATTGGCTTTTGGGTTATTCGATATTTTCCACGAGTTCACCGATTCCTTCCATCTATTCCTAATAGACTCCCCATGAACTTTCTAGAGCACTTGGCGTGGTGACGGACGGGATGAAGAACAGTTGGCACTAGAATTCGGAAGATATAGAACGGTTACGTGCATTTTGTGGTTCCGTGTAGTTCATTCGTCGCGTTTCATTTGGCTGACCATCCCCATGTCTTCCACCAGGTAGCTATGACATCCTTGCGGATACACTTCGTTCCAAGGCAGATATGATCAACATGATCAGCTCTGAGACGGTTTTTGAGTTTTTCGGTTTGAACTCCCGGTCTCCAGAGTATGTTCTTCCAATCTTCCATCCTTCCTCAATCCTTGGCTTATACTGCTACCGCCAATCAACCATCGTCAACACCGCTAACCGAGCTCTAGTACTTGATTTTGAACTATGGTGCCATACTCGAAAAGACATTCAACGTGTTCACTTGGAACATTTTCTCACTCTCCTCGAATCAAGTCGATATAGACAGTTCAAGGTCAAGCAGCAGTTCGCCAAAATCGGACTAGTACGAAGATTGCTTTTCGTGTTACAGACGGATTGGTACAGTGATGTCCATGGCCCGGATTCTCAAAATCCGGAGTCTACTTTGCCCTTCCTGATGGACGCACTGAAAGCTGGTGCAAAAGCGCTGTGGACGAAGGATGATGCAATCAAGCCTTTGGTGTCGTATTTAGCTGCTAATCTGCAGCTAATCTGCAGGAAGGTGAGTTGGATGTCGCAAAGCGAACTTTTCATTTTCATTTCAAAATTTTCCGTTCTTACACCCAGGGTTTCCAACTACATCTTCTGCATAATTCAAGGAAGATTCGTCGTTGCCCAGAATGAGTCAGGACGCTGCGGAGCAGAACATCCAGATGTGGAATGTCAAGAAGCTCATCCAGAGCCTTGATTCTGCCAGAGGGTACGTAGGGCAAGATTATTTTGACATTGTATTCATTTTTGTACACCAGAGCTTTTTTTACACGTTTACATCCGTTACAAGCACATCAACGAGAGGCTGTCACCATTTGTCGACGGCGCTTTTCCTTCGCATCGGGACTTCGCAACACCCACGGCTACAATCCATTGGCTGCCTTCCACACAGCTCCGGGACGTCATTCGTCATATATTTCATGCTTTGTTTCTCGTCTCAGCCCTACGCAATCACACACAGCGCCATCTCTCGCACCCTCCCTTCAAGGATCTCTATCTTTCTTCCTTCACGATAAATATGCGTCGGTCGTTCGAGGAATTACAATGGCGCTACAACAAGCGCGAGATGCGGAGGATTTCGGATACAGATGGGGAAGGATATCTTTACGCCTTTGTCCATCTCAATGTGTGGAAGGTGGGCATGTCGAAGGACTTCATTCGTCGGCGAGAAGAATGGGATAGAGATTGTCCTGACTCATGGAGGATATGGCTTCCGCCAATCCGGGTCGCTAACAGGCGAAGGGCGGGTAAGTTTTCCTTTATTTTTCTATGCGTCTATCCCATTCGCGTATCAGAGTCGTTAGCGCATCTTTTGCTCGAGATGGCGTGCATTGATCGCCCGCGTGCGTACTGTCGAAATTGTACGTGACCTCATTTCGTTCACTTCCTTTTCATGTTCAATCAATGCAAGGTCAACGAAAACACATCGAACAATTCGTTTTCTCCGAAACTTTGCCCATCGTTTGGAGTACGATCGTTGAACCTATTCTATTATGGGCTGCTGTCGCATGAAGGTACGCGAATTCCTGTTTGCCTAAAATGTTCTCACTGACGCCTTAACAGTTTTAGTATATTGTAGCGTACAGATCGTCTTTTCCTGCTGCTGTCAACATACTCATACGCCCTACTTACCTTCCCCCGATCCAACACATCCCAAAACCTAGCTACCCACCTCTCCATAGAATCAAATAAAAAATGATCCTCCGCTTTGGAAACAAGATCGATAAGATTATGTATGTGCGTTTTTCCTACTCTCGAGTTCTTCTATTGATCGAATATTCTACGAAACTCCAGACTCAAAGCACTCGTAATCAAAGGTTGATAATTGTGCAACCAGATCAAGCCCTTCACAAGCTCTCCTCAAGCTCTCCTCATGTTAATTCAAGCCCTTAGACTTCAAGGTTCTCGAAGACTCAAGAACACTCAAAGATGAATCAGACGGAGTATTATTGTTCGGCGTTCTGGATTACCCGACATACGAAGTCCCTTCTTCCCTTGAATTACGTTCCTTCTTTGACTCGCGTTCCTTCTCCGACTCACGCTCCTTCCTCACGCTCCTTCTTCGACTCACGCTCCTTCCTTGACTCACGTTCTTTCCTCCCCTACCAAAAACGACTACGACCCCTTCCGTACCTGCTCCTTTCTTGACTCACGTTCCTTCCTCCCCTACCAAAAAGACTACGACTCCTTCTGTACCTGCTCTTCCCATCACCCTCCTTCTCTGACTCGCGTTCCTTCTCCGACTCACGCTCATTCCTCACGCTCCTTCTTCGACTCACGCTCCTTCCTTGACTTACGTTCCTTCTTCCCCTACCAAAACGACTACGAACCCTTCGAAGCCGTACTTGCTCTTCCCATCCTCCCTGCACTGCGTAGAAAGTCTGCAATGTTCCTCGGCTCATCGACCATGATTTGTGCGTACATTATCGACCTTCGCGGATTCACTGCAAAACACAATGACCTTGTTGAACTCCGTTGACCATTTACCTATATTCTCCCATCCATCCACGCTCTTCTTCCATCCAATCAGCCGCTTCTTAATATCTGCCAAGTTCATTCTCTCCATTCCAATCCACTTGTTTGACTTTCAATGAAGTCGGGAGGTCGAGATTGAACGAGCGGAGTATGCCAGCGTGGACGATAGCTGCGACGGGAGTGGCAGGAGATCGCAGGATATATTGTTGAAGGTGAAGGAAGCTGCGTCGAACGGCTCGGCTTAGTCTGGCCAGCAGTCGGATCAGGACCGTAATTTGTATGAAATACTTACAGTATAATTTCTATAAAGTGAGCTTACAATAGACGAGCTGAGATTAAGTACGGTAACATCTAAGGCCACCGTCCCATTTCAAATTTCAACCCAGCGTAGATGATCTATATATCTTTTCCGCGCCAAACAGGCTAGACTAGGACCTCTTCGACTTCATCCACTCCGAGAACGTACAGAGGAAACACCTCTATATGCCTCACTACTTCTCGATAAGGTTCTTTATCTTCGTAGGCTTATGTTGCAGCGGAGTCGGTGGCTAGCAGTTCTGACGCCGGGGTTTAATTGCGTCTGCGTCTGCGTCTTGTTCATCACGCGGGAGTGTCTTATCAGTCACATTGATATATGATGGTTCAGTTGAGGTTTCATCTTTCACCCCAGAAAGAGAAAAAATTCCGCTCGACGGAATCGTAACAATTCAGCTTAACTGATATATCATGTGACTGCGGATAAGCTATATCAGGCATATCGCCGGTCACATGATATATCAGTTGCACTGAATTTTGGTATTTCCGTCGAGCGGAATTTTTTCTCCTTCCGGCGTGTTTTCTAAGAGACCTGAGGATTGTTCATATTTCAATCAAGCTCTCTGCTACACTGATAAGTCTTTATTCATCAGTGTTTCCAAGGGCACCGAGAGCCTTCCTTTCACTCTTTTCAAATCGGTTTGAGAGATTTGTAAATTTAGTTGTAGATTCACTGGCTTAGAAACAAAAAGATTCAGACCGTGCTTCCATCCAACTGGATGTTTCCACGATTGAGATAATTTTGTTTATTATATACACGATGTTGAGAACTTTTGATTCATTCAGACTATCTACATTGTTATCGATGCAGATGAATAAATAGTAATCAAGTCACGATTCCGCTGGACAGAATTTTTTCTACATGCGATTGTAGGCCACTGCACAGCATGGCAAAACTCGGCTGGTTGTTTTGGTTGCATAGAATGAAAAATAATATATGATATGAATTGACTACTGGCATAATTAATTATTAGATCTGGAATAAATCACAGCAGAAGCAGAACCTGACTGACATTGGGCCCAATCTATCTCATTGAGATTGGAATGTTCAAGTACAGGTACACCATTGTTGAACATACCATCATAAATGTAAATTACATTTTCACTGCTAACAATTCGAGATATGAAAATTCGACATCGAGTTTTCTGCGGAGTCGCCGCAGGCTCAGTTGAAGGAAATTTTCGGGGAAGAGTACGAGATGTGTGTCGTGCGTGGCATCATTCTGGAGGAATTGCAACCGCTGTCAACTTTGAAGACTGAGAGGGAATGTGCGCAAGTGTTCTATGATATTGTCCAATGTGAGTTACATTCATCCTCGCTATCATCTATCTTACACCCAATTCCCTAGGTCATCATTGGGCTTGGAAATATCCTCAAATCCTTCATCGCGATATCAGTGAGGGTAATATCATGGTCCGCGAAAAGAATGGGCAGAAATACGGTGTATTAAATGATTGGGATCTTGCGAGCTGGTTGAACACGCAAAATGAAGAGTCGACATCCAAGTTCCGAATGGGCACCAAACCGTACATGGCGCATGAACAACACTCGTCTCAGTGGCAAGGTCCACATCGGTTCCGCCACGATTTGGAGTCTGTCTTCTACGATATTCTCTTACTGGTTTCCCTTTATTCCAGTCCTGCTGAGAAGGTCCGTTTTCCTTCTACTGGAGACCATCGTTATGAGAAGTGGCACAAAGAGGACGATAGCTTTCTTGACGGGAGAAAATCGAAGATTATTTACAATGGGACGTGGCGAGCCTTCCCGCAGCCCTTCTTCAGCGGCTTCACTTTGTGGTTGGCCGCCCTTCAAGAAAATTTGCGTCGTGGTATCTTCAACCTTGAGAATCACAAGTACGCAGTGTTAGCAGCATCACGACCGCTCAAGCCAGGGAGGCGACCACCCAAGGTGCCATTTTTTGACGAGGATACCCTAGGCGGAAATTTCTCATACGAGAAAGTAGTTATGATCATGCACCAGTTCAACCAAGAAGAACTCAAGACTTGGGGTCACGAGTGGCAAGTAACACTAGAGGAAGCATCTTCTGAAGATTGGGAGTCAGAAGAGTCGGAGGAAAGCTAATAACGTCGATTGTCTTGAATGCGCAGAACCATCAAATATCTTGCCGGTGAAAGAGAGTGGGACGGATTCGATGATTATACTCACAGTAGTATGTGTTATTGTACATAGGCCCAAAGATAATTTTTCTTCAGGCTCAGGCAAATATATCTTCCTCGTTTTTCGCACGAATAGCTTCGGATATCGAAAACGACGAAAATGACAACGAAGACGGCGAAGAAGATGCCAGGATGCGAATGAAGGGAATGGATATCGAAAACGACGAGAACGGTAACGAAAGGGAAGGAGCGTGTGAGTAGTAATGTGTGTTACTGGTCGTATGAAAAGCGTAAACAAGGTATCACATCTGAAGCGAAGAAGTAGAGTGGCACGTAGGATGAACAGTCACATAGTCACAGTGGTGCTGATTAAGGTCTCGTGCAAGTCACATAAATTCAATTCAATTCAACTCACTGTTACATTTCGCCAAATAAGGCGAAACTACTGCCATAAAAGGAAACAAATTTTGTATGAAGTACCGTACATAAGGACGATACTTCCGTAAACTACAGCCTCGTAACTTTCGGTGTGACACGTAATGTAACTTCAACAGAGGAACATCATACATATTGCACACTGTATCCATTCCATTTCCACACAGACTACGCACGGCAAATTCACATTCGTGATAATTTATGTAGCATATTTTTCACGTTATTGAAATGATACATAAAGATTTCCCATTTTCATGATCAAATGGCCAACAAGGACCCAAATTCTAATGACTTTTGTCGTTTCTTCTGTGATGTCGTTGCTACTCCCAATGAACTGTTCTTAATGAGCATCGCAGAAAGATGAGTACATGACTGAGATTGTACATTACCTCAGAAAAAGCATTACAGCTGCAATCATCTCAGATTCACATTTCTAGAGCGCTTTGAAGTGATTCCGAAGTCCATTCGTTTCCGACTCGGAACCTTCGGCGTATGATTTTGAAAGTCTTGAACCCTGGTGCCAGCAAGGACAGCTTGGACCAGGCCTCTTCCCTGCCTTCATCGACGTCGGTCACATCTAAGACAAAGTGCTCCAGATGATACGATGAGCAATGGAGACCAGACTGCAGTGAAGCACTTCTAGATTTTAGTAGTAGACGTAGAGTTTCTGATAATTGGGTTCGAAATTGGCGAAGTCTGAGGTGCGAACCAGGCATTTGCAAGAATCGATAATTAAGGGTAGATACGCGGATAATGAGCGATGACAGCTTTGAGGCAATAGGATATTCAGTTAAGCCTAGCATCATCCGTTTAAGTAGTTCGGTGCCATCAGGGTATTGAAGTAGAAGGCTCAGAGTGCTTATCGATGGACATGCAGCAAGAAAGGCAACAGCCATCTCTTCTGGAAGGCATTTGAGTTCCAATACCTGTAATGAAGAAGCAGAGTGCAGTATTGATGTGAAACAAGTATATTCTAGATCTATTGTTGTGGCAGGGTGAAAAACTTCCAGGGTCTTCAACTGAGGAAACTCAAGTCCCCTCCATGCAGTTGGACACTGGAACGTACCGGTCCAGATTCTCAAGGAGGTAACAGAAGATTCATGCGGACTGGTTAATTCAGCAGCAACATCATCAGTTTTGCAAAACTTTGCTATACTGGCTGTTTGCAAGGAAGGCATTCCCAGCAAAAAATGAGCAATGGAGGGCCCAAAAAGGCCACCGTCAGAGCCCATATGGAGCTCAACTAGCTCGAAGAAATTATGGCCAGTAAAAGCAGGGCCCCAAGATAGATGATTAGCAGTAAACTTCTTCAACCTAGGGCAAACAGGAAATATTTTGCAGGCAGTATTACGCCAATTATGGTTGTCAATTTCTAAATCCTCCAGGTTGGGAGTTGGTACAGAGAGCTCCAAGATTCCACACGTATTTTTGAGGCTTCGACTAAGCAAAAAATTCGGTGTGAACCCTGAATCTGCAATGTCTATTTTGGCACTTTTCCACCTCTTTGAGTTTTCTATAAGGAGGTTGAGGGTCTGGTTCATCTCATGGGTCGCTTCTGCTTGTGTACGTATGAAGAAGGTGAGTGGCGCAGAACGAGAGTATACAATGTACAGCTTGACCAACGACGCGAGTTGTGGATAGGTGTTTAACGACTCGGTTTCGATATACAACGACGACCACAGAGAGGAATTACCCAACACTGTTTTACGCCAGCTTGAACAAACCTTCGCGAGTTGTAGAGCTGGGCAGCCTACCATGAGGCAAGGTCGGCGTGAAGCAGAGAGAAGGCCAAATATTTGAAGAGAATGATCCGTCCAAGGCTCGCACCTAATATTGCAAGAGATGTAAAATTGGAAAATCTCTAACATTATTTCTGGCGGTGGTTTCTCAATGGGCGATGGTACATCTCCAGAATGAGAAATGTATCCTTTAACAGGCATTAAGATCTGGCGCAAGAGGTCAGTTTTCTATTGCAAATGTAATGTCAGGCTTTCACCTTTTCCCGATCGCTAGGCATCGGAACTAGCTTTGAGAGAACAAACCATCCTAGCTCAAAGACGAATTGCCCGGAGGTCGTGCAAGGTCTGAGCAGAGCTCCATGGTCCTCAAAGCATTCGCTACTGTGGTTGTCAATAAATGTAAGCGGCGGAGGTCCATCAGAACCCTCAGGAAGGGACTCCGAATGTACATTGCTCCAACTACCAGAAGGCTCATCATCTTGATTATGGATAACAGGCACTAAATGATCCATTATGTTATAGCTTTTACAGGGTAAATCAGCTCACGCATCTAGCACTTACTTAATTTCAATTAATATCCGCGCGCAAAAATCATGCAAAATCGTGTGTTGTTGTTGAAGGGGTGGGACTGGTATACGGGATGAGAGCTCAGCAGGTTATAGAGGGGCTGAATGCATACCTTGATCTATAAGAGACTGCGACGGTGTCAGGAAGAATTTTATCCAGTGTTCAATGAGAATGGCAATTCGGAAAAGTTTAAGACGAAGGTTTTGTATTTGCCTGCATAAGCCTCACGTGCGCCCCGCGTGCGCCTATGATTTCCGCGGATTGCAAATGTGGACACTGCCCAGCTCTCTGAGCAAGCTGTTCTGTCATTAATCAAATCTGTTTTTCACCAATGCAACCTATTTTTCCAAAGCGAAATCGACAGCAGCAATCGCCTCTCTCTGCTTCGATGCCGTCGTGAACCTTGTGCGACAGGTCCACCTAAATACCAGGCACGAACCCTCCGTCATTACCTCACCCTAGTATCGACTTCCAACCATCGGCTCACCCTTACGCGTTTACTGCCAGTGTGTGGTGATATGGTCCCGCTGACATTCCGTGCCTCACCCACTCGCATTCATCCTCTTGAACCCGTGGACTGTCCATCGAAACAGTGTCGCGCCTGCAAACTTCCCGGTCAACCTGAGTCTTTCACAGCACGTACTTCTCCAGTGCATGTCTGTCCCTGGTTTCCGCGTGGTTCCTGAATGTTTTCTCACCGAGATTGAGTTCCTCATCGTCCTTCACAAACTCTGAATCCCTCTCCTACCTTAAGTCCTTCATTTTCAGTTGGAACTCTGTCCGTCCCGCGGCTCGCTTCATTATTGAGGCTATCGTTCTATGGAAGCACTTCACAATGGAAGATTGAGATGGTGAGGAGGAGGGTGTAACTAGCGACGAGGAGGCGTAAATGTCGTATCTGGGCAGTTATTGATTATTTTTATTTGTACTATTACTCTTACTCTACACTCTCATCTCTGTACTATGTACCTCTGCCTTGTTGACCTGGCGGTAGTCTACCATCTCCTTGCGGGTTGAGCTCGCTGCCGCCAGTGCCTCGAGACCGGCTGTTCCGCGTTTGGGACCACATCTTCGGATGGCGCCGTGTATCTATCTATCCATCTATCTGTGTAGGTGAACTGTCGCGAAAAGTCAGCATTATTTTGAAAACGGCAATAATAAATGCAGAGGACATGAACTCCTCGGAGTAGGTGGATACGCTAGAGATGAACCTGGAAGCGAGGGAGGTCGGGGTATGGATGATGGAGTTGCGAATCCACAAAGAAGTCGAATTTACTAATGAATATGACGTTGTTGAGGTCGGAGGAGCAAGGTATGAGCTGGTCCTGCTGGTTGGGGAGCTCAGGCCTGCTCCATAGCCATCGCCTCAACGCCTGGTGCGTTCTCGAAGTTTCTCAACCCTCCAGTGCCATTTCGTCCAGACCTCATCATATAAAGTCTCCAGCTCATCATCTTTCCTTCTTTCCTTCTGAAAGTATGTTGAAATTGGGGACGCCGAGGGCAGAGGTGAACTTGGGTATGTAGATGTAGGCGAATGGGAGATAGAGAACTTCGGCAAAGGTAGGGGTTGGGTTCGGACAGTATTCCAAAATTTCATCAATATAAGACGCAGAAGCTGCGTAGTCCAGATAATCTGCGTATAATTGGTTGTCGAAGATGATGTGGTAGACGAAGATGGCAAGGGCAGTGAGGCAGAGAATGAAGAAACCGCGGAGAGGTGTCTTGTCGAAGTCAGCCTGTTACGGTAGTCGTAGTGGTCGTGGGTGCAAGGACAGCGCACCCTCCATCGGCCGGCGTTATAGGAAACGGTCTCTCGGGTATAGAAAGGGGGAAGCAGGACCAGCCAAGTCAAGGCGCCGTTAGGGACTACAGTTGAGCAACCGTTTGGAACGGATTGGATACCAGGCTGCCACCAAAATCCTTGAGCCATAGTACCCAGGGATCACATAAAAAACTCACCTGAAGACTGCATACCCTTTCTTGCCCCTTCTTAGATACCTTTTGATGGGTACTGAACCCCGCTTGGAAGATCGCGTAGGTATATAAATTCTTGTGGTGGGGGGAAGTTAACAATCAGGTCGCCGGGTACCAGTGAAGCCTTTTCGCGTCCTCAAAGGCGTTGAAGGTGAGGTAGCGGTGGAGAGTAAATTTGGTTTCCGGGGGAAAAATTGGGAGAGGAGGGAAGGCATGAAGCCAGGGTTCGCAAGCTCAGGCTTCTGCAAGCAAATGGGAACTACCCGAAGGTCCACCCGGCAAGGGGTAAGAAAAACCTAGGACTACGCAGAGGTCCTTAAGTTCGAAAGTGCGAAACCTGGAAGGTTCTATCTCATGGAATCACATCCCTGTAGCTGACGTCATGAAGGAAGAGGGGATATTCCTGTGGGATGTACCACTATCAGGACACCGTGCAATGCGGGTACATGCCACCTTCATTGCACAAGTATGATTGTTGAACGGTGATGTCAGCTACAGAGTTGTTTTTCCTTGAGAGTCACGTAGACAGGGCACAACTTGACCAACTCGTTGTTAAAGGTGACCGTGGATCCAACGTACTTACTTACTCCCAAGCTCCTGAGTTGTGGCAGCAAAGATCGCCGGAAGGACCTGGTTTAAAGTCAGTATATAGAAGGCCATTTCTCTCAAAATCAACGCGGGAAAAAAACTCACACTAAATGTATAGACCGTCAAAGGTTCGGTGTCGGGTTGATTTTCGGAAACGAGAGAAGTGAAAACCAACATCCAGCTACAAACAAACATACAAGACGTTTCGCTTGATGGAAAAACTTATGCTGTGATCATTGGGGCCTCGGCCTAAAGAGAATGGTAACTATCAGTAATGTGGTTCCTACTCGGTCCTGGAATGATTGAAACTTACAAGAGATAATGATAGGCTGTCGAACGACAAACTTGTCTCCCGCAAGTTGTAGTGATTTTCATGTACGTGTCACAGGTCATGTCTTGAACACCTGAAAGCATATGTGTATGAGTGAAATTGGGCACAGAGATACCAGTGCCCAAATGTGTTCCGAGTGAACGATACACACCTTCATGCGTCTCATGGATGAACTCAAACAACTTATTCACTACCGTCTTCAAGAATCTCCAATGAGCTTTAAGGAAACGAGGGTATTGGCCGACAATGTACATTATGTTTGCAGCAATCATGGCCTTGTTATCTTTACTGCACTTTTTCTCGATGAGTCCCAGGAGTTCGCGAATGACAAGGACCAGGACCCGTTTTTTGGTGTCTTCGTCTATTTCGAGCCAAAAATACAATGTCAGAAGACGAGTACAATTTTTGTATACTCACTCATCGCGCGTGATTATACTCCCAACAGCCCAACATATCGTGTTTGAGTTTCCCCAACTCCATTCACTGCCGTCAATATGTGCTGCCATCTTCTGCGTTAGGATTATCTCAACATCAACGATGCCAAAGTGATTAAGGCAAACCATGAGCTCGCGCATTGATTTGTACAGGACAATGGTGTCGGTTTCTTGGAGGTATTCGCGGACGACTTCGCCTTCCTCATTCTCGACGACTAAGACCTAGATAAGGAAGAGAAATAGTATGTAAGTATGTGATGGCGAAATCGTAGAGAAAATGAATGTGTAAGAAGGCCGGACATACCCACCTCTTCAGGTTTAACCATCTTCCCCACAGCAACGAGCCTTAAATTTAACAAGACTTCCTAAATGTGTCTTTCCGCAGTTTCAGTCTGCTGAGATCTGTACTGAGGGGTATTATAGACACTTCGTCGTACGACCTTACAAGGAGTATTAACCAGTATTCAAGACAGATCTTGAATACTTCTCGCTCGTCCACTTGAAATATCTTGATGAGGTAAAAGTGGGCATTGATGAGCGCTTCACGATCTGTATCTACATATGGAGTCAAAGACAGGTTAGCGTGTATTGCTATAACGACTCACCTCGCTCCATTATCAGCAGGTGCCTCGAAAAGAAATCCGCCAAGAATAATGCCAGAGCGACCCCCATTTCCTGCCCCACATCCGACGCGTTTGCGTACGCAGATGCAATATCTGTGCTTGATGGGATAAGTTTGTTGATAGTTGTCATAACGCCCGTGAAGAACATCTTGAGGTTCGCCGTACATTGATAAGTATGACGGCAGATTTCGTTCAATATTCCATGCTCTTGAATTGATGCGCGTGATGCATCAAACGTCATTCTCCAGCACTTATTGGCTGGTCTCTGGCAATTATGCATTGGTCTCTAGTAGGTTGTATGTTGGTCTCTAGATAAGTAGTACTGGCCATTACCCTCAATCCTTGATCAAGCTTAGAAAATGTATTAACAGGATTTAAATATCAGTCTCACAATCAAATTTCTGCCATTGCACGGCCGGCCGGCCGGCTCACAGGGATTTGCGGTTTCCACCCAAGTTCTTCGACTAATCTACTTGAGCATGTTCTACTCATAGAGTAGTGAGTGAGATAGGTACAAATTTACATTCACCACTGCAAAAACTGGTGCTACAATACATGGTAAGAGCATCGGGATCTGAGACCTACCGTACTATGGAACCCGGTAAAGTCATAAATCCGTAAATTCATAAACTCATAAATGAGGTCACGTGAAGCTATTGGGAGGTCACATGGGAGCTATTACACCAGTGGCACATCTTATCAACTTACATCTCCTATTTTCAGTTTACAGTGCATCTGCAAAACATGTATACTCGCCAGAGCAAGAATACTGGCTGGAGAGCGCTCTCCAGCGACGAAAGCACCCAAAGCAAAAATCAAAGCCTGCTCTGGGTGCTTTCGCTGCTGGGAAGTGCTCTGAACTGCTCTGAACTACTTTCGGATATTTAGCCGAACATACAGGTTTTGCAGATGTGGTTATTTCAACACCTCTGTAATTTGAATGTATATGATAAGCTCTGTTGATAAAACCTTGGAATAGTATTCAGGCAGATTAGGTGCAGGATAACAGTTAAAAAACCAGTGAGTGTGTTATAGTGTACATTACTTGCAAGGAGTTTCCCCAAGTCATCTGTAAAACCTGTATTTTCGGCTAAGAGCTCGAAAGCAGCTGAGAGCACTGTCCAGCTGGGAAAGTGTTCCCAGCAGTACTGAAAAACTGCTGGGAGTGCTTTCAGCACTGGACAGTGCTCTCCAGCTAGTACCCTTGCTCTCGCGAACATCCAGGTTTTGCAGATGAAGCTTGACAGTCAGCATCTCAACTTGAAGTACTTACAATTCATGGTTGTTGTGATGTATAAATATAGCAGTTGTAATAAATAGTTGTACTCTATGTCAATGCATCTGCAAAACCTGTGTGTTTGCCAGAGCAAGGGTACTGGCTGGAGAGCACTCTCCAGCACCCAAAGCACTGAGATCAAAATTTTAAACTTGCTCTGGCTGCTGAAAAGTGCTTTCAGCTGCTCTAGGAGAATTAGCCAAAAAAACAGGTTTTCCAGATGTGTACTTAATGACAGTGTATCTGTCATGCCCTGGCTACAACCAGACCAGTCCCAGTAATCATCACACGTTGCCATACGTCCTAACCACCTCCTGTATGTCCTCCGCACCTCCCCAAGTATCACCCGACACCTCCCCAAGTATTTCTGACGCCACTACCCAAACGTCCTTCATCCCGACACGCGTACGAAAGCCCTCTAGCCGATAACCCCTTTAAGTATTAATCTCGATTACCTCCCTCCCTCCGATTAGCTACCTCATGCCTCCAGATGTTCTCTTGTTCACTTCCCGTACCTATTTAAGTAACGCCTCAATGTCCCGAAGCCCCAGCTTGGTATATTTTGAACACACACCCTTTTGCATAGGTCCAGTCCCTGTCCCTTTGTACCTGCTAACCATACGGATTTCTCTTTCCTCTCTGTTTCTCTACCTCTGTTTCTCTCTACTTCTGTCTATTGTCTCTCTGATCGTCGGTACGATCGAATATACGCTTTTACTTCAAGTCTAAGCCTTCCGAGTGAGTCCCCGAGCTCCCTCGAACATTACTAAAGCTCCCCAACGCCTATCCGCTTGGTAAAGCTACTCTTCCCCAAACCTCCCAGAGCTCCCTAGCTACTTCGTAAGCTTCGGGACCTCGATCTAGGTAACGTCGAAGCTACCCCTCACGTCGAACTACGTACTGCTTCTCCGTTACCACCTCCCACACTCGAGGACGACCATCCTCCAACCTAGCCCCCAGGGACCTACCCTCCCTGGCATATCCCTTCTCGGGAGCTTACACCCTCGAGACCCCGTTGCATAAACTACCTACTCGACTCTATATTGACGTTCTAGCGAGTACAACTCCTACTACGCAATATCTTACGGTCCCGCACTCGTCCCGAACCTCCCTACGCATTAGGGACCTCCCTGGACCTCCTAGGAACCCCTCAAGGGTCACCATCTCGTCGTTCCAACCACTACTAGGTCATTCCCGTCCTCGGTCGCGGTTCTCGTAGCTCCCTTCGAGCTCCAGCCTGCTCCTAGCACGCTACAACATAAACCTCCGCATACCAAAACCTACCCTAAGACCTATTTTGACCCAGGTCTTACATTATACCAAGCTCTCCCGTCACCGAACGGACTCGTCGCGACGAAATGTCGGCGACGTCAACGGAACGACCTTCTAGTTCCAAGACCGAATTGAAGAAACAAAAGAGCGCCTTATCTCGTGGAAACACGACACAAGCTCAAAAATCGAACCAGGCTGCTAGCTCCACTGTCATCACGGTGGCAGCTGGTCAACGCCTGATGTCCATCCCAGAACAGTCGTTCGGGGATGAAACCGCCAGCAACATCCGGACCCCAGAGGGACGTCAACCGGAAGTTCAGGGGCCCCCTCCAGTGGAACCTGGGATGGGACCACCACAACGGAGGTTTACCTCCATGGGTTACGCCCAACCTGCCAGTAGTCCCATGGGAGGTTTCGCATACTCCCCTACCTGGGGAACGAGAGGACCTCCCCCTGGACCGATACCGCAGCTAGATATGGAGTCAGCTTCGAACGCGGGCGGAAGAGTCAGCGGTCAAGTAGCCGCTATCGAAAGGATACAAGGGGGAAGTACTGACCCTCTCACAGTACGACAACAGGAGAAACTTCCAGAGAGGAGGGTATCCCCTGCCGTATCCGAACAATCTCGGACTTCATCTCGGAGGTTACCAACACCTCCAGTACAGTCCCTTAACCTTCCTCCCCCGAGACGAGGAAGTTCACTCTCCAGTCTCCTGAAGAGCCCAGCTATGAATACGCCCAACTGGGAGCGTACACACGCAATACACCATAGCAGGACCAACTTCCCAGTACAACCCTTGTCCGAAATGACATTGCGTCTGGAAGACGTCATTCGAATTCAGGAGTGTATCCCGGAGGATGTAGCTATGGTCCTAAGGGAGGTATTGGAGTCAATGGGGATCGAAATATTGGGAGACGGTCTCGAATTCTCAGACCTACGAGTACAGTTCCTAACAGTGGGAACTCAACTGGAGATAGACCTCCCAGAGAAGGCCCAGCAGTGGCTGATGACCCCCGCGAACCGATCAGATTTTCTCTGGCTGTACAACGTCCTATTGGACCCAGAGAGGATGTTGGAACTGTTAGAGGCAGAGGCACGTTACGGGCGATCGTTCCGAAACTCGAGGGGAATACTTCCCCTCCTCCCTCATACCCATGGAAGGGAGAAGGAATTCTGTGGCGAAGCAGGGCTACGTATATTGTACCGAGCCTCTAACTACAGATCAGGAGCCGTACGGTTTGAACCTCCCCCTTCGAGGGTGAACATACCGAACTACCAGGCGATCCAAATACTTCGGAACGCAAACCTAGCGGAAGCAGCAGCTAAAATCGATGAGGAAAGTAACGAGGATGCTAACGCAATCGCTGCAAAAAATCGTAGACGCAGGAGGTACACCACGGCTCACCTCCTGGCCCCAGTGGAGTCAATGCCTGATCAGGATAGTCCCGTCCGGGTCCGTAACGGACAGACGGTATACACGTACACGCCCATGAGGCATATGCACCAGCTTCTGGTGAGGAGTGAGGAGTCTGAAGCGATGTTGTGTTCGCAGGAGACCCGACATCGGACGCTACTAGCGGAATCAGACACTCTGATGCTGTCGGAGGAACTTTCTGGATCGAATCTAGAAAGAGCTTTGGAATTCCGTCGCAGACTGGTCGCGGATAATCGGGGAACCTCGTATATGGTTCAATGCGAACTCGAAAGCGTAGGGGAGTTCCCTCCGGAGCAATTTGACCAGAAAGGGCAGCTCCATGGATCTGATGGTCGTTTCCTGGCGCAGAAACATTCATCGCCCAGGAATACCGAGGTTCCTGAACTCCTTAACCCCGGTAACACGGCCACGAGGAGCCCCCAGTTACGCTCTGGGACCTCCCCCACTGTACATGCCTTGGCTCAAAATGCGACTCCTCCCCCCAGAGTTAACCTGCAAACGAAACCTTTAACCCCAGTCTCGACGCAGCGATACCAGTTTGGTGAGGTGAGGATAGATGGCGCACAACATTCATCCCGGATCTCCGGACAAGATCTGACAGCTCGGTTGGCTCCCAACCCTGTACACGTTCCTCCAAGACTGAGCAATCCATCAGTCATTCCGTATCAAGGGTCGGTATCGATGCAATCTCAGGCAGTGGGAACGGAAAGTCAAAGGGGTCCGAACCAACGAAGAACGTTGGCAGTTCACGAAGAGGCGGTACCCCCGCAGGGAGCTCCTTTTGGAACTCCCTTTGTAACGGGAGCTCAGATGAACCGACCTGGCATGGCGTTCGAGTCGGCACGCTCTCAGGAATCGGTAGCAATGATCCAACAACAGGCTCGGGTCATTGAGACGCTCCAGGAACAACTCCGCGAGGTAAAGAAAGGATTCACAGCGGGGGAAGTACCGACTGGAGGACCCCTTTCCAAAACAGGAAACACGGCGGGATTATCCGGGCGAGCACCTAGGGTAATGAGAGAATATACGAGGGGGGGTCCTTCTCCTGTAGTTCCCCAGCCAAGGAGCTGGCAAGCTACGGAACCAATATCCTTTAACCGAAACACTCCTATAGGAGCTAGGGATGGAAACCCCCAGGAAGAACAAGCAGGACAGATCCCGGAT